TCAAAAAAAGAGGGATGGGGCTTGGGACTGGGGAGAGGTGGGTTTACCTGGGAAGCAGCAAGGCCGTAGAGAGACCATGCCACAGGGTTGATCCAATAAAACCACTTCCAGTACACGGGGATTTTCTGATGACGGCATGCCAGGGGGAGGGACACATGAGGGGGAGGGGAGACAGAGAGGGAGCAATTAACAGGAGAGAAAGAGAGAGGGACCATGCCACAGGGTTGATCCGGTAGAACCAACTCCAGTACACAGGGGATTTTCTGATGTGTGCATGCCAGGGGGAGGGACATGAGGGCAGAGGGACATGTGAGGGGGGATGAGATGGAGTAATGAACACGAGCGAGAGAGAGCATGCCACAGGGTCGATCCAATAAACCCATTTCCAGTACACAGGAATTTGTGCGCGTGAGGGAGACACGAGGAACATGCTGGGGCACGAGGGGGAGACAGAGAAAGAGGAGCACGATGGACACGCACGCTGTCGTGGGTATGCCATGGTAATCACGCAGCACTTTTGAGTCGCTTCAAAAACCACGGTAATCACGCAGCACTGCCACTCTAAGAACACAAAATGCACTGCACTCACCGGCGCCGGCAGGAGGAAGCCGCAGAGAAGGTTCCAGAAGGAGTAGATGAAGGCCGAAAGCAGCATTCCGAGCCCTTCAGCCGGGGTGATGGAGCTCGTCATCATGCCGAAACATGTGAAATAGAGGAGAGTGAGAAACTGGAACAGCAGGTACCATAGGAACTTGTCATATGTCCACTCGAACCGAATCATCGAGTATGTTATTAACGAGTACACCACAGCTTGGACAAGCAGGTAGGGGAGCTCGATCACCCCTTGCGCGAGCGCGTAGGGGATCGCGCCGTACATCCCTGCCCCCTGCTCCCGGTAATAAATACTCCTTTCGACGGCCAGCATGGGTTGAATCGACCCGAGGTTGCTCCACCCGAGAAAGAGCGCCGCGGTGTACAGCGCCCCCATAACATTGACTATCTCCTGGGGAGTTTCCCGGGTGTCTCCGAAGCCAAAGAAGACGGCGCCGATGAGGAGGCCCATGATGAAGGAGAAGAAGAAGCGCGCGCCGTTGTAGTCGGGCATGCGCCAGTACATGCGGTGGCGCTTCCACAGGTGCGTCACGAACTGGGAGAGGGGCGTCGTGGGGTGCCGCGTGGGGAAGAAGAGGTCCGGCTCCCCTTCCGGAGGGGCACTCGACTCTTCAATCAGAGCTTTGATGGACCTGTAGGGGGGGAGAGAGGGGGGAGGAGAGGAGGCAGAGGAGGGCAGGAGAAGAGGTGATGAGGAGGCCCATGATGAATGAGAAGAAGAACTGCACGCCGTTGTAGTCGGGCATGCGCCAGTACATGCGGTGGCGCTTCCATAAGTGAGTCACGAACTGGGAGAGAGGCGTCGTGAGGTGCCGCGTGGGGAAGAAGAGGTCCGACTCTCCCTTGGGGGGTTCGCTTGACTCCTGGATCAGCGATTCAAAGGTTCTGTAGTGAAAGGGAAGGGATGGGAGGGGTGAGCACGAGAGACAGGGAAGAGGCGCGTCATGATCTGGGAGAGAAGAGACGTGGGGTGCTGCGTGCAGTTTTGAGGCGCCTCAAAACTTGCCGCGTGTGGAAGAACCGGTCTGGCTCCCCTTCAGGGGGCGCGCTGGATTCTTCAATCAGAGCTTTCATGGACCCGTAGGGATAGAGAGGGCGAGCCGGAGCGGAGAGGGGCGAGCCGGAGCGGAGAGGGGCGAGCCGGAGCGGAGAGGGGCGAGCCGGAGCGGAGAGGGGCGAGCCGGAGCGGAGAGGGGCGAGCCGGAGCGGAGAGGGGCGAGCCGGAGCGGAGAGGGGCGAGCCGGAGCGGAGAGGGGCGAGCCGGAGCGGAGAGGGGCGAGCCGGAGCGGAGAGGGGCGAGCCGGAGCGGAGAGGGGCGAGCCGGAGCGGAGAGTCGGAGAGGGGCGAGCCGGAGAGGAGAGATGGAGCGGAGATTCGGAGCGGAGAGTCGGAGCGGAGAGTTGGAGAGGGGCGAGAAGGAGAGGAGAGTCGGAGCGGAGATTCGGAGCGGAGAGTTGGAGAGGGGTGAGCAGGAGAGGAGAGTCGGAGCGGAGAGTCGGAGCGGAGAGGGGGAGCGGAGAGGCGGAGCGGAGAGGCGGAGTGGATGTGAGTGACAACCTGGGAAGAAGTAGTTGTGGGGTGCCGGGTGGGGAAGAAGATTTCTGCCCCCCCCTCGGGGGCCACACTTCACTCTTGAGTGAGAGATTCTATGGTTGTGCAAGGGGCGAGCAGGAGAGGGGAGACATAAAGGAGGGGCTTGGGAGGGGCGTTGTGACCACGAATTGCAAGAGGGGCGTTGTGGGTGCTGGGTGGGAAGAGGAGGCCAGCCTTCCCTTCTGAGGCACGCTTGACTCTTCTCTCGAAGCTTCTGTGGACCTCCGCAGCAGCGGCCACCATCACCTCTGCCGAACTCACCTGAGCTTCTGTTGTTCTCACCTGAACTGGTCCAACTGGCGGAAGAGCTGAGCAAAGACGGCCAGGCTCTTCTGCTGCCAATGGCACCAAGACTTCTGTTGAATTCACCTGAGTCTCTGTAGTTTCTCATCTGAACTAGTCGGACTGGCAGGAGAACTGAGCAAAGTCGACCCCATGATTCGCTGCTGCTGCTGGCACCATCAACTCAGCTGAATTCACCTGAGCCTCTGTTGTTTTCACCTGAACTGGTCCGACTCTTGGAAGAGCTCAGCAAAGTCGACCCCGAGCCTCTCTGCTGCTGCTGGTGCTGTGACTTCCAGCATCCATGCTGCGGGGTTGGCGCCGGGCTGAATGGGTGGCACTCCTGAGATGGACTGGAAGGGAAGGGGGGGGATTCAGGGATAGAAAGGGGCAGAGAGGGATAGAGAGGGATGAGGTTAGCCTGTTAGGCAGTAGCTGCTGTGACTTCCAGCATCCATGCTGCGGGGTTGGATCCTGGCTGGATGGGTGCCACTCCTGGGATGGACTGGAAGAGATGAAGGGGAAGGGGGGAGAGGGATGGAGAGGGATGGAGAGGGATGGAGAGGGATGGAGATGGATGGAGAGGGATGGAGAGTGTTAGGCAGTAGATGCTGTGACTTCCAGCTTCCATGCTGCAGGGTTGGCTCCAGGCTGGGTGGGATGAACCCGGGGAGTGGACAGGTGAAAAGTGGAGGGGGGAAGAGAAGGGGTAGAGAGGCAGCAGCTGGTGCTGTAACTTCCAGCATCCACGCTGCAAGGCTGGTTCTTATATACAGCAAAACTGCCTTCCCAAAGACCCCCCACACAAGGCATCGCCTGCTGGTTCTGGTGCTGTAACTTCCAGCATCTATGCCAACCATCGTCTACCTTAGGTTTAAAACATCTCAAAGCTGAACTACTGTCATCCATGCTGCAGGGCTGGCTCCGATATACATCACAAAACCGCCTTCCCAAAGCATGACCTCGCCAATATCTAAAGCGCCTAAAATATGGAGCGGCAGCCGGTGCTAAGGGTGCGTTTAATGAATTCACATGGTTGCTGGAAGTCATAGATCCACGCAATCATGCTGGAGTGCTGGAGTGCTGAGGCTAGAGGTTGGATTCATGTAATTTGTGTAAGTGTACCAGCAGCCATAGGAATTCATTCACCTACTCCCTTGTCGTGTTTCTCCCCTTGTCCTCGTCCCTACTCTCCTCGTTTTCCACATCCTCTCACGTCAGGTGGAAGTGCCAACCTGATGGGTCACAGCATGTTTTGTGCCGGAATTTATGGGCTCGTGGGTGATTTTTGAGGCGCCTCAAAACTCGTGGGTGGACTCATGTACCGTACCCATACCAGCAGTCATATAAAATCCCTATGTTTCTTACCCGCCATTCTCCTCTCATATTTCCCATTTCCCTCCGCTTGCTTTTCGTTCTCCTTCGCCCCCCCCCCCCTCTCCCCTCTTTCCCTGTCAGGTGGGAGCGCCAACCTGAGGGGCCCCAGCATGTATTGTGCCGGCATTCTGGGATTAATGGGGGGATTCATGTACGCGTACCAGCAGTCGTCTGGCCGCCTCATGGGGATGTTTCCCAACAAGTGGGAGGTGGAGCGGGAGAAGTGGAGCAATTAAAAGTGGAGCAGCGAGGATGGTGACCTGGCCGTGCTGAGCTGGAAATGGGAACAATTTTGGCCTCAGTGGGGGATTCATGTATGAAGTTGGCATTCATGTGTGCTTATCAGCAGCCCTCTGGTCGGCTCATGGGCACGTTCCCAACTGGTGGGAGGTGGAGTGGGAGAACTGGATTGGAGCAAGTAGGCAAGGAGCGAGCGAGTAGAAGATTGTGGAAAGGCACACATATTTGTAGAAAGTTGTACGGCACAAGGCTTCTTTGGACTGGATGGGCTGTTCATCTAAGTGCATTGTGAGTAGGCGTTTTGAGGGAGGAGGGATGTGACGTTTTGGTTACTATGATGGTGGAACAAAAACATGTAACTGCAAGCAGACCCTCTACACAAGGTACATGTATGTATCCATGCATATCCCATCTCATCCATATGTACCATTCATGTTTGAAATTATCATACATGATGTCATTCGTTGTGCTCGTGCAGAAGTGCAGAAGCGAAACAGATTAGATTATAGTAGTTAAAGGTTAAAAGGGAAACCACAGGGCAACAGTGGTATACATATCCCATACACTATCAATTTCATCTACCCACACCCCATTTCATCCATCCGTACACATTCCTTATATACAGCTCCCATCCATACATATTCCATCCATACATACCCATCCATCCATACATACTTACATGTCCCTTCCATGGATATCCCACCCATAAATACACATCCCATCCATACATATCCCATCTTTACACATCCCCTCCGGTGCGGCAGTGGCAGTTGTAAGTACCCCATCTCATCTCCATTGGAAGTTGAGGCTCCGGAGACACAGAAGAAGAAGAGGGAGAAGCGAAGAGAGCAGCAGTGAGATGCTGGTGCATCAGCTGACTCTTGAACCGGCTAAAAAGAATCAGATGAAACGGCATTGCTGTCTCATCGCCACTGAAAGTTGAGGTTGCGGAGAGCGTAGGCGAAGACGCAGAAGAAGAGGAGGGAGGAGCCGAAGAGAGCAGCAGTGGCGTAGCCGAGCCAATCGTGGGAGAAGCCATAAAACAACTGAATGAACTGCGATACTGTCTGTGGTGGCATGCCCGGTGTGCTCACCACCAGCGTCGTTACATCTCCCAACTGTAATGAAATGGGAGTTGAAACGAGGAACACAAGGTATGCACCCAGAGGTGAAATGAGAAAGAGGCGAGAGGAGAGAGGAGAGCTTTGAACATGTAGGAAAGATTGTGAACATGCATTCAACTGTCTCGAAGGTGCTTCCGTACTTCTCCTAGTCGGACTTCCTTACAGTCTAGGAGGCGCTTCCCTCACTCAGGCAGTGCTTTTGAAATACACAGATGGGCAGTAGGGAAGGGAAGTGAAAGCGCAGGAAACCGAGTAGTGAACACACTCTCACACTCTAGAAGTTGCCAGGGGTTCACAAAACTATGGGGCTTGCGGATTTGGTTACAGGGATGGGGCTTGGGACTGGGGAGAGGTGGGTTTACCTGGGAAGCATCGAGGCCGTAGAGAGACCATGCCACAGCTTTTGAGTCGACTAAAAAAACGTGTGTAATGAGTCTGCTTTTGAGTTGACTCAAAAAAAGAGGGATGGGGCTTGGGACTGGAGAGAGGTGGGTTTACCTGGGAAGCAGCAAGGCCGTAGAGAGACCATGCCACAGGGTTGATCCAATAAAACCACTTCCAGTACACGGGGATTTTCTGATGACGGCATGCCAGGGGGAGGGACACATGAGGGGGAGGGGAGACAGAGAGGGAGAAATTAACAGGTTTGAAAGAGAGAGAGGGACCATGCCACAGGGTTGATCCGGTAGAACCAACTCCAGTACACACGGATTTCCTGATGTGTGCATGCCAGGGGGAGGGACATGAGGGCAGAGGGACATGTGAGGGGGGAAGAGATGGAGTGATGAACACGAGAGAGAGAGCGTGCCACAGGGTCGATCCAATAAACCCATTTCCAGTACATGGGAATTTGTGCGCGTGAGGGAGACACGGGGTACATGCTGGGGCACGAGGGGGAGACAGAGAAAGAGGAGCACGATGGACACGCACGCTGTCATGGGTATGCCATGGTAATCACGCAGCACTTTTGAGTCGCTTCAAAAACCATGGTAATCACGCAGCACTGCCACTCTAAGAGCACAAAATGCACTGCACTCACCGGCGCCGGCAGGAGGAAGCCGCAGAGAAGGTTCCAGAAGGAGTAGATGAAGGCCGAAAGCAGCATTCCGAGCCCTTCAGCCGGGGTGATGGAGCTCGTCATCATGCCGAAACATGTGAAATAGAGGAGAGTGAGAAACTGGAACAGCAGGTACCATAGGAACTTGTCATATGTCCACTCGAACCGAATCATCGAGTATGTTATTAACGAGTACACCACAGCTTGGACCAGCAGGTAGGGGAGCTCGATCATCCCTTGCGCGAGCGCGTAGGGGATCGCGCCGTACATCCCTGCCCCCCGCTCCCGGTAATAAATACTCCTTTCGACGGCCAGCATGGGTTGAATCGACCCGAGGTTGCTCCACCCGAGAAAGAGCGCCGTGGTGTACAGCGCCCCCATAACATTGACTATCTCCTGGGGAGTTTCCCGGGTGTCTCCGAAGCCAAAGAAGACGGCGCCGATGAGGAGGCCCATGATGAAGGAGAAGAAGAAGCGCGCGCCGTTGTAGTCGGGCATGCGCCAGTACATGAGGTGGCGCTTCCACAGGTGCGTCACGAACTGGGAGAGGGGCGTTGTGGGGTGCCTCGTGGGGAAGAAGAGGTCCGGCTCCCCTTCCGGAGGGGCACTCGACTCTTCAATCAGAGCTTCGATGGACCTGTAGGGGGGGAGAGAGGGGGGAGGAGAGGAGGCAGAGGAGGGCAGGAGAAGAGGTGATGAGGAGGCCCATGATGAATGAGAAGAAGAAGTGCACGCCGTTGTAGTCGGGCATGCGCCAGTACATGCGGTGGCGCTTCCATAAGTGAGTCACGAACTGGGAGAGAGGCGTCGTGAGGTGCCGCGTGGGGAAGTAGAGGTCCGGCTCCCCCTTGGGGGGTTCGCTTGACTCCTGGATCAGCGATTCAAAGGTTCTGTAGTGAAAGGGAAGGGACGGGAGGGGTGAGCACGAGAGACAGGGAAGAGGCGCGTCATGATCTGGGAGAGAAGCGACGTGGGGTGCTGCGTGCAGTTTTGAGGCGCCTCAAAACTTGCCGCGTGCGGAAGAACCGGTCTGGCTCCCCTTCAGGGGGAGCGCTGGATTCTTCAATCAGCGCTTTCATGGACCCGTAGGGATAGAGAGGGCGAGCCGGAGCGGAGAGGGGCGAGCCGGAGCGGAGAGGGGCGAGCCGGAGCGGAGAGGGGCGAGCCGGAGAGGAGAGTCGGAGCGGAGAGTCGGAGAGGGGCGAGCCGGAGAGGAGAGATGGAGCGGAGATTCGGAGCGGAGAGTCGGAGCGGAGAGTTGGAGAGGGGCGAGCAGGAGATGAGATTCGGAGCGGAGATTCGGAGCGGAGAGTTGGAGAGGGGCGAGCAAGAGAGGAGAGTCGGAGCGGAGAGTCGGAGCGGAGAGGGGGAGCGGAGAGGCGGAGCGGAGAGGCAGAGCGGATGTGAGTGACAACCTGGGAAGAAGTAGTTGTGGGGTGCCGGGTGGGGAAGAAGATTTCTGCCCCCCCCTCGGGGGCCACACTTCACTCTTGAATCAGAGATTCTATGGTTGTGGAAGGGGCGAGCAGGAGAGGGGAGACGTAAAGGAGGGGCTTGGGAGGGGCGTTGTGACGACGAATTGCGAGAGGGGCGTTGTGACGACGAATTGCGAGAGGGGCGTTGTGGGTGCTGGGTGGGAAGAGGAGGCCGGCCTTCCCTTCTGAGGCACGCTTGACTCTTCTCTCGAAGCTTCTGTGGACCTCCGCAGCAGCGGCCACCATCACCTATGCTGAACTCACCTGAGCTTCTGTTGTTCTCACCTGAACTGGTCCAACTGGCAGAAGAGCTGAGCAAAGACGACCAGGCTCTTCTGCTGCCAATGGCACCAAGACTTCTGTTGAATTCACCTGAGCCTCTGTAGTTTCTCATCTGAACTAGTCGGACTGGCAGGAGAACTGAGCAAAGTCGACCCCATGATTCGCTGCTGCTGCTGGCACCATCAACTCAGCTGAATTCACCTGAGCCTCTGTTGTTTTCACCTGAACTGGTCTGACTCTTGGAAGAGCTCGGCAAAGTCGACCCCGAGCCTCTCTGCTACTGCTGGTGCTGTGACTTCCAGCATCCATGCTGCGGGGTTGGCGCCGGGCTGAATGGGTGGCACTCCTGAGAAGGACTGGAAGGGAAGGGGGGGGATTGAGGGATAGAAAGGGGCAGAGAGGGATAGAGAGGGATGATGTTAGCCTGTTAGGCAGTAGCTGCTGTGACTTCCAGCATCCATGCTGCGGGGTTGGATCCTGGCTGGATGGGTGCCACTCCTGGGATGGACTGGAAGAGATGAAGGGGAAGGGGGGAGAGGGATGGAGAGGGATGGAGAGGGATGGAGAGTGTTAGGCAGTAGATGCTGTGACTTCCAGCGTCCATGCTGCAGGGTTGGCTCCAGGCTGGGTGGGATGAACCCGGGGAGTGGACAGGTGAAAAGTGGAGGGGGGAAGAGAAGGGGTAGAGAGGCAGCAGCTGGTGCTGTAACTTCCAGCATCCACGCTGCAAGGCTGGTTCTTATATACAGCAAAACTGCCTTCCCAAAGACCCCCCACACAAGGCATCGCCTGCTGGTTCTGGTGCTGTAACTTCCAGCATCTATGCCAACCATCGTCTACCTTAGGTTTAAGACATCTCAAAGCTGAACTACTGTCATCCATGCTGCAGGGCTGGCTCCGATATACATCACAAAACCGCCTTCCCAAAGAACCCCCCCCCCCCCCCCCCCCCCCCCCGCATGGCCTCGCCAATATCTAAAGCACCTAAAATATGGAGCGGCAGCCGGTGCTAAGGGTGCGTTTAATGAATTCACATGGTTGCTGGAAGTCATAGATCCACGCAATCATGCTGGAGTGCTGGAGTGCTGAGGCTAGAGGTTGGATTCATGTAATTTGTGTAAGTGTACCAGCAGCCATAGGAATTCATTCACCTACTCCCTTGTCGTGTTTCTCCCCTTGTCCTCGTCCCTACTCTCCGTGTTTTCCACATCCTCTCACGTCAGGTGGAAGTGCCAACCTGATGGGTCACAGCATGTTTTGTGCCGGAATTTATGCGCTCGTGGGTGATTTTTGAGGCGCCTCAAAACTCGTGGGTGGACTCATGTACCGTACCCATACCAGCAGTCATATAAAATCCCTATGTTCCTTACCCGCCATTCTCCTCTCATATTTCCCATTTCCCTCCGCTTGCTTTTCGTTCTCCTTCCCCCCCCCCCCCCTCTCCCTTCTCTCCCTGTCAGGTGGGAGCACCAACCTGAGGGGCCCCAGCATGTATTGTGCCGGCATTCTGGGATTAATGGGGGGTTTCATGTACGCGTACCAGCAGTCGTCTGGCCGCCTCATGGGGATGTTTCCCAACAAGTGGGAGGTGGAGCGGGAGAAGTGGAGCAATTAAAAGTGGAGCAGCGAGGATGGTGACCTGGCCGTGCTGAGCTGGAACTGGGAACAATTTTGGCCTCAGTGGGGGATTCATGTATGAAGTTGGCATTCATGTGTGCTTATCAGCAGCCCTCTGGTCGGCTCATGAGCACGTTCCCAACTGGTGGGAGGTGGAGTGGGAGAACTGGATTGGAGCAAGTAGGCAAGGAGCGAGCCAGTAGAAGATAGTGGAAAGGCACACATATTTGTAGAAAGTTGTACGGCACAAGGCTTCTTTGGACTGGATGGGCTGTTCATCTAAGTGCATTGTGAGTAGGCGTTTTGAGGGAGGAGGGATGTTACGTTTTGGTTACTATGATGGTGGAACAAAAACATGTAACTGCAAGCAGACCCGCTACACAAGGTACATGTATGTATCCATGCATATCCCATCTCATCCATATGTACCATTCATGTTTGAAATTATCATACAAGATGTCGTTCGTTGTGCTCGTGCAGAAGTGCAGAAGCGAAACAGATTAGATTATAGTAGTTAAAGGTTAAAAGGGAAACCACAGGGCAACAGTGGTATACATATCCCATACACTATCAATTTCATCTACCCACACCCCCCATTTCATCCATCCGTACACATTCCTTATATACAGCTCCCATCCATACATATCCCATCCATACATACCCATCCATTCATACATACTTACATGTCCCTTCCATGGATATCCCACCCATAAATACACATCCCATCCATACATACCCCATCCGTACATATCCCATCTTTACACATCCCCTCCGGTGCCGCAGTGGCAGTTGTAAGTACCCCATCTCATCTCCATTGGAAGTTGAGACTCCGGAGACACAGAAGAAGAAGAGGGAGAAGCGAAGAGAGCAGCAGTGAGATGCTGGTGCATCAGCTGACTCTTGAACCGGCTAAAAAGAATAAGATGAAACGGCATTGCTGTCTCATCGAGGTGACTTTTAAGTCGACTCAAAAGTCGAATCAGATGAAACGGCATTGCTGTCTCATCGCCACTGAAAGTTGAGGTTGCGGAGAGCGTAGGCGAAGACGCAGAAGAAGAGGAGGGAGAAGCCGAAGAGAGCAGCAGTGGCGTAGCCGAGCCAATCGTGGGAGAAGCCATAAAACAACTGAATGAACTGCGATACTGTCTGTGGTGGCATGCCCGGTGTGCTCACCACCAGCGTCGTTACATCTCCCAACTGTAATGAAACGGGAGTTGAAACGAGGAACACAAGGTATGCACCCAGAGGTGAAATGAGAAAGAGGCGAGAGGAGAGAGGAGAGCTTTGAACATGTAGGAAAGATTGTGAACATGCATTCAACTGTCTCGAAGGTGCTTCCGTACTTCTCCTAGTCGGACTTCCTTACAGTCTAGGAGGCGCTTCCCTCACTCAGGCAGTGCTTTTGAAATACACAGATGGGCAGTAGGGAAGGGAAGTGAAAGCGCAGGAAACCGAGTAGTGAACACACTCTCACGCTCTAGAAGTTGCCAGGGGTTCACAAAACTATGGGGCTTGCGGATTTGGTTACAGGGATGGGGCTTGGGACTGGGGAGAGGTGGGTTTACCTGGGAAGCATCGAGGCCGTAGAGAGACCATGCCACAGCTTTTGAGTCGACTAAAAAAACGTGTGTAATGAGTCTGCTTTAGAGTCGACTCAAAAAAAGAGGGATGGGGCTTGGGACTGGAGAGAGGTGGACTTACCTGGGAAGCAGCAAGGCCGTAGAGAGACCATGCCACAGGGTTGATCCAATAAAACCACTTCCAGTACACGGGGATTTTCTGATGACGGCATGCCAGGGGGAGGGACACATGAGGGGGAGGGGAGACAGAGAGGGAGCAATTAACAGGTTTGAAAGAGAGAGAGGGACCATGCCACAGGGTTGATCCGGTAGAACCAACTCCAGTACACACGGATTTTCTGATGTGTGCATGCCAGGGGGAGGGACATGAGGGCAGAGGGACATGTGAGGGGGGAAGAGATGGAGTGATGAACACGAGAGAGAGAGCGTGCCACAGGGTCGATCCAATAAACCCATTTCCAGTACATGGGAATTTGTGCGCGTGAGGGAGACACGGGGTACATGCTGGGGCACGAGGGGGAGACAGAGAAAGAGGAGCACGATGGACACGCACGCTGTCATGGGTATGCCATGGTAATCACGCAGCACTTTTGAGTCGCTTCAAAAACCATGGTAATCACGCAGCACTGCCACTCTAAGAGCACAAAATGCACTGCACTCACCGGCGCCGGCAGGAGGAAGCCGCAGAGAAGGTTCCAGAAGGAGTAGATGAAGGCCGAAAGCAGCATTCCGAGCCCTTCAGCCGGGGTGATGGAGCTCGTCATCATGCCGAAACATGTGAAATAGAGGAGAGTGAGAAACTGGAACAGCAGGTACCATAGGAACTTGTCATATGTCCACTCGAACCGAATCATCGAGTATGTTATTAACGAGTACACCACAGCTTGGACAAGCAGGTAGGGGAGCTCGATCACCCCTTGCGCGAGCGCGTAGGGGATCGCGCCGTACATCCCTGCCCCCTGCTCCCGGTAATAAATACTCCTTTCGACGGCCAGCATGGGTTGAATCGACCCGAGGTTGCTCCACCCGAGAAAGAGCGCCGCGGTGTACAGCGCCCCCATTACATTGACTATCTCCTGGGGAGTTTCCCGGGTGTCTCCGAAGCCAAAGAAGACGGCGCCGATGAGGAAGCCCATGATGAAGGAGAAGAAGAAGCGCGCGCCGTTGTAGTCGGGCATGCGCCAGTACATGCGGTGGCGCTTCCACAGGTGCGTCACGAACTGGGAGAGGGGCGTCGTGGGGTGCCGCGTGGGGAAGAAGAGGTCCGGCTCCCCTTCCGGAGGGGCACTCGACTCTTCAATCAGAGCTTCGATGGACCTGTAGGGGGGGAGAGAGGGGGGAGGAGAGGAGGCAGAGGAGGGCAGGAGAAGAGGTGATGAGGAGGCCCATGATGAATGAGAAGAAGAAGTGCACGCCGTTGTAGTCGGGCATGCGCCAGTACATGCGGTGGCGCTTCCATAAGTGAGTCACGAACTGGGAGAGAGGCGTCGTGAGGTGCCGCGTGGGGAAGTAGAGGTCCGGCTCCCCCTTGGGGGGTTCGCTTGACTCCTGGATCAGCGATTCAAAGGTTCTGTAGTGAAAGGGAAGGGACGGGAGGGGTGAGCACGAGAGACAGGGAAGAGGCGCGTCATGATCTGGGAGAGAAGCGACGTGGGGTGCTGCGTGCAGTTTTGAGGCGCCTCAAAACTTGCCGCGTGCGGAAGAACCGGTCTGGCTCCCCTTCAGGGGGAGCGCTGGATTCTTCAATCAGCGCTTTCATGGACCCGTAGGGATAGAGAGGGCGAGCCGGAGAGGAGAGATGGAGCGGAGATTCGGAGCGGAGAGTCGGAGCGGAGAGTTGGAGAGGGGCGAGCAGGAGATGAGAGTCGGAGCGGAGATTCGGAGCGGAGAGTTGGAGAGGGGCGAGCAAGAGAGGAGAGTCGGAGCGGAGAGTCGAAGCGGAGAGGGGGAGCGGAGAGGCGGAGCGGAGAGGCAGAGCGGATGTGAGTGACAACCTGGGAAGAAGTAGTTGTGGGGTGCCGGGTGGGGAAGAAGATTTCTGCCCCCCCCTCGGGGGCCACACTTCACTCTTGAATCAGAGATTCTATGGTTGTGGAAGGGGCGAGCAGGAGAGGGGAGACGTAAAGGAGGGGCTTGGGAGGGGCGTTGTGACGACGAATTGCGAGAGGGGCGTTGTGACGATGAATTGCGAGAGGGGCGTTGTGGGTGCTGGGTGGGAAGAGGAGGCCGGCCTTCCCTTCTGAGGCACGCTTGACTCTTCTCTCGAAGCTTCTGTGGACCTCCGCAGCAGCGGCCACCATCACCTATGCTGAACTCACCTGAGCTTCTGTTGTTCTCACCTGAACTGGTCCAACTGGCAGAAGAGCTGAGCAAAGACGACCAGGCTCTTCTGCTGCCAATGGCATCAAGACTTCTGTTGAATTCACCTGAGCCTCTGTAGTTTCTCATCTGAACTAGTCGGACTGGCAGGAGAACTGAGCAAAGTCGACCCCATGATTCGCTGCTGCTGCTGGCACCATCAACTCAGCTGAATTCACCTGAGCCTCTGTTGTTTTCACCTGAACTGGTCCGACTCTTGGAAGAGCTCAGCAAAGTCGACCCCGAGCCTCTCTGCTGCTGCTGGTGCTGTGACTTCCAGCATCCATGCTGCGGGGTTGGCGCCGGGCTGAATGGGTGGCACTCCTGAGATGGACTGGAAGGGAAGGGGGGGGATTCAGGGATAGAAAGGGGCAGAGAGGGATGGAGAGGGATGAGGTTAGCCTGTTAGGCAGTAGCTGCTGTGACTTCCAGCATCCATGCTGCGGGGTTGGCTCCTGGCTGGATGGGTGCCACTCCTGGGATGGACTGGAAGAGATGAAGGGGAAGGGGAGAGAGGGATGGAGAGGGATGGAGAGGGATAGAGAGGGATGGAGAGGGATGGAGAGTGTTAGGCAGTAGATGCTGTGACTTCCAGCGTCCATGCTGCAGGGTTGGCTCCAGGCTGGGTGGGATGAACCCGGGGAGTGGACAGGTGAAAAGTGGAGGGGGGAAGAGAAGGGGTAGAGAGGCAGCAGCTGGTGCTGTAACTTCCAGCATCCACGCTGCAAGGCTGGTTCTTATATACAGCAAACCTGCCTTCCCAAAGACCCCCCACACATGGCATCGCCTGCTGGTGCTGGTGCTGTAACTTCCAGCATCGAAGGTGATTTTTGCTGTAAAATATGGAGCGGCAGCTGGTGCTGTGACTCCCGGCATCCATGCTGCAAAGCTTGTTACGATACATTACAAAACTGCCTTCTCAAAAACCTTGCGTGCATGGCCTCGCCTCCCCTGCAACTCTCGCCTACCTTCAACTTACACAGTCCGTCCTTAACTCCCCTCCCCCCCCCCCCCCTCCCCGGAAAAAAACGAAAAAAATAAAAATAAAAAAAACTTAATTTGTCACCTTGAAGTAGCGAACGAGGTCGCGAGACTGCCTCCCCAGGGACCCTGCATATATGGCCTGGCCACCCCGCTGCATCAGCAGCAGCTGCAGGGCGCAATGAAGAGAAAAGCAGGCGAGGGGCAGGGAGTACGAGAAGAAGGGGGGGGGGGAGAGGAGTGGGCATGGGGGCATGTGGAGCGCGTGCCTTCCCAGAAACCCCATAGGTCGCGAGACTGCCTCCCCAGAGACCCTGCATAGATGGCCTGCCCCCCTGTAACCTCCTTGCCTCCCCGCTGCATCAGCAGCAGCTGCAAGGCACAGTCAAGAGAAAATTAGTTAGGGCGAGTGCAAGAAGGGTAACGAGTGAGTGGATTGGGAAGAACGAGTTCAGTAAGCCCCCTGTAACCTCCTCGCCCCCTCTCTGCGTCAGCAGCAGCTGCAGGGCGCAATCGTGAAAAGAGCAGTGGAGGGCGAAAGTTGGGAGTTGGTGTGATTTTGATTCAACTCAAAAGTCATCTGGCTGTCCTGCTAGTTTTGAGGCGCCTCAAAACAAAAGTCATCTGGCTGTCCTGCTGCATCAGCAGCAGCTGCAGGGCACAATCGTGAGACAGGCAGCAGATGTAGTTTAAGATTGCACTAGGTGCGAAGCACATGATGCTGTACCACATTACAGTGTACCCCATACAGTCTACCGCACAATACTGTATCTCACCAAAAGCCTCAACGCAAATCCATGGACAGCTGGTGAGTCTGCTTTTGAGTCGACTCAAAAGCAAATCCATGCACCCACCGTGCAACCTGTGTTGAAAAAAGGTGGTGTTACTTCTGTTACTGCGCATATTTGTACTGCTATACAATGCTGCCCCCTTCCACTTAATACGTTTACCTCATCAAAGGCCTCAAAGATATCAATGGAGGGCTGGTAGATGGTGCTTAGCCCCGTACGAGCCGTGCTGACCATGTACCCGTTATAATGTACCTCGTTATCCTGTACCTCATCAAAGGCCTCGAAGATATCGATGGACGGCTGGTGGATGGTGCACACCACTGTACGGCCCGTGTTGACTGTGTTACGCACTGCCCTCATCACTATGGCCGCCGCTCTGGCATCCAGACCTGGGGTGGGGAGAGAGCAAATGACACACATGTACAGAAGACAGAGGTCACATGAGACGAATGCAGAGAGGAGAGAGGAGGGTCGGTCGTTGTTGACTGTGTTGATTTTTGAGTCGACCCAACTGTGTTGATTTTTGAGTCGACCCAACTGTGTTGATTGTTGACTACACAGTGTTCGTAAGCCTGCCCTCCACACAGCCTGCTGCCACGTATGGCTAAAACCACCACCAAGTGGTGCTCCCTCAAATGCAGAGGGGAGAGAGGAGGGTCGGTCGGTGTTGACTGTGTTGGGCACTGCTCCCATCACTATGGCCGCTGCTCTGGCGTCAAGGCCTGAGAGGGAATAGAGGAGGGAAGAGAGGAAGGACGAAGGGGAGGGAGGAGGAAAGAGGGGGAGGACAGAAAGACCCCTGTACTGACTGTGTTGCGAACTACCCCAATCACTATGGCCGCTGCTCTGGAGTCGATGCATGGGAAATGAAACGGAGGGAGGCGGGTAGAGGTGACTTTTGAGTCGCCTTAAAAGTCACCTCGTTATAAGGCATGGGAAATGAAACGGAGGGAGAAGGGTAGTAGAGAGGTCCGATGATAGGGAGCAGGCAAGCGGCACGGGTGATTACCTATATTAACTCACTCCACCGACAGCCTGTCCTGGCCAGCCGTCCCCACCTAAACCTTAAACCATATGTGAAACAGGTCTTACCTGAGGTGGTTTCATCCATGGATCTGATCGAAGGCTTGGCCACCAGCTCCACAGCGATGGTGAGGCGCTTCCTCTGCTCCACCGACAGCCCGTTCTGGCCTCCCGAGGGGAAGGTCTTACATGAAGGGTAGGTGTTACCTGAGGTGGGTTCGTCCATGAAGATGATAGACGGGTTCGCCACCAGCTCGACGGCGATGGTGAGGCGCTTCCTCTGCTCCACCGACAGCCCGTCCTGCCCGGACGTCCCCACCAGAGCACCCTTCACCACGTCCAGCTCCACCAGCTCCATCACCTCCTCCACGAATTCCTGAGAAGAATGGTTGAGGTTTTAAGGTTTGAAGTAGGCATATAATTGGGTGACTTGGGGGAGAAAGGAAGGCGTTAAATACCCCAGCAGCGCGCCCTTCACCACCTCTAACTCCACCAGCTCCATCACCTCCTCCACGAATTCCTGACAGTGAGGGTTGAAGGTTTAGGGTTTAGGGTAAGTATTGAACTGGGTGATACGGGGGATTATTGAGGGTGAGCGCCCTTGACCACGTCGAGCTCCACCAGCTCCACCACCTCCTCCACGAATTCCTGTACGGGGGAATTGTAGAGGGAGCGGGCACGACACAACAAGACCCAGGCACAGGTGAACACACGGGAGGGAATGGCTGGAACCCGCCAGAGCGCCCAGCGCCCTTGACTACCTCGAGCTCCACAAGCTCCACGAATTCGTGTATCACCATGATCACATCTCTGCCAATTTCGTCTAGCAATCCTAGTGTAATGAGTTGAGTCGACTCAAAAATCGACTCATTACACACGGAGCTCCACGAGTTCGTGTATCACCATGATCACATCTCTGCCAATTTCTTCTAGCAATCCTAGTGCCGCCGTGTGGAGCAGAGCAGCGACTCGTGCACCATCACCTGCGGTGTGTGCACATCCACCGGCTTGCAGTACCCCCTGTACCCCATCTCTGGTTCCTCCCTGCCCTCCCTTTGCTTCCCCATCTCACCATGATCCCATCTCTTTCAATCTCCTCTGGAAGTCGCATCCAAGCCGAGTAGAGCAGCGACTCCTGCACCGTCACCTGCGGTGTGTGCACACCCACCTGGTTTTGAGGCGCCTCAAAACTAGACTCCTGCTTTTGAGTTGACTCAAAAGCAGACTCCTGCGGTGTGTGCACACCCACCTGGTTTTGAGGCGCCTCAAAACTAGACTCCTGCTTTTGAGTTGACTCAAAAGCAGACTCCTGCACCATCACCTGCGGTGTGTGCACACCCACCTGCGCGCAAACTGCCCTCTAGTCCTTGCCCTCCCTATCCCGCCCATCCCGTTCGCACACCACTATCAGTGCTTTCAGCTCACCACTATCACATCACATACACTCGCGATTACCATTGCTGTCAACTCACCATGATCACATCTCGATCAATCTCCTCTGGAAGTCGCAGCCACGCGGAGTAGAGCAACGACTCGTGCACCGTCACCTGCGGCGTGTGCACATCCACCTGCTCGCAGTACCCCGACACTCTCAGAAACGTCTCCTGCACTTTTGGGTACCCCGACACGCGGACATCCCCCTCGATATACCCTCCTGTCTTCCGCCCTGCAAGCACATCCATCAGGGTGGTTTTTCCCGCTCCAGACACCCCCATTAGGGCGGTTAGCACTCCGGGTCGAAACACGCCGGACACATTGCGCAGCAGCTGCAGCCGCTGGCTGGGCGGCGCGGCCTTGTCCTTTAGCTCGGCAGGCATGTCGACGAAGTAGTTGACATTGTGGAAGGAGAGGGTGAGGGGGTCAAAGGGGAGCACCATGCCATGCTGACTCATGTCTGAACCATGGGTGGGAACGCCGGGTGCATCATACTCATAATCATCATCATCATCATTAGCAGCAGCAAGATCAGGATGGTAATCGGGATCATTTCTGTCAAGACTGTCGTTTGTTGAAAGCTTTTGAGGCGGCTCAGAAGCGCCTCTTTCGAGACTGTCGTTGCTTGAACGAGCTTTTTTGGTGCTGGTAGGTGGAGTCAACCCTGCACCATCGCTTGCATCCCCATCGCCCAAGAACGAAACTGCTCTCCTCTGCCGCTGCTTCTCCTCCCCGTTTCCTGCGGTGGTGGCAGCAGCAGCTGCAGTCGCTGCAGTCACCCCAGCACCATCGTTCTCATCCCCGTCGCTCAAGAACGAAACCGCTTTCCTCTGCCGCTGCTTCTGCTCCTTCTCACCTGTGGTGCCAGCTGCGGCTGCTGCAGATCCTGCAGTCACCCCCCCACCATCACTCGCATCCCCATCACTCAAGAACGAGACCGCTTTCCTCTGCCGCTGCTTCACATCTCCGCCCCCCGCGGTGGTAGGTGCAGTAACTGCAGCCACCCCCGCACTATCACCGCCAGCAGCAGCAGCAGCACCATCGCTCGCATCCCCGTTGCTCAAGAACGAAACCGCTTTCCTCTGCCGCTGGTTCTCCTCCTTGGCACCTGTGGTGACTGCTGCAGATGCTGCAGTCACACCCCCACCATCAATCGCATCCCCATCGCTCAAGAAAGAAACTGCTTTCTTCCGCTGCTGCCGCGTCCCCCCCTTGGGGCCAGTGGCAGTAGCTGCAGTAACTCCGTTACCCTCGTCACCAGCAGCAGCAGCAGCAGCAGCAGCAGCAGCACCACCACCAAGACCAGCAGCAGCAGCAGCAGCAATGCTAAACGTTCTCCAAGACTTCCCCCCTGCCACACTCCTGGACCCCATTTCCCCCCCTTCCCCCCTCGTGCTGCCCATAAACGATCCCACACGCCTCTTACTGACTGCAAATGACGACCCCACACCCCTCATGCTGCCCGTAAACCCCACACCTCTCCTGTGGCTCCTGTAACCGCCCCCCAGTTCCTCCCCTCCCACTTCTCCCCCATCACCTCCCCCTACGGCACCGAAACTTCGAGGGGAAACCGCCGACTTGCCCGAAAAAGAATTCTTGAACGAGCGGGCAGAGGTTGAAGGTCTGGCAAGGCTCTTGGAGGAGCGGAAGCGGCCGCTGGCGAGGAAGCGGTCAATGGCAGTGGAGCCGGTGCGGGAGAGGGTGCGCAAGCGGATGGAGGCGTAGCGGGAAGCAAAGTCCAGGTTGGTGCCGGCCAGAGCTGTCTCCCGAGCGTCGAGCTGGTGCTGGGAGATCACCGGCTGGGCCTTGGGCCACGCTGGGGGGAGGGTGTGGAGGGGGGGGAGAGGAGGGGGAGGGGGGAGGGAGGGGGGTAGAGAGAGGGGGGAATGGGAAGGAAAGGAGTGGTAAGGGAAGAGGCCTGGCAAGGCTCTCGGAGGAGCGGAAGCGGCCGCTAGCGAGGAATATCTCAGTGGCAGTTGAGCCAGTGCGGGAGAGGGTGGGGGAGCGCAGGGAGGCGTGGCGCGAGGCGAAGTCCAGGTCGGCCCCCGCTAGAGCTGTCTCCCGGCCCGGGCGTCCAGCTGGTGCTGGGAGATCATCGGCTGGGCCTTGCGCAACGCTGGGAGGGGAGAGGGAGGGGGGGAGGAAGGAGGGGTGAGTGGAAGAGAGGGTGAGCGAGTGGTGGGAGGCGTAGTGGGAGGCATAGTCCAGGTTGGTGCCTGCTAGAGCTGTCTCCCGTGCGTCCAGCTGGTGCTGGGAGATCACTGGCTGGGCCTTGGACCACGCTGGGGGGGGGGTGGAAGGAAGAAGAAAAGAGGGGGGGGGAAGGAAGGTGAGGGAGGGAGAAACAGGAGAAGGAGAGAAGGAGAGGGGCGAGTACAGAATGCGCGTGAATAGAGAAGGATGCTGGGAGGGTAGGCCATGGTGATAGCTGGGGTGATAGGCCATGGTTATAGCTGCTTCCTGTAAGCGCATGGCATACAGTGCATGGCATACAGTGCACGGCATACAGTGCATGGCATACAGTGCATGGCATACAGTGCATGGCTTTACTATTACAAGTACATGGTTTTACAGTGGAGGTATAAAAAGTGCACGGCTTATGGTTGAGGTATTGAAGTGCATGGCTTATGGTTGAGGTACTTGAGTGCAAGGATGATACCCACGTTACAGAGGGCAGTGCACGCAGCGCCGACAGCAGCATCGGCCCTAAACCCAGAAGCCCTCGGTCCAGAGATTGTTTTTGAGGCGCCCAAAAATAGTGCATGGCTTACGGTTGAGGTACTTGAGTGCAAGGATGATAACCACGTTGCAGAGGGCAGTAGAGGCGACACTGACAGACAGCAACACCGGCCCTTTTTAATTTGGCTCAGCAGCGAGTGCATGGCTTACGGTTGAGGTATTTAAGTGCGAGGATGGTAACCACGTTGCAGAGCGCGGCAAAGACGACACCCAAAGAAGGACTGGCCCTTTAAGTTGGCTCAACAGCGAGTGCAGCATGGCTTACGGTTGAGGTACTTGAGTGCGAGGATGGTAACCACGTTGCAGAGCGCGGCAAAGACGACACCCACAGCAGCACCAGCCCACACCCAGTAGCCCTCGGTCCAGAGGTTGCGAGCTGTCAGCACCTGAAGGCCCACTGTAGTGTTCAAAGATGGGGGGACAGAAGGCTTGGGAGGGGGGGTTGGGGCGCGAGGAGGGTGAGGGGGAGAAGGGGGAAGAGGGGGAGCGGGATGAGGGGAGGAGAAGAGATATTTTAGAGGCATTTCAGAGAGTAAAGGGCCTGTGAGCTGACTAGGGCACTGACAGCAGCACTGGCCCACACCCAGTACCCCTCAGTCTAGAGGTTGCGAGACTCCAACACCTGAATGCGAGGTTGTAGTGTTGAGTGACGGCTGGGGAAGGGAGGAGGGGGAGGAGAGGGAGAAGAGAGATAAGGGGAGACAGTTCAGAGGCGTTTCAGAAGTAAAAGGTTCCGGTGCTGAGAAGGGCACTGACAGCTGCACCGGCCTGCACAAACAAACCCAATAGCTGCGGATCTAGAGGCTGCAAGCAAGCCATCTGCGCCTGCATGCCACTGACGTGTTATGCTCAAGGAAGGGGGGCAAAAGGCTGGGGGGGTTGACTACAGACTACATCCCCCTTCTGGAAGCCAAAAACTGATCCCATGTGCCATGCTACCATGGCATGGAACATGGGATCTGCTACCATGGCATGGAACATGGGATCTGCTACCATGGCATGGAACATGGGATCTGCTACCATGGCATGGAACATGGGATTTGCTACCATGGCATGGAACATGGGATCTGCTACCATGGCATGGAACATGGGATCTGCTACCATGGCATGGAACATGGGATCTGCTACCATGGCATGAAACAGCACGTACCACATCCCATCTGTGAGGCGCATCACATTTTTGAGGCGCCTCAAAAATAGGCTCTGCACGTACCACATCCCATCTGTGAGGCGCATCACATTTTTGAGGCGCCTCAAAAATAGGCTCTGCACGTACCACATCCCATCTGGACGCGAGAAACTCGTTGGCAGAGAAAGCGTTCTGGCAGTAGGTGAGCGGCGACATCCAATACACCCAGATCCACATGCTGTGAATGTCGGCTGAGGTGGGGTGGGGTGGGATGCGGTATGGGGGGAGTTGCAGTGGTGTGGCGATGGGGAGATGGGGAGATGTGGTGGAATGGGGTGTATATGTTGAGTCGAACCACAAGGCATTCTGGCAGTAGGTGAGGGGCGGGATCCAATACATCCAGATCCACACGCTGTGAATGTCGGCTGGAGTGGGGCGCAGATGGGATGGGACCGGGGAAGACGGATGTGAGGGATGAGGCTTGCTTTGATTCTACCTATATGGCGTTCTGGCAGTAGCACGACACGAAGATGAAGTTGCCGAAGGTGTTGATGGGCGTGGTGCTGCGGAATATAGCCCCCATACGAGTGCTTTCACAGGGTTATGGGCATCACCAGGTAGCAATTCTCACAGATAGTACCTTTCGTGATGATGAAACCGCGGAGCAGGAAGAGCAGCACGAGGATGGAGTCGCCGAGCGTGTTGATCAGCGAGGTGCTGCGGACTTGGTACAAGGCTCCCGTGCCAGTGCTTTTGAGTCGACTCAAAAGTCGGCTCCCATGCTAGTGCTTTTGAGTCGACTCAGAAGTCGGCTCCCGTGCCAGTGCTTTTGAGTCGACTCAAAAGTCGGCTCCCATGCTAGTGCTTTTGAGTCGACTCAAAAGTCGGCTCCCATGCTAGTGCTTTTGAGTCGACTCAAAAGTCGGCTCCCATGCTAGTGCTTTTGAGTCGACTCAAAAGTCGGCTCCCATGCTAGTGCTTTTGAGTCGACTCAAAAGTCGGCTCCCATGCTAGTGCTTTTGAGTCGACTCAAAAGTCGGCTCCCATGCTAGTGCTTTTGAGTCGACTCAAAAGTCGGCTCCCGTGCTAGTGCTTTTGAGTCGACTCAAAAGTCGGCTCCCGTGCTAGTGCTTTTGAGTCGACTCAAAAGTCGGCTCCCGTGCCAGTGCTTTTGAGTCGACTCAAAAGTCGGCTCCCCTGCTAGTGCTTTTGAGTCGACTCAAAAGTCGGCTCCCCTGCTAGTGCATTCTCAGATCCATGCCTTCACAGGTAACGACCTTCACGGGTAAGTACCTTTGGTGATGATGAATCCCGAGAGCAGGAAGAGCAGCACGAGGATGAAGTTGCCGAGGGTGTTGATCAGCGTGGTGCTGCGGAAGATGGCTCCCATGGCTCGATAGAGGGATGAGGCCGCCATGTGGGTAATAAAGAAGAGAAGAAGCTGGGCAATGAAGCTGCAGGGGAGGAGAGGGGGGAAGAGATGGCAAGGAGGGAGAGGGGAGGCACTTCAACACACTGAAGATGGCTCCCATGGTGCGGTTGAGCACTGAGGCGGCCATGTGGGTGATTAAGAAGAGCAGCAGCTGGGCGACGAAGCTGCCATCATGGGAGGGAGCGGGGAGAGGGTTTGATGGAGGGGAAGGGGTGGACAGGAGACAGGGGGGAGGGGGGGGATGAGGCGTCACTTTGCACACGGAAGATGGCTCCCATGGCGCGGTAGAGCGCCGAGGCCGCCATGTGGGTGGTGAAGAAGAGCAGCAGCTGGGCCACGAAGCTGCCACCAAGGGAGGGAGGGGGGAGGGGGTGGACAAGGGGAAGCGGGGATGGGGGGAAGGGGGGAAGGGGGGAAGGGGGGAAGGGGGGAAGGGGGGAAGAGAAGAACATGCGGCATGGGCAATATCAGACAAAAACCTCCTCACCTGGAGAATTCTGGTGCAAAGCCAATGCCGTAGTACGTTGTTGCCGTCCAGACTCCCGCCGACCACAGCGATACGGGCACCGACAGACAGCAGCGCCATGGGCACACACACACCAGGCCCAGGTAGGGAAGAGGAGGCCGTCCCTTTGCAGGAAGAAGGTCATGCAGCATGGGCGGGTATCATTCAATGCACCCAAAAGGAACGTTGGGAACCAACGTACCGGGAGAATTCCGGGGCGAATCCGATCCCGTAGTAGGTTATTGCCGTCCAGACTCCAGCCGACCACAGAGAGACCGGCACCGAGAGCAGCGCCATGGGCACACACCAGGCCCAGGTGGGGAAGAGGAGATTGTCCCTTTGCAGGAAGAAGATGGGCAGGCGGGCTGTGAGCAGGGTGAGCTCGATGATGCCGCTGAATAGCATGGTGATTATACCGAAGAATATGGCCCCCAGGTAGAAGTTGCCATCCAGCGGGTTGACAGAAAATTGGGAACGCCAGAAGACCGTCATTGTGACTATAGCGAGGGGGAGGATCTGGAGGGGGGGGGGGGGGGAGGGGGGAACGGGGGGAGGGAGAGGGGGTGGGGGGAAACGGGGAGGAATGGAGAGGGGGAGAGGGGTTTGGGGAGGGGGATGGAGCGAGCTCAATGATGCCGCTGAAGAGCATGGTGATTATGCCGAAGAAGATGGCCTCCAGGTAGTCCAGGGGGGCGATGGAGAGCTGGGAACGCCAGAAGACAGTCATTGCGACTATAGCTAGCGGGAGGTGACTTTTGAGTCTTTGAAGAGTTTTTGAGGTCACCTCGAAGACGGTCATTGCGTCTACAGCTAGCGGGAGGATTGGCCAGAGTGTGGAGAAGTGTTGTGACAAGGGTGAGGGTGCAAGAGCAGCAGATTGGGAGAAGTGGGTGGGTGGGTGGGTGGGTGAGTGGGCATCCATAAGGCCAATCTGAGTGTAACGAGCGCCCATCCCATACCTGCATGGTCTGCACGATGTAGAGGAAGAGGTTGCGCTTCATCAGCAGCCACTCGCGCTCCGACACTATGGCGAGCGTGGCGAGGGGCGAAAGCACAAACCGCCTCCTCGCAAGTGCAAGAGATCCATCCGTATTCCGTTGCTCTCCCTTATCGTCTCTGTTGCTCTCTCCGTTAAACCCTCCTCCCTTGTCCTCCTCCCCCCGAGCCCCCCTTCCCTTATCCTCGCCCTTATGCTTCTGGTATGGGATGGAGAGCTCTGCCTCGATCTGCTTGCCGAGCCTGGAGGCTCGGAAGGCCTCCTCGAAGGCTCGGACGGACACGTAGCGGTACGGCTGGGGCTGGGATTGCTGCCAGTACTGCTCCTGGTCTTTTAACGAGGTGACCTGTAGGGAGGATGGGGTGAAGCACGGGGAAGGAAGCCAGAAAAGGAGGTTATGACAATGCTGAAGCTTCCTATCAGTCGTCAAGGCACAGAGGCATGTACCAGATCAAATCAGAACCACAAAATCAGAACCAGAAAAAAAAACCAAATACCCGACCTGCATCAGCAATACCATCAAGCGAGAATCCCAGAGGCTACCTTGATGCAGCCCGTAGGTGTCTTCCACACGCACATCTCTTGCAGGAACGGAAGTCCGCCGAGTGACACACACACCTGGATTTCACCTGGAAAACACACCTCTTGCAGGAAATCCCCGCTCCGTTGCTCCGTTGGAGCAAACCCCATTTTCCAGAAGAATCCCTCCCACCACCTCCTCCCTGGACCCATGGTATGCAATTCGACCCGCTGACACTCTCCTTCTCTCCTTCTCTTCTTCCCTTTGCCTTCACCATGGAAAACGCACCTCTTGAAGGAAATCGGCAGCTCCTTTACGGGCAGGGGGAGCAAACCCCATTTCCCGGAAGAACCCCATCACCTCCTCCCTCGGCCCATGGTACACAATCCGCCCCTCTGACATCAGCATGACGTCATCAAACAGCTCGAAGGTTTCCGGCGCGGGTTGCAGCAGCGCGATCAGAGTGGTGGTATTGGCTAAGTGCGTGAGGTTCCTTAAGCACCGGGTGATCTGGTAAGTGGTGGCGGAATCGAGCCCGGTGGAGACCTCGTCCATTAGGAGGACCTGCTTTGCTCCTAGGAGGGCTTCGGCGGTTGTTACTCGCTTCTTCTGGCCTCCTGAGACTCCCCGTCGCATGCTGTCCCCCACCATGGTATCAGCACACACGTCCAAGCCCAGCATCTGCAGGACAGGTGGGAGTGAGTAATGGGTGGGAGAGGAAACGGACGAGGCATTTGGCTCAGCTGAGGCACAGCTGTGGATCAGCTGAGTCTATTTTTGAGGCGCCTCAAAAATAGACTCCTCACGCTTTTGAAGCGCCTCAAAAATAGACTCCTCAGGCACAGCTGTGGATCAGCATTGCGGGGTGGGGAAGGGCGATGGGGTGGCGATATGACGAGGGGGAGGTGATGGGAGTCAAGTTTAGACGAGGGGAATAGAGGGGCGAAGGAGGCAGAAGGGGGAATCGCGGAGAAAAGGTGATTGCCACGTCAACACACACACACGCACACACATACATGCGCGCATGCACGGGCTTACACACATGCATGCATTCACGCACGCGCGCACACACACACACACATGCACGCACGCACGCAAACACACACACACACACACACACACACACACACATGCACGCACGCACGCACACAAACACACACGCACACACACACACATGCACGCACGCACGCGCGCGCACACACACACGCACGCGCGCACGTACGCACCTTGAGGACGTATTGCACCACCACATCTGAGCACTGCTTCTCATCTGCCATCACCTGCAAAAGCGGGGAAGGGAGGAGAAGGGGGAGGATGTAGGGAGGGGAGGGGAGGGGGGAGGATGTAGGGAGGGGAGGCGAGGCGGGAGGATGTAGGGAGGGGAGTGGAGGGGGGAGGATGTAGGGAAGGGAGGGGAGGGGGAGGAATATGGGGAAGGGAGGCGAGAGGGGAGGATGTAGGGTTTGATATCTGTTTTAGTCATGTCAGAGCACTGCTTCTCATTTGCCATTGCCTGCAAAGCGCAATATGATGAAGCATGCAGCAATACGGGGGGGAGGGAGGGAGGGAAGAGGGGAATGTAGTGTTTGGGTTCTTTCATTACATTTGTTGGATGTCATGTCATGTCTCAAAGCTGTCCTCACATTTAAGGGCCAAAAAAAAAAAAAGTCGCCTCGAATGTCACGCGGGCACAAAACATGCATTCCCGCGAACGAGATATTTCCAACTTTAGAATAACGTGCAGCGCACACATAAAATTCGCCATAACAGTGCAGGGGCGTTACAATCCCTATTGTAGCTGACGCTGTGGCATCATCACCCCCATGACGTCATCACTACCTTCATAACGGCCTGCATGACGTCATTTGGCTTGACTCCCGCCTCTCTCTCTTTCTCCTCCAGCTGCCGAAATAGCTCTGAGCGGGGTGCAGAATGGTTGGGTGCAGAATGGTTGGGGGCAGAATGGTTGGGGGCAGAATGGTTGGCGGCAGAATGGTTGGGGGAAGAATGTTTGGGGGCAGAATGGGGGAAACGGAGGACATTTGATTTGAGAAAGCAAGATACCACCAGTGAGAGGGAGGAGGGAAGGAGGGGAAAGAGAGGGATGGATGGGGTGAGGCAGAGGGAAAGAGGACAGGATGCCACCATTCCAGTGTCCAGCACTCGAAGCAAGCACCATTCCAGTGTCCAGCACTCGAAGCAAGCACCATTCATGTGTCCAGACCTCTTGAAACAGAGAGAGGATGGAACGGAGAGCAGTGGCACCTGCCCGCTCCACGTCACCTCAATGGATTACTACCTACTCATTCCTCACCTGCCCTGTGTCCCGGCCCCTGCAGTCGCGCAGAGAACTCAAGCGTCTCCCTGACAGTCATCTCCCCAATGTGGCTGTCCGTCTGCGCCACATACCCCACCGAACGGGGCACCACAATCTCCTTTCCACGCCGCCCGTTGTACGTGACCTCGCCATTCACACTCAGCTCCCTCTCTGCCTTCCCTGCGAGGATCTTCAGGAGAGTTGACTTGCCACTGCCTGGAGGCCCCAGCAGCAGCGTCATCCTGTGAGGGGGGTAAATGAGGGACTGGACGACTCAACACATTGCCGTCTCTCCCCTCGCACCTTCAGCTCCCTCTCCGCCTTGCCGGCAAGGATCTTGAGAAGAGTTGACTTGCCACTGCCTGGAGGCCCCAGCAGCAGCGTCATCCTGCGACGGGGGTAAATGAGGGACTGGACGACTCAACACATTGCCGTCTCTCCCCTCGCACCTTCAGCTCCCTCTCCGCCTTGCCGGCGAGGATCTTGAGAAGAGTTGACTTGCCACTGCCTGGAGGCCCCAGCAGCAGCGTCATCCTGTGTATCGGGGGGTCAACAGGGGTATGCGTCAAAACATGCTTACCTCCCCCCCACCTCGCCCTGCACCTTCAGCTCCCTCTCCACCTTGCCTGCCAAGATTTTTAGCAATGTTGACTTGCCACTGCCTGGCGGGCCAAGCAGCAGCGTCATTCTTTGAGTAAACAGGGGAGTAAACAGGGGTGGAGATGGGTTTTGCCGCGTCAGGAATGGGCACCGCCACGGCATGGTATGTCAGCGGATTGGACAGCATGGGCAGGCAGGCATCTTGACGTCACTGTCACAGACCCGATCAGCAAGCACAACCCCACGGTCCGCAAACCGCGCGGTTACATGGCACGTGAGCAGGCGGACAAGAAGATAGATCACTACCGCAACAGGGGCGCTCTACATGGGCCTATTCCCCCTTGCCGTTGAGAGCTGCGGCTGCCCATGCACCGAGGTGAAAGAACACCACTTGGTGGTGGTTTTAGCCATACGTGGCAGCGGCTGCCCACTCACCGAGGTGAAAGAACACCACTTGGTGGTGGTTTTAGCCATACGTGGCAGCGGCTGCCCATGCACCGTGGTGCCGGCCTTCCTGCAGCTCCTGGCCAACACTGGAGCCCGCCGCCTCTTCAGCGCCAACCCCAGCTCCTATCAGGCTGCCAGACTACTCAACCAGTTTCCGCAGCGCTGGTCGGTGACCCTCCAGCAGGCTCAGGCGCTCACCTACCTGGGAAAGGTGAATGAGGTGCCCCCCGCAGAGTGGCCCCCTCTCGGCGCCCCTGACGAAGGCATGTCCCTCGGGGCCTGCTTCGCGGTTTTGGAGCCCGCTATGGAGCTCCCCTAGGTCCGCGGTGCTGCATAGGATCGATGCTTTTGCATGTACTCACCTTATATACATAGCCATGTACCCATGTTCGAATGAATACGAAGGACCGCTTGAAAGAGGGAGAGTGAGGGAGGGGAAGGAGACCACTCCGTACCTGCCGGGTTGCAAAAGCCCCAACCTGCCGGGTTTGAGGATGCCGGAGCAGCCATCGAGGGCGAGGAACGGCCGGCGCTGGTCCTTGACAATCCGCAGTCCCCGCAGCACCGCCACGGCATGGTTCGTCAGCAGATTGGGAAGAGTGGGCAGGCCCCATTCATTCATAGGCCCCTAGAGAGAGAAGCAGTCCTCACCTGCCCTGCCAGGTTGCAAAGCCCCTCACCTGCCGGGTTTGAGGATGCCAGAGCAGCCATCGAGGGCGAGGAAGAGCTGGCGCTGGTCCTTCACTATCCGCAGTCCCCGCAGCACCGCCACAGCGTGGTTAGTCAGCAGGTTGGGCAGAGTCGGCAGGCCTCGTGCTCCCACTTGCACCTTGGCGGATGCACTCACGCCCTCAAAGCACACCTCCACTCCGGGGAAAGAGACACCGACGCTGAGGGGAGATTTGGGGGAAGAGGGTAGGGAGTGGGGGATGGGGGGGAGTAAGGAGTGTGTCTACAGACCCCTCGCCCCCACTTGCACCTTTGCGGATGCGCTCACGCCCTCAAACGGTACTCCACTCCAGGAAAGGCGACGCCGACCATTGGCAAGAAAACGGGGGGTGGGAGAGCCACACAGTTCAAGTCCAGACTGTTGAAAGCCGCAGTGAGTGTGACTGATTTGGGGGGGGTGGACGGGGAGGGGGTTCTGCTCATTTCTCGAACTCTCACACATTCTCTACACTCACTTTCGTTTTAATTCTCGCTCCTGGCAAAAAAGTTCCAGACACCCGTCTGGTCAGCCTCTTATCAGATACTGTGTATTCGAAATTTCCGTATGCAGCCCCAGGTCTCTCCACCCCTTCCTTCCCAGATTCCCCTCCCCTTCGTAATCGTCGGCCCATTTCAATCACCGACTTTCTCGTGGTTTGCGAACGGATGCCTAAAATTCTGGGGGATAAAATAAGATGTACAGTATCTAGCGACTTCTCGCGGGTATTATTTCAAGACGCATAGTCTTCCGTTGCGCAAATGCTTCCGCAAATCTTTGATTTCCCTGCCTCTGCTGGTTTCTGGAAAATGTGAACCTAGGGATTTGTTTCTGCAGCGGGAAAGCTTCACGCCTTCACGAAGCACTTTCGCAAAATTTTGGCGATTTGTTGAGTGGTTCGCGTAGCTTGTTACAAGCTCGCACTCAAATACCCAAACCTAAATTCCGAAACTTTGTTACAACTGGAAAATCGCGAGCGGCCTTGATTTGCCAATCGGAAGCTCCCAAGTCAGTCAGCATTTCGGGCCATTTTTGTAGGCCTGCAGGTGGCTCAACTGAGCGCCCAGCTGGAGTTCGCGCATATTTCGCGAAACCTCAGCGATGCCTGATCTCTTTCGCGACGGGCAGCGAATTCGCGAAACAGCGACGGGACAACGCCTGAGCATAGCATACAACTCAAGCAGCTCCATACACCATACAAGCACGGCCTTCGCAGCGCACCACAAAAACACGCGCCGCACTCACATTAGCGAGTCTCACCCCGCCAAGAAGAGCTCACCTGTCCAGTCGTCGCCGCATCTTCTCCAGGAATTTCTCGTTGTCCAGCTCGCCGCCCTCCATCGCCTCCTCCACCAATCGCCGCCACGCCACGTGCGCCTTCTCGCCATCCTCCGTCTTCCCAACGCGGCTCGGGCCAGCCGCGCCCGCTGTCGCCTCTTCGTTCAATCCCCTCTTCCCATTCCTTTCCCCGCCGTCCGCTAAACGGTTTCCGTTTTCTTCGCCGTCAGTCGGAGCTGACTTTTCGTCGTCATCCTGGGCGTCCACGTCGAGTCGCACATCCTGCGATCCGCAAACGCCCTCGGGGGGATGGGCGGCGGCGGAGCCCTTCAGCGCTTCCGCCTCCGCCGCCCCACGGTGGTCTTCTTCCCCCATCCCCGCGCAATGTGCGCAAACTTTTTCCTGTACTGAGCTCCTTAAAGGAAGGCTTTAAAATCTTCTAAAAATTCTTGAGCACCTTTGCTGGACGCCACAGAAAACGGGTTTTCGGAGCCGCGCGTTCTGAGATTGCTCGTGCATTTACTTTTTTCTTTCTCGCGTCGTGACGGGAGTCCGGAAGGCACGAAATTCGGAAGCTAGACCATCAGTCGCGGAGCCCGTCCGACGCGTCGACGGCTTCCCCTGCCGTTGGTGACCAACGCGCCGGTCGCGGTAAGTTAATCGTCACGACGGTGCGCGATACTACTCACTGGGAAGAGCGCGAAGTCACGCTTAGTGGACTGGAATGAGACGTCCAATCGGTTTCTGAGGCAAAATAAGCTGGATTGGACTCAGAACCACGGCCGGCAGGACTGATGGATTGACGAGACGACGTCTGACAGTGGAGCAAGGCGGAGGTACTGCCGTAGCTCATGCAACACAAGGCAGCAGCTATGTCCACGCGCGACTGAGGTGAGTGAGGCCTCTCTTGATTTCTGCTAGTGCCAGCAATTGCCTAGTGGGTTTGTGAGGCTTGCGTACAGGCCTCTCGCTAAGCCCCAGGTTATTCCAGACGGAATCGCCTCAGGATTACCCGTTAACAGACGGAATTCCCCCAAAACAAACCCGTTACCGAAAGGAATCGGCCGCTACAAATTCGGCTAGCAAGTGATCAAAGGCGCGGGGGGGGAGGGTGGGGTGGGGGGGGGGTGGTGTTTGGGGACGGCTAAGTACTACCCCCCTACAGATTGCCCTGCTACAAGTATAGCCCGTACGGATTCGAAAAAAGGATTCTCGTTAGGCTAAGGAATCGCGCGAAATTGTTTCCGTAAGCTGGACGGATTCGGAAAAAATCACACTGTTAAAAAATGGAATCACATGAAAAGTTACTCTTAATTTCTCGACATTAAGGGTAATTATCCTGAAAGCAAGTGGCCTGCTTGCGTAGCGTTGGGTCCTGGAAGATTCTGAGGCTTGCGTAGCATTGAACAGAGAAGTGTCGCAGCGAAACATGCGGACCGTGGGACAAAAACTGCATCCGATGTGTGGGTGGACTTGTTGTGACTGCTGCGTCCCCCCCTCCCACCCCCCACCCCCCCCATCCCCCCCCCCCCCCCCCCCCCCCCTTTCTCTTCCTCCTGACTGAGCAATGCCGTATGCAATCGCCACCCCCGCACCCGCGGGACTGGAAACCCAAACTGTAGCACAATGTGGGGGTGGGGGTGGGGGTGTCGTGGACGTTCATCTTCCTTCAAAGCCATACCTAACCGTGATATGTTTTTAAGAAAACTATTTGAAACAGCTCGCATCCTACTCAACCTTACTAAACGGAACTCTTCTGTCCTAAATCCGGATTCACGAACCAAGCTGTAACTTGGTCGAGATCGGTTGGTTACCCGGGTTTGGGAGGATTCTCTCCAACATTTGTTTGTTTCTGTACACGTGCAATACTGTACACTTGCCGCCCGACATGAACGGTGCGTGTTAGGATAAATTTCCGCCTCTCCTGGTGGCCCAAATTTCCGTTGAATAGGGACGAATCTCACTCTTTCCATCATGTTTCATTCTTGATCATTCCACGTTTAGGACGGAAGGAGTGACGAATGAAACAGCATTTCCACCAGCCACATGTTCACGGGCAGGGAAAACAGCTGTGTTGCACGAAACTCTCAGGGAGGCTCCAGCCCAGCGGAAGTTCCCCGCGTGGCGTGGCGCCTTCCGCACGTTTTCGATTCCAATCATCGCGCCGCTTGCGTGCAACCTAGGGAAAAGCAGGAAAATGGGCGACTGCAAAATACTGGCTCGCCATTTCATGCGAAAAAAAAATGTTCGCCTTCTCACCGTTCTAGCAATTGGTAGCTCGTGATTGGTTGAGACGCAGCTACTTCTGGTAACCGTTTGTCGCTCCCCGGCGCGCCCCGTGTCACTGTGTCATAAGAGCTCACAGCATGTTCAGAATATATCAATCTTCGATTGGTTCTTTCCGTCGGCTATTTGCTCCTCGGAAATGAGTTCATCAAAGTGCTCCACGTAACAGCACAACTCAACAATTTCGAAAGCAATTGGGCCCAAGTCGCCACACTTCGCGGGCACATCAGCAGTCTTCCAATATTGCCCAGGCAACATTGTGTGCTACCCAAATAGCATCTCGCGACAGTTAGAGCCTGGAGAACTGCGCTCGCAGAACACGTCAGTTTCGCGAACATCATATTGGAGATTTTGAACACCGTACCGGGCGGCAATGCAATTCCTGTCTGCCCCTTATTTGTGTTGACCACCAGATGCACTGGGAGAAGAACAATTGCCCTGTACTGTATCGATGTGGTTGTAGTCTGTATGCGCCCTTCCCAAAAATAGCCCTCGTGATTCCAGAAAGGCTGTCTCCCTCAGTTAGGAAATCTAGAAGTTGGTGTCAGCTGGTTTAATACGGTGTACTGCTATTCAGCACGGTAAATGAAACCCCGAAACGAACGGAAGTTATCACAAGTGGAAGTCGAACATCAAAGCAGCGACTTCTGCTGGCCCCGTGGCGCATCGATTCGAAATGCTGCCGCGACAGACGGCAGACTGGCTGTCTGAAGCCGCCTAAAAAATCCCCCTTTTTTTGCCGCACAGTCTTCCTAAGTCATCCGAAGTAGGGCCTGTCCGCTAACTGTCAGAAGGTAGTACCACCTTGTACGTGGTTCCTGCGCATCGTAAATTCTAAGGCGCGGTGTAGTGACGGTAACGGTGATAGTGACGGTGACTGTGACAGTGACGGTGACGGTGACTTTGACGGTGACTTTGACGGTGACGTTGACGGCGACGGCGACGGCGACGGCCACGGCGAAAAAAAGCGGCCTTCAGAGGGTCTTTTTTTTAGGCTACTACTCTTGAGGCGGCTTCTAAAAAGGCGCCTCGAAAACAGACCATGCACGGCTCGAGGAGCACCAGTTCTTCCTCTCGAAGCGAAAATGGAGGGAGCAGAAGTAATGGCCCTTCGCGGCGCGTTAGACGGGTGACCTTCGAGACACCAGAAGACCCGTACAAGATTGACGATGACGTGGCGCGACCGCCAGATGACGTGGCAATTCTCGCTCCCGACGCGCCAAATCGGGAAATTCCTGCTCTGGGACCCCTCGATTACGTGTCGGAAGCATCCTCCGGGGAGTTCTCCGGACACGAAACGCCAGCCGTCGATCTAGAATCGGACGTCCGCGTGCGACGGTTGGATTTCGACGCGGCACGCGAGACGCATTACGTCATTGTGGTCCACGGAACCTTCGACGCGCCACCGTCCGACGGGACGCGAACGTGGTATCAGCCCGCGGCGCCCGGGGAGCACAACTTCTGCTCCAAAATCAGCGCGCTTCTGGCGCGCGGGCCGCTCGGCGCGGATAGCGTGTGGCGGGAGCTGCCGGCCGGCAGCGCTGTGGTTGGCAGGGCTGCCGGCGGCCGGCAAGGTTCGACCATGCCGTACCCTTTCCACTGGGATGGCACGAACACGCACAAGGGGAGGGTGGAAGCTGCGGAGAAGGTACGGCACGGGTTGCTTCTAGCGTGGGTGTAGACCAGTGTCGGACTGGTTACCCTGTAACGTGCGCATAGCCCCATCGCCCCCTGCTACATGCTGCTAATAACGGAGCTCGATTGGCGACCTTCTCTGAACTTTCCCAACGTCCCTCCCCCCCAACTCCCCCTTCCCCCCCTCCTTCTCCCCCTCCCCATCCTTCCCCACTCCCCCTCTCCCTTCCCCCATCCCCCTTCCCCCCCCTCTCCCCCCTCCGCCCTTCAACCCTCCCCCTTTCCCCTTGCATCCGCCATCCACTTTCCCCATACCCTCCCCCTCCCCCGTTCTTTTTTCCTTGAGTCCACTCAAAAACTTGCCTTTTACTCTTACCTTCCCCTTCCTCCCCCCACCCCCCCCACGGGTCTCATCTCTCTCTGCTGATAGGACTCTGAAAAACCCTGCACCCAGGATCCACATCTCCCTCCCCCTCCCCCTCCCCCCTCTTTCCTTCTCCCCTATTCCCTCCACCTTCCCCTCTCCCACCTTCCCCTCTCCCACCTTCCCCTCCCCCACCTTCCCCTCTCCCACCTTCCCCTCCCCCACCTTCCCCTCTCCCACCTTCCCCTCTCCCACCTTCCCCTCTCCCACCTTCCCCTTCCATCGGCCTTCCCTCGCAGCTCTCTCTGCTGATAGAGGGCGTCGTCCTGAGCGGCCCTGCACTCAGGAGTTAAGTCATCCCCCTGCACTCAGGAGTTAAGTCATCCCCCTGCACTCAGGAGTTAAGTCATCCCCCTGCACTCAGGAGTTTAGTCATCCCCCTGCACTCAGGAGTTAAGTCATCCCCCTGCACTCAGGAGTTAAGTCATCCCCCTGCACTCAGGAGTTTAGTCATCCCTCACTCGCAGGAGGGGAATCGTTGAGACGCCTCAAAATTTTCTTCCGCCCCCCTGCTTCCCCCACCCCCTGAGGGGTCGCAGCTGTCTCGGCTGGTAGAGGGCATTGCGCTGACAGACCCTGAAAGACCGTGTGTAATGAGTCGATTTTTGAGTCGACTCAAAAATCGACGCACTGCACCCAGAATTCACACCCCCCTCCCCTCCCCCCTTCCTTTTCCCGCTTCCCCCCCCCCCCCCACCTTCCACTCTCCCCTTCTCCCTTCCGTCCGCCTTCTTCCCTCGCAGCTCTCTCTGCTGATAGAGGAAATTGCCCAGAAAGACCCTGCAGCCAGGATCCACGTGATTGCTCACTCGCACGGGGGAAACGTGCTGCTCAAAACGGTCGAGCTGGTGAGTGCTGCTCAGATTGAATTCTGTAGAGATTTTTTTTTTTTTTTTTTTTTTTTTTGCACGGGTGATTTTTTAAGATTTCGCAAAGATTGCCAGCAGCGAACCTGCAGCCAGGATCGATAGGATCACCCACTCGCAGTGTAATGAGTCTATTTTTGAGTCGACTCAAAAACGACCCTGCAGTCAGGATCCACAGGATCACTCCCTCGCACGAGCGCAATAAGCTGCTCTAGAGTCAAGACAGTCGAGCTGGTGAGTGCTCGGTGCTTGGAATTGGTCACAGTGCTTTTGTGAATTCTCAAAAACATGCTGCTCAAGACAGTTGAGCTGGTGGTGAGTTCTCTTCTCTCCCCACTCAGTACATGAGGCGTCTGGCCAGACAGTCACCGAAGGACCTGCACCCCCGTTGGAGGAACGCGAGTTCTGGGCAGCGCACAATGCGACGCTGAGTTGACTCATTGGTTTCTCACCGCTTCCCCCCCTCCCCACTGTCTTCCCCCCCCCCCCCTTTGTCTCACCCACCTGTCTCCCCCCTCCCCCCCCCCCCCTTTGTCTCCCCACACCAGTACATGAGGCGCCTGGCCAGCCAATCACCGGGGAACCTGCACCCATTGGTGGAATGCGAGTTCTGGGCGGCACACAAGGCGGGATACGATTTGATTCGCAAATGGAGGAAGCCGTACCAGATCCGATCTAGCTGGAGGCGGTGGCTGCCCGTGCCTGTTGTCTTTCAGAGGTAATTTCCTTATCTCCGTTCTTGGCTGCTTTTCTTCAATTTTACCGCTGGCTGGACTCCCTCCTGGGGCTCCACACCGCCCGCCAGGTCCTCTTCCATCCTTCCTCCTCTGCTCTTCCTCCCTTCCCCCACATCCATCCTTCCGCATTTTCTGCGCCTCACACAAGATAAAGAGCCAGGAGAAGTACCCCTGGGCGTGCTGCCGCTGGCTGGACTCCCTCCTGGCCCTTCCCGCTGCCCACCAGCGCCTCTTCCTCGCCCACCGCCTCGCCACAAGCCCCCTCTCCAACGCGCTGGGCTCCCTCGTCTCCCTTGTCTTCTTGTCCACCTCATTCCTACTGCTTGAGCTCCTAATGTGCCCCTACCCCCCTACCCTCCCTCCCTCCCTCCCTCGCTATCCCTCCTAAGCAGTCTATTTCCCAACCTCACACAAGATAAAGAGCCAGGGGAAGTACCCCTGGGCGTGCTACCGCCGCTGACTGGACTCCCTCCAGGGCCTCCCCGCCGGGCCTTCCCGTGCTGCCCGTGCCTGTTGTCTTTCAGTGGTACTTTCCGGAACTCCAGCAGATTCCCAACCTCACACAAAAAAAAGCCAGGAAAATTACCCCTGGGCGTGCTACCGCTGACTGGACTCCCTCCAGAGCCTCCCCGCCGCCCGCCAGCGCCTTTTCCTTCCTTCTTTCTTTTTTCTCATCTTCCCCCTTTGCCCACCAGCCTGTTTCCCACCACACACAAGCAGAAGAGCCAGGAGCGCTACCCCTGGGCGTGCTGCCGCTGGGTGGACTCCCTCCTGGGCCTCCCCGCCGCCCGTCAGCGCCTCTTCCTCTCCCGCCGCCTCGCCACGAGCCCCCTCTCCAACGCGCTCGGCTCCCTCGTCTTCCTGGGCACCCCCTTCTATGTGAAAAAATGGGACCCCGCAGGGATGTTTCGGCTGGTTCTGGCGTCGCTGCTGTCTGCGGTGGCGGTTTTTGGAGTGATGCTGGGGTATGTGGTGGTGTGGGAAGTGGTTGTGATGGAGATTGCGCATTTGCAGACTACGGATCTGGTTCGCTGGCCGGCGGTGGTGGTGGCGGCGGTGGTTCTGCTTGGTGTTACCAGCCTCGTTGTAGAGGCGTATTTATCTACCAAGGTGTGTAGGGTTTACCTATCTCCCGCCCCCTTCTTAGGTTGTTTCTCTGGCCTTCTGTGGTGATGTTGGTGGTGGTTCTGCTTGGTCTAGCTTACATTGCTGTCGGTGCTATTTTTTCCATAATGGTGAGAAGCAGAAATAAAAGCACTGCATATTACTTCCATGGCTGCTTCCCTTAACCGTACAATCATCATTTTCTGTGCTTTTCTTATGAATATTATTATTATTATTGTTATTTATTCATTGTTGTTATTATTATTCATCTACCATTGCGTACTGTTCACCATCCGTTCACTTTTTGCAGACATGGGACCAGCCGGCCTACTACAACGGTAACATCTACCACGAGCCTGGTTACCACTGGTCGCCCGCCATGTCAGCACTTGTGATCCACGCTGGCAAATTGGACGAAGCCAGCCTGGCGCTTTCCATTGAGCCAATCGCGCGCGCCTATGTCTTCCCCCACCTAAGAGAAGTGCTTAAAATGCCCCTCTGGACCCCCCTCCCTCCCCTCCCCACCTCCCCTTCCTCCTTCTCCTCCTCCTCCTCCCCCTCCTCCCCCTCCTCCCCCTCACACACCCATCCCAGCACCCACACTCACTTCCTCCTCTGGCTCTTATACATAGTAAACCTCTTAAGAGTGCTACTCTGGAACGCCATTTTCCTCGTCCCCTTCGCCCTCCTCTCCCTCCTCTTCCACCTTGCGGCGCCCATACTAGTCGAGACTGTACGGAGCGTGATTGTAACGGTCACGTTCGGGCTAGCCCCTAAGGAGCTATCTTCCGCGAGCGTGTATGTAGACGAAGTGTTAGATCTGCATCTGTGGTCACAGCATGTGGAGCACTGGAATGTGCAGAAGCTGCTAGCGCAGGCCAAAACGCAGTCGTTACAAGGGAAGCTGATACCCGGTTACCACGACGACACTGTAGATGGGGGTGAGCCCGGTGCGATGGGGGAATTAGTGGATGAGGTGGGTGGGTTGGTGGGAGGCCTGGGTTCGAATCCTGGGGTGGGTGAGCCGCAGTGGGGTGCGTCGCTTTCGTTTTTGTCACGGGGGAGCGATTCGATGGTGTCACGGGGAAGTCGTTCGTTGGGAAGCCGAGAGGATGTGGAGGAGGAGGCCTTGCTTGACAGGGAGAGAGCGGCCGTTGGTGCGCGGCTTGCTGCAGGGTCGCTGGCAGGAGCAGCAGCAGGAGCAGGAGCAGGAGAAGCAGGAGAAGCAGCAGCAGCAGCAGCAGCAGCAGCAGCAGCAGGAGCAGAAGGAGCAGGAGCAGGATTAGGAGCAGGCGAAGCAGAAGGAGCAGAAGCAGCAACAGCAGGGGCAGCAGCAGGGGCAGAAGCAAACGCTTCCCTCCACATCCCCGAACGGATTTCCACCGCACCGCACACCACCGCAAATCACACCTCTGGTGCCCACCCCACCTTGCCTCCCCTGCACACCTTCCCCCTCACTCCCACCGCCCTAGAGCACTATCATGGCACGCTTGTGTCTCCGCTACAGCAGGGCATGCCTATTTCTCCGCTACAGCAGGGCATGCCTATTTCTTCGCTACAGCAGCGCATGCCTGTTTCCCCGCTACAGCAGTTGATGCTGGTAACCCCGTTACAATACCGGATGCTTGTAACACAGAAAACGCTAAGGAGAAGAAGGGTGCTGAGGAACGAGTCACAGATAGAGGACGGCGTGAGCATGAGCAGGGAAGAAGGAGAGGGAGTAGGAAGTCACAGGCACGGGGCCGTTTCTACTCGTGCTCTTACCTCCGATCCTCTGCCATCCTCTAGTTTCTCCTCTGCTGATGCTGCTGGTGATGCTGCTGCTGCTGCTGCTGCTGCTGCTGCTGCTGCTGCTGCTCCTTCGCATTTGGGCCGGTTTAGACTGCTTGCAAATGTGGGAGGCCGCTCCTTCGCTCACTCCTGGTTATCCCGGGCAGGCCGGGCAGAAAAAACAGCAGCGGAGGGTCAATTGCCTGGCAATAAATCCTTGCGAGGTCACCCCATGGGAGAAAGCGTTCAGGGCAGGCGAAGGGCACAGAGCGAAATGGCAGAGGTGAGAAAAGGGGCTAGTAGGCTGGAACACGTGGGGGGGGTCTCTAATGTTGGGCGAGACAGAGGGACGATTGGGGGAAGAGAGGCTAGAGGGGGGCTGAATTTTGAGTCGATTCAAAATACACCTCGCATGTGGGTCTCGGGGTCAGCGACAATGGCTAAGGGGGTGAGTGGGAAGTGGGGTGGGGGGGGTTGTAGGGAGACGGAGGTGGATGGTGAGTGTGGGGGAAGGGAGCAGGGCGCGAGAGACGGTGTGAGGGCAGCGGTTGGAGGTTTGGAGGCAGACGGGGTAGGAAGAGGTATGGGTAATGATGAAGCAGAGGGTCAAGTGGGTGTGAGGGCGGCGAAGAGGAAGCGAGGGAGGAGCAGGATGGAGGAGGAGGTGGGCAGAGATGCAGTGGGTGGGCCGCTGGTTGCATCTGCATCTGGTGCCGTTTCATCTGGTGCAATTTCATCCGAAGCAAAGGAGGAGGAGGGAAGACTACTTGGAGGTGGCTCGAGAAGGGAGAAAGGGCAAATCTTTGAAGGAGAGGAGGAAGAAAAGATGGGGAATGAAGATGGGGCCGAAGTGGTTGAGAGAGAAGAGAAGGGAGAAGAGGAGGGAGAGGAGGAAGAGGAGCGAGAAGAGGAGGGAGAGGGGGAAGAGGAGGGAGAAGAGGAGGGAGAGGGGGAAGAGGAGCGAGAAGAGGAGGGAGAGGGGAAAGAGGAGCGAGAAGAGGAGGGAGAGGGGGAAGAGGAGGGAGAAGAGGAGGGAGAAGAGGAGCGAGAGGGAGAGCAGGAGCAGCTGCTGGGAAAGGTGGAGCAAGAGGAGGACGGGGAAGAGCAGGGGGAGGAGGAGAAGGAAGAGCAGGAGGAGCAGCTGCTGTACGAGTTTTTGTGGGAGGACAGCAAGTTAGAAGAAGCAGCAGCAGCGTCCGAGACGTACCGTCTGCTGCGATCCGAGATGAGGAGAATGAAGAAGAACCCACGGCTTACTGACAGAGAGTTTGTGCGGCAGGTGAGGCCGGTTGACTTTTGAGTCGACTCAAAAGTCACTTTGTGCGGCAGGTAAGGCTGGTTGGGTCGATTGAGCTTTGTGTGTTGGGTATTGGGCTGACAGCATGTTGGGAGAGGCAGCAGACTTCTTTTGAGGCGCCTCAAAAGACAGCATGTTGGGAGAGGCAGCTGCAGCAGCGTCCGAGACCTACCACCTGCTGCGGTCAGAGATGAGGCGGATGAGGAAGAACCCACGGCTCACTGACCGATGGCTCGTCTGGCAGGTTTAGGCAGCTGATAGGGGTGGTAGAAAAGAAGCAGCAGATGTGTTGGTCATAAAGGCAGGATGCAGCAGCAGCATCTCTGCGACAGATCATCTGCTGCTGTCCGAGATGCCTTTTGAGTCGACTCAAAAGTCACCTCTAAAGGCAGGATGCAGCAGCAGCATCTGTGAGACGTATCATCTGCTGCTGCCATATCACAGAGGAGAGCAGCATCTGTCCGAGAGGCAGAGGATAAGAAAAACCCACGGCTTACTGACAGGGGTTTTGTGCCTCAGGTAAGGCAGTTTTTGAGGCGCCTAAAAAAACGGCTTACTGACAGGGGTTTTGTGCCTCAGGTAAGGCAGTTTTTGAGGCGCCTCAAAAAACGGCTTACTGAGGGGGGTTTTGTGCCTCAGGTAAGGCAGTTTTTGAGGCGCCTCAAAAAGCGGCTTACTGACAGGGGTTTTGTGCCTCAGGTAAGGCAGTTTTTGAGGCGCCTCAAAAAACGGCTTACTGACAGGGGTTTTGTGCCTCAGGTAAGGCAGTTTTTGAGGCGCCTCAAAAAACGGCTTACTGACAGGGGTTTTGTGCCTCAGGTAAGGCAGTTTTTGAGGCGCCTCAAAAAACGGCTTCCTGAGGGGGGTTTTGTGCCTCAGGTAAGGCAGTTTTTGAGGCGCCTCAAAAAGCGGCTTACTGACAGGGGTTTTGTGCCTCAGGTAAGGCAGTTTTTGAGGCGCCTCAAAAAGCGGCTTACTGACAGGGGTTTTGTGCCTCAGGTAAGGCAGTTTTTGAGGCGCCTCAAAAAGCGGCTTACTGAGGGGGGTTTTGTGCCTCAGGTAAGGCAGTTTTTGAGGCGCCTCAAAAAACGGCTTACTGAGGGGGGTTTTGTGCCTCAGGTAAGGCAGTTTTTGAGGCGCCTCAAAAAGCGCCTTACTGAGGGGGGTTTTGTGCCTCAGGTAAGGCAGTTTTTGAGGCGCCTCAAAAAGCGGCTTACTGACAGGGGTTTTGTGCCTCAGGTAAGGCAGTTTTTGAGGCGCCTCAAAAAGCGGCTTACTGACAGGGGTTTTGTGCCTCAGGTAAGGCAGTTTTTGAGGCGCCTCAAAAAACGGCTTACTGACAGGGGTTTTGTGCCTCAGGTAAGGCAGTTTTTGAGGCGCCTCAAAAAACGGCTTACTGACAGGGGTTTTGTGCCTCAGGTAAGGCAGTTTTTGAGGCGCCTCAAAAAGCGGCTTACTGACAGGGGTTTTGTGCCTCAGGTAAGGCAGTTTTTGAGGCGCCTCAAAAAACGGCTTACTGACAGGGGTTTTGTGCCTCAGGTAAGGCAGTTTTTGAGGCGCCTCAAAAAACGGCTTACTGAGGGGGGTTTTGTGCCTCAGGTAAGGCAGTTTTTGAGGCGCCTCAAAAAACGGCTTACTGACAGGGGTTTTGTGCCTCAGGTAAGGCAGTTTTTGAGGCGCCTCAAAAAGCGGCTTACTGACAGGGGTTTTGTGCCTCAGGTAAGGCAGTTTTTGAGGCGCCTCAAAAAACGGCTTACTGACAGGGGTTTTGTGCCTCAGGTAAGGCAGTTTTTGAGGCGCCTCAAAAAACGGCTTACTGAGGGGGGTTTTGTGCCTCAGGTAAGGCAGTTTTTGAGGCGCCTCAAAAAGCGGCTTACTGACAGGGGTTTTGTGCCTCAGGTAAGGCAGTTTTTGAGGCGCCTCAAAAAACGGCTTACTGACAGGGGTTTTGTGCCTCAGGTAAGGCAGTTTTTGAGGCGCCTCAAAAAGCGGCTTACTGAGGGGGGTTTTGTGCCTCAGGTAAGGCAGTTTTTGAGGCGCCTCAAAAAACGGCTTACTGACAGGGGTTTTGTGCCTCAGGTAAGGCAGTTTTTGAGGCGCCTCAAAAAGCGCCTTACTGAGGGGGGTTTTGTGCCTCAGGTAAGGCAGTTTTTGAGGCGCCTCAAAAAGCGGCTTACTGAGGGGGGTTTTGTGCCTCAGGTAAGGCAGTTTTTGAGGCGCCTCAAAAAACGGCTTACTGAGGGGGGTTTTGTGCCTCAGGTAAGGCAGTTTTTGAGGCGCCTCAAAAAACGGCTTACTGAGGGGGGTTTTGTGCCTCAGGTAAGGCAGTTTTTGAGGCGCCTCAAAAAGCGCCTTACTGAGGGGGGTTTTGTGCCTCAGGTAAGGCAGTTTTTGAGGCGCCTCAAAAAGCGGCTTACTGAGGGGGGTTTTGTGCCTCAGGTAAGGCAGAGGCTGGCTTGTAAGCTCAGGATTTGGTTGGGCCCCTGCACTCCCTGCAACGCTTGGGCCGATTTTTCAGGCGCCTCAAAAGCACTTCCTGCAGCACCTGGGCCAGCTGCGTACTCAAAATCCAGCTTTCGATTTTTCAGGCGCCTAAAAAATCCTGCAGGACCTGGGCCAGCTGCGGACTCAAAAACCAGCTTTCCCTCCGTTGCCACATCACCCGCCATTCCTTCCTCTCAGGTGAAGCAGCTTTATGCCATGATCGAGGACCATTTGTGCAAGCTTACCGGCCGCTTTGGCCTCAACCTGATGCGTACTTCTTTTATCCTCCTCCTCCCCCCCCCCCCCCCCGCCTCCTCTCCTCGCTCTACCTCTCAGGTAAAACAACTCTGTGTGATGATCGAGGAGCATCTAGGTGAATTAACCGGCCGCTTTGACCTCAACCACGGCGCGTACTTCCGCGACCCCCGCATCCTCGGGGCTGTTGCGCACTTTCTGCAGCACCGGGCGCTCCCCGATTGGTCCAAATCCCTCGACGCCGATCTGCTGCGCCTGCAGTCCCTAAGCGGGCTCTCCCTGGCAGCAGCAAGCCGAGGAATGGGCGAAAACGGGGAGGGTATGGGGGGTAAGGGGGGTGTGGGAGGCATGGTGGTGGGTATGGGCAGTGCAGACAGAGGAGAGCAGGAGTTGCTGAGTTCTCTGAATTGTGTGGATGTTCGCACACCTAGCATGGTGGGGTTTCGTGGGAAGAGAAGCGAGAGTCAGAAGAGGAGGAGCAACAGCGGGGGAAAGGCTTGGTCCGGTCAACTATGGCCGAGTCAGGCTTTTTCGGGGCAGCTTTTCCCGAGCCAAGTTTTTCCCAGGCACATTCTGCCGAGCCAATCTGCTGTTAGTCAGCAGCTGAGCCAATCTGGTGCTAGTCAGCAGCTGAGCCAAGAGTGGTCCGGCCATGGAGGTTTGCCGACGACCGTCTCTTCATCATCCACCGGGGGTGAGTCAGCAAACATGCAGCAAGGTGTGCAGCAAGAGTGGTCCAGGCCTGGGGGTTTGTCAGCTCTCTCGGAGTCAGCCAACATGCAGCAAGACATACAGCAAGACGTGCAGCAAGACATGCAGCAAGACATGCAGCAAGCCATGCAGCAAGACATGCAGCAACGCTGGCAGCAGGGCATGCAGGAAGACATGCAGCAAGGGCCTGGAGATTTGTCGGTCAGCTCTTCATCATCCACCAGGGGTGAGTCTGCAGAGTAGCAGCAACGCATGCAGCAAGGCGTGCAGCATGGCATGCAGCACGGCATGCAGTATGGCATGCAGCATGGCATGCAGCACGGCATGCAGTATGGCATGCAGCATGGCAAGCAGCAAGGTGTGCAGCACGGCATGCAGCTACGCACAGGGGTGTCTGATGCTGCAGTTGAGGTGCAAAAAGGTGTGGCACCCTGGAACATTTTTTCTAATTGTTCTTATTCTAAGAGCGTGTTCCTGCCAGCCTCTTCCCAAGCAACCTCTTCCCAGACTCGCGTGCTACAGTGTCGCAAATTTTGACGCGAAATGTTTGAGTGCGATTCCACAAAGTGCGAAGTGAGATTCAGCTTCCCGAGATTCAGGGCCGTGTTTTAAAACCTCTTTTCAGACGAGCAGATTTTCAGACAAGCGCGAATCTGCACAGTAAAGTTTCGACGCCAGCTGACTTTATGTGGTTGAGAGCGATGGAACGCAAATATGAAACGGGAGTATTCCGAAAAGTGGTCCTGGGAACACGCTCTCAAGGTCGCGCGTGACTCTGGGAAGAGGTTGTGTGGGAAGAGGCTCGTAGGAACGCGCTCTAATTGTCCTGACTCTGGAAGGTGTTTCTGTGAGAGCAGGAGGCCATGGAGATCCTATAGAACTGGTGTATCCCATAGTGCCCGTGCCATAATCGTCCATGTACAATGTATCAAGCCAGTGCCAAGACAGACAATGAGGCATGAACTACATACCAGTATCACATGTTGCTTGTGCCTATATCCATATAGACTATACCAATATTCACATCACATCAGCCGTTGCATACATAGTTGATTCTTTACCTCCAATTGGCATGCATCGTTCGTCCTCCTGGCATGCCTCATCCTAAGCGTCTTATAAGCAACCCCTTTTTCACATCAGCAACTAGCCGAATCTACGTTCTGAAGCACTTCAATTGGCCTTGTCTTGATTTGCCGCGAGTAACACCCACTGCCCAAGCTACTCTTATACACAAACCTCTGGCTACCTGAAGTGGACGACCCTGTCACAACACCTTTCGAGTCGACATACACAGTGAAGCCATCTTTGCGTGAGTTATGCAGCCTGTTTGTTGTTACTGCTGACGACGATGATGATGATGATGCTGATGAGCCTATGGGTGTTCCTCCAAGTGTAGACTTTCGGTTGTACCCACTGTCGATATCAAACTTCACAGATCCATATGCTGAACGAGAGGATACGGGCAAAAAGAGGACAAAAATGAGACTATGATGAGCCGATGGGTGTTCCGCCCAGTGTAGACTGCTTTAAAGCCACTGCCAATATCATACGGATCCATATGCTGAGAAGGAGACACGGGGAAGCACAGAGCAGAATGAGTGTAGCAGACACAATATGAGTCCGTTGTTAGCACAGGCTGTGATAATTTTCTTGAGAATTATCCGAAAAATATAACTGCTGAGTCCATTGCTAGCTCATGTTTTGGGCCAGAGGGTGAGAGGGTGAGCATGTGGAAGGAGGGTTAGAGGGGCAGCCGTCTAGACGACGTGAACAGGTAAGCAGGTGGGCTAAAAGGGCAACAGAGGACCAGAGGGTGAGAGGGTGAGCATGTAGACGAAGGGTTAGAGGGGGGCAGCAGACTAGACGACGTGAACTGGAACGCAGCTGGGCAATAAGGGCAACAGAAGAGACAAGCAACAGATGCCAGTGCAGGAAAGGGGCACTATGTGAGCTTTTCACGTGGCATGGTAAGTAACTGAGAGCCACATACATCACTAAGTCAAGAGATGTCTGGTTGAGTGACTGAGCAGATGCAAGAGGTTAGAATATAGTATACCCGATACTCAGTCTAAAGAGGTTTGCGTCAGCTTGATTGGAAACGAGTAGCTGTCTGTTTGGGTCGTGGGCCCTGTTTGAGTGGAATCAAGCTTCGACGTAACAGACCTCTTGATGCCAACGTTGTTCCACCAGGAGATCACCGCGCCCCCATTTGTGAAGTGACTGCAAGAAATCCCACCCACAACTCACAGTCGAGAGATGTCTGCTTGAGCTTGAGCGGAAACGTGTAGCTGTCCGTTTGGGTCGCAAGCACCGCTGCCGTTGTCTGAAGAGTCGACGTAACAGATGTCTTGATGCCGACGTTGTTCCACCAGGTAATCACCACGCCCCCCTGCGCCACCACTGCTGCAGCATCCACTGACAGGGAGGACGTGACCTGCGTTGTCACAGGGCCGTCCGAAGTCGTCACTGTGCCTGGTGTGATAGAAAAAGGAGGGGTGGTGTGGAAGTGGGAAGTAACAGTCACGTCTTGCTGCCGACGTTGTTCCACCAGGTTATCACTGCGCCCCCCTGCGCCACCACCGCTGCTGCATCCACTAACATGGAATATGCGACCTGCATGGTTACCAGGCCATCCGCTGTGGTTACTGTGCCTGGTGGTGTGATTATAAAGGGGGGTGTTGAAAGGAAGGGAAGTGGGATGTGCAGACAGTTCGACCCTACCCCACCATTACAGCTGGGAGACGTCTTCTGACACCTTCTGACACCTTCTGACACCTTCTGACACCCTCTGACACCTTCTGACACCTTCTAACACTATCTGTAACCCACGTCTGTGACAGTATAGAGCCTAACATATCTGATACTTGTCACACCATTTGCAATAGTATAACGCCACCTGTTACAGTGACACAGTATAGCGTTACCTGTGTGTTAAGAGTATGCTCTAGCAGCAGCAGCAGTGCTGTATTTGCTATCAAACCGTTTGCAGCATCAGATGTTACCCTGTAACGTGGCATCACCTGTGATGGAGTGTGCTCTGGCAGCAGCAGTGCTGCACTTGCCCCTCCATGATGAGCAGCACTCCCATCATGCCTAACGCTCTCCCCAACCAGACGACTCTCTCCTCCCACTCTCTCACCCTGTTACACTGTAACCAAGTAACCCGCTACAGTGCCACAGTGTATGATGCCTGTAATTGAGTATGCTCTAGCAGCAGCCGTGCTGTACTTGCCGTCGATGCTCAACCCCACTCCCATCAAGCAAACCGCTCTCACCACCCGGCAACACGCTCCCCTCATGCTGCAATGCGGCATCACCTGTGATGGTGTATGCTCTGCTAGCAACCGTGCCGTACTTGCCGTCGATGCTCAACCGCACTCCCACCATGCGCAGAACTCGAATTAACGGGCTTTCAGACAGCTTCACACGTTCTTTCCTCTTGCTGGGGGACACCTGGGAAGAGAGGGGAAGACAGCAGATGAGATGTGAGCGATATGGGAAGCCGAAATGGAGTGTACAGGCTCCCAAACAGCTTCACGTGCTCTTTTCCCTTGCTGGGAGACACCTTGAATACGGGAAGATCAAGGACATAGAGGATAGCAGAGACATGTCCTCGCCTTCGCATTCCCAACCAGCTATGTGCTTTCAACTGCTCTTATCCCCTTTCACCTGCCTCCTACCCTCCCTTCACCTGCCTTTATCTCACCTTGATGGTTGGCGGCGGGCCAGCAGTCGACGCCACGCCTGAATCCAACCACATGTGCACAATCCCAGTCGGGTACCAAGCAGCAGCCCTCGCCTTCGCATTCCCAACCAGCCATAACCCTAACCTCATGAGCTTCCCTATCAAGTAGTCCTATCACCCCTGTTACCTGCTTTCCATTACCCCTTTCAACTGCTCCCATCCCTCACCTTGATGGTTGGTGGTGGGCCAGCAGTCGACGCCACCCCTGAATCCACCCAGATGTGCACAATCCCAGTCAGGTACCAAGCAGCTGCCGCCTTTGCATTCCCAACCGTAACCTTGATTTCGTGCGCTTGCCCGTCGGATAAAACCCCTGCGAACGGCGTCACATCGAGTGTAATTGACGGGATGCCGAAATTTCCGATTCCCACAGCGGGCGACCAAAGCAGCGGGTTGAAAGCACCGGTGTAAAGCGGAGCAAAGGGGTAAATCGCCCCAGCAAATCGGTTGTCAATGTAGAGTTCTAGCTCTCGAAAGGGGCCCCCTTCCGGCTTAAATTTGGGCTTGAGGGAACTAGGAAGGCTATTGTAGAATTTATTAGGGAAATAGAGATAATAAAACTCGTCATCCGCGTGCATCGATATAGTCAGCTCCACCTTCGCTTTAATCACATTTGCTGGAAGACCGGAGAGCGAGACAGAAGCACTCCGAGTAGTAGGGGAAGCCCCGGAGAGGATGAAGGGGGAGGAGGAGGAAGAGGAGGTGGTGGAGAAGGGGAGGAGGAGGGAGGGGGGGGTGGTGAGGGGTGTTCCCTTGTAGGTGGTGAGAGAGATGGTGACGTTGAAAATGCCGGTGTAATCGGCGTCCACGACGTTTTCTAGAATCACATAGACTGTTGAGGCCTGGAGGGGTTGGGAGGGGTTGGGAGGGGTTGGGAGGGGGTGGAAGGGGGTGGAAGGGGGTGGAAGGGGGTGGAAGGGGGTTACTGGAGGGCAAAGCATGGGAAAGGATGCATCTGCTTGTGAGTTGAAAAAGCCCGTGTAATCGGCATCAGTAAGTGACATTCGCTACAATCACACAGACAGTTGATACCTGGACGGGTGGAAGGGCTGGGGCTTCAGTAAGTGCAAGTGGCATGGCATGGCATGGCAGGACATGGGATGGCATGGCATGGCATGGCATGGCATGGCAGGACATGGGGTGGCATGAGACAATGTTGCAAGAAGGCACATCCAGAAATATGCACCTGTCTAGTGGGGAGGAGTAATGGATGAGAGGCAGGAGGGGAGGGAACGTGGTAGTTATGAGCTCACAGTTTTAAGCATGGGTGTGTAACTTGTGACGTCGCGCTCGAACGAGTAATGAATCTCCGTTCCAAGTGGCTCTGCAGTGCTGTTAACGAGTAGCACAATAGGGAGAACGATGGAGGGCGATGGAGGGGGGTGGGGAGGATAATAAGGAGGGGGATACAGGCTCAGTCGCACTAAGAGCAGACTCACAACTGTGGCAGTGACTATCGGGTTGTGTATAATCACACAACCACTAATTTTTGATTGAACATTGGATGTCAACCACTAATCAGCTGGTTGCAAGTCAATCAACTGGTCTGTTGGTCAACGTTAGTCAACCAAATCGCCAGCACAGGTCAGTGAAGTGGCAATGCGCATTAATCATTCATCAGATGAAGTCAACGCAAGTCAACCAAACCGACACTCACCCAGCTACACTCACAAGGGTCTCATCTCCGCACCTCGAAACTACTTCGAAGGAAGAAGAATATCATGCATCTGTCGACGACATGCACACCACTCAGCTACAGTGACGTGGATCGCGACACCAGGGACCAGCACTCACATGTCCAGCACTCACTTGCACCGCACTCACATGCACAAGCACTCACATGCACAAGCACTCACATGCACAAGCACTCACTTGCACCGCACTCACATGCACAAGCACTCACATGCACAAGCACTCACATGCACAAGCACTCACATGCACACGCACTCACATGCACAAGCACTCTCATGCACAAGCACTCTCATGCACAAGCACTCACATGGATCATCGCTCACATGGATCATCGCTCACATGGATCATGCGCCTGTCGACGTACATGGCACCCATCTTTTGGATTTCTAGAAGCTGACTCCCCTCGGCTGCACTCACATGGATCTTCACTCAAATGGATCTAGACACTTCAAAGGCGCCAAAGAAGATACGCCTGTCGAACTGCACCTCACCCAGATACACCTGGATTTCTTGAATTCAGCTGCACTCACATCAACTCAGCTGCACTCACATCAACTCAGCTGCACTCACATCAACTCAGCTGCACTCACATCAACTCAGCTGCACTCACATGAATTCAGCTGCACTCACATCAACTCAGCTGCACTCACATCAACTCAGCTGCACTCACATCAACTCAGCTGCACTCACATCAACTCAGCTGCACTCACATCAACTCAGCTGCGCTCACATCAACTCAGCTGCACTCACATGAATTCAGCTGCATTCACATCAACTCAGCTGCACTCACATCAACTCAGCTGCACTCACATCAACTCAGCTGCACTCACATCAACTCAGCTGCACTCACATCAACCCAGCTGCACTCACATCAACCCAGCTGCACTCACATCAACCCAGCTGCACTCACATCAACTCAGCTGCACTCACATCAACTCAGCTGCACTCACATCAACTCAGCTGCACTCACATCAACTCAGCTGCACTCACATCAACCCAGCTGCACTCACATCAACCCAGCTGCACTCACATCAACTCAGCTGCACTCACATCAACTCAGCTGCTCTCACATCAACTCAGCTGCACTCACATCAACTCAGCTGCACTCACATCAACTCAGCTCCACTCACATGGATCTAGATACTTCAGAGCCGCCAAAGAAGATGATCATGCGCCGGTTGACGTGCATGCATGCATGCATGCTTGCCCCTTATCTTTTGGGTTTCTAGAAGCCGAGTCCTCGCAGCTGCACTCACATGGATCTAGACACTTCAAAGCCGCCAAAGAAGATGACCATGCGCCTGTCAAACTGCACGCCTTTCACCTTCACGCCCACTGACAGCACCGCCAGCGACCAATCGGCCTGCAACACGTGGCATGACGAGCAAAGCAAGAGACACGCGTCAGCCCCACACGTGCAAATCCTAGTATATTGGACCCCCTCAACCTTCCCCCCCCCCCACCTCCCCCTCTCCCTCCCCCTCCCCCGGCCCCCCGCCCCCCGCCACACACACATTCCCCTCCCCCCCCCCCCCCCTCCCCCCCCCTCCATCCATTTCTTGCATTCCCACCGATTTTCCGCCCTTCCTGCTCCCCCTTGCCCAACCACAGCCCTGAATTCTCAACCCACTTGCTGAGGACAGCTCAGCTGCAATTATTCTCAGCACGCTCTTCTTGCGGCTTGTAACGCGTACAGTACTACGAGTACATACCGAGGCACAGTTCGGATCCGGGGTGTACGAAGCCTGCGTGGGCGGGTTACCAATCGTATTGGCGAACGGTTCGTCCGTGAACAGTGTTACTGTACACTCCTCCGCGCCTTGCGGCCGCTCGATCGGCTTCGCCACTTCGAACACTGTGTACGGAGCATTGGGGTCCGTCTCCTCCTGCGGTGCGACATTCGCGAACGCGGTAACCCCAACTCTATCATTTTCGCTCGCGCCGCTCGCCCCGAGAGGAGCTGTCTCTCCTCCGCCCTCTCCGGTCCCCTCTGCTCCTACCACCGTCGACGCGGCTTTTCGCACGCCCGCCGCGTCGCCTTCGCGAGACGCCGCGTACTGTTCCCGTAACACGGTAACAGCTTTCGCCAGATTTCGAAACTGGAGCAGCTGCTGCGGCACCCGCCACGTTCGCGCCGCCGCGGCTCGCGCGCCGAAACTAGTACTCAGCCCAGGGCCGCCGCGACTGGAGGCGGCGGAGACGGCGGAAGCGGCGGCGGCGGCGGGAAGCAGCTCGACGGTTAGTGGCGAGAGGAGCAAGAGGGAGAGGAGGAGGGTGGCCGCGGGTCGCTGACAGACGTGAGACGGCCGCATCATCGCGCCCCAAGACGCTGGAAGGCTGGGAGTCGAACGGATGCGACTAGCAGCAGTACTACTGCCGGTCTCAGTGAGACCAGAAGCGTGCGGAGCCGGCGCCATGACGCCAGACGAGGAGAATTAGCAGGCTATGATATGATCTCAGGATATGATCTCAGGATATGATCTCAGGATATGATCTCAGGATATGATCTCAGGATATGATCTCAGGATATGATCTCAGGATATGATCTCAGGATATGATCTCAGGATATGATCTCAGGATATGATCTCAGGATATGATCTCAGGATATGATCAGACGCGGCGTCGCGTCGTATTTTACATAGATGGGTCGCAAGGTGTTCGCAAGACGAGTCTTCCCCTCGAGGTGTTCGCAAGACGAGCCTTCTCCTCGAGCACTGAAACCCCGAAATGTGGCAGTGCCAAAGGTGTTTTCCTGCGCGAGCTCGCTGGGCGAGGCTGGTACTGTAAGGGTCTCTGGAAGGACGTTCGTACAGGACAACGATGGACTGTACAGTACAATTGACAGTACTGTGTACAGTACGAGAGATGAAAGTCGGCAAGTAAGAAACCACCGGGAGCCACGTGGGGGATTCTGAACCAAGAAACCTCGGGGACTCCCATGGCAACCTGATTCCAGGCGTTTCGGAAGGTGGATTCCAACCAACCTCATTGTATGGGCATGAGTAAGAGGCCTCGCCAGCTGGATTTTCGTACGGACGGCAGATGGTGCATTTATCTGACTACTGCTGCTGTCAGCTGAAATCATCGTTCAGTCGAGTAGAGAGTGAGGAGGGGAGACAGGGGGAAGGAGGGCGTTGAGAGAATCCTCAATTCAGAACGAGTGGCGCGCTGGGGAGCTGCGCTGGTAGGCACCATGTCGTGCAGCGCCGTTGTTTCGGGAGCCAAGGTAGGGAGGGAACGGGGAGGTGAGTTCGTGCTCACATTTCCGCCACGCACTCGCCTCTCCAAGGTTTTCGACACTCAACTCAACCCTCTCAACTCGACTCGAGTCTCCCGAGTCTCGCTTCACTCAATCCATCCTTGGATCTTCCCGCTAAACCCTCGGGTCTAACACTCGCTGCGGAATTTACCCTCAGTCTCTCTCGACTCGACCATTCGTGCACATACATGGGGGGTGGGTGGGGGGCAGGTGGGGGCAGGGCTCTGGCTGAAAGATTAATCACCCTGAATGTCACGAAATTAAGAGTGACTGATTCCGTTTTTTGCGTGGTAATTTTCGTGAATTCGTCTTCCTAACAGATCAGGGTGATTCTGGAGATCGTGTCTGACGCTAGTGTCATACAAGACCACCCGAGGTAGAAAAAAATTTGCCTCGGGTCTTACGACTCCTGACGGCTGCTTGACTGGAAACACACCGTTCGCAGACAAACCTACCCCAACACCTGAATCGCGCAAGTGCATCGCCCGCCAATGTACACCTCCCAATTTCCTTTGCGACAACTCTGTGCGGTTTTCTGTACATCGTCAACTCGTTTTGCGACTTTCTGCACCTCTGTAGGCGCACGACCGTCGAAGTCACCAGATCCAAGGTTGAAGCCTCTAAATCCTGTGGCTACTTCGACCGCGGGTCAGCCTCGGGTCAGACCCGAGATGCCGAATTTACTCGCACTTTTTGTGGAACTCCTTGAGATTACGGATTAGTTTTCCTTCATTCCGTACGAACTGTGCTTGTAGCAGGAGATCTGTTCGCACCCCTTCCTACCCTCCCCTCGGCTCTCACCAACATCCCCCACTAAACAAAGAGAGGTTAGTTAGCGGGAAGTTTTTCTCTGTTCAACCGCCTGAGGCATAGGATATGCGAGAAACAGTCCGTGGGGGTTGAATGGCCTCTCCTTAGTGGTGACGAAGGCTATCCGTCTTTGAGGATGTGATTATCACACCAAGAGTAGCTCTTCGACGAATCCGTATGCTAACGGGTAATGTCTCGTAGATTCCGTCAGGTAAGGGTCATTTCCGGGCCGATTCCGTGACCTCGCGGAATACCCTAGGCTTCGGGCCGGTACACGACCCCGCTTTGGGGGTTTGCGGCCAAAAGGCCGGCCTTCACGGTCGGGCAGCCAAGGCCAGCCCTGATTTGGAGGCTTGGGGGTTTCCCGCAACCCTCGTGTACCAGAAGCAGGCAACCTTAGAGGCAAATTTGCCCCAGGGTTGGATGCAGTTGGAGCTGCCAAAAAATTCACATTGCAACCCTGGGGGATGGGGTGCCGCTGTCTGTGGTACATGGGATTACTGTAGCGCGAAGCTTGCCTCCGCGAACCTTGCCTCGAACCCGGCCTTGGGGATCATGTACCCCACCCTTAGCGAGAGCCCTGGTGGGGGGGACCGGGGGGATGATTTGGGGTGTGTGGGTGGGGGGATGCATGCGACGCGAGTGTACCCTGTACATGAACAAGGATGGAAAATGGGTTGCGAGATTGCCAGGCCTGCCACTCGCGACGCACATGTTCATTCTTTATCCTCCAATTGAATCTGCCGTGTCAGATTCCATCAAACTACACTGTTTTGTACTTCCGTCTTGAGTCTGCAGCGCCAGCTTTGGTGTGGACTAATGAACTGTCGTTATTAATGTCAATCTGTGATTTCCAGCAAGCCAAACCTGCGCTTGGTCTGGCTGGGGAAATCTGTGTAGGTTTGACTGCACGTAACCGAGCCTAGCCGAGCCGAAGCAAGGGCATGAGGTTTACCAAAAGGGGGTGAAAGGGTGGTTCGGCAGCTTGTTTTGGTAGGAGCAACCAGAACCGTCGAGCCAAGTCGGCGCACCGTACCTGTGAGGGAATCATTGAACGCTCGTTGTGAGCATGCCAGGCTAAGCATGTAAGGCCAGCACATGACGGGAAAAAACGTGTCAAAAGAGTAGTGTGCTTACAACGTTCAGTACGGTCATAGTGAGGATATTACATCATTTTAACCCCATAATATTCTTGATGATTATTATTTTTTCATAAAACATTCAAATTTCTATTAGACCTTTAAATATCAATATTAGACATAATATTCTAAAGCATGGTATGTCTAATATGCCATGTAAGTGCTTATGGTTAGCGCTAAATTGCTTGCGAGTGTAGAAGTGCGGCCAGAACAGCTGACAGGAACAACTTTCAGGTCAACACATTTCTGCCGTTTTTTTTCGCCACCCTGCATTTGCTGGCAGGACCTGTGAGATTTCCTGGGTCCCTCGAGTTCATCCCACCCACCCAACACAGCACCAACAAGAATTGGCTATGCTCCCAGAATTCAGGCCCATTAGGGCGTGGTGAATACCATCTGAACACCAGTCCTCCGAGCTTCCACCACACTAGACCGTGATTCTATCTAACAGCAACACGCCAGAAACGTTTTTAAAAATTACTGTACCACTCGAGCCATCCAGACTTCCAGAAGTTGGAAACCTTAGGCACCACGCCCTTGGTCCTCTCGGACTTTCCTTCGAGTTGCTTCGTTTCTGGGAGAGGTGGTGGTGACATGACTGGGATACGCTTCCCTCCCTTGATGGGACAGACCTATCAACGGATAGATTGCGGCTCGGAGTCAAGCAACGGAACTCTTCTCGCATCTGTCAGTGGGGTCGTACCTCAGGGCTAATATTGCCGATTCCCAAAACTAGATATGCTCTTTCAAGTCATTCTCTCATCGCTCCATTTCACCAGCCAGGAACGTAGAATATCGTGGCTCTGTAAACATTTTCTCGAGATCAGACGGCTCCTGAATTCGTTTATCGAGTCGATCATAGGCTCCTTGACAGCTGACGCCCCCGGGAATCCTTTTGCGTCGACTCAAACGTCCCCGGGAATCCTTCCTTTTACTGCAAAGTTTCCTACAGATGCTCTACTCTTTCTTTGGCTCCACCTTCTACCATCTTTCCGTCTAAGATATTATGGCATCGTACTTGGACGTTCTTAAAATTGTGTACTCTTTCCGCCGTCCGTCTCGGATCTGACCAAGAATCAACAGAATTTCGAAACGCGTCGAACGCCGTCAGACCTTACCAAGAATCTGCGAAAAATGTCGCCACGGTATGACTCGGGTCCAAATCCTTCCATTTTTAGGCCGAGATGATTGTGTCAAATCTCATTACGCGAGTTCCGTTCTCGTACGAGAGGAATCGATCGACTCGTAAATCAGGCCATGCACTCTCACAAGCAAACCATGCGGAGCCTTCAAAGCCTGAACTTCTGCACATTGCCTCCCGTTCCCCTCGTTTTAATCCCAGTCTCTTTTTACGAGAGGCCCGAGCTCGCGTGAGAGCCATGGGTTGTCTCGTGCATCAGGCCATGCAGTCGCACGACCAAGCCATGCGGGGCCTTGAAAGCCTGAACTTCTGCAACTTGCCTCCCTTTCCCCTCGTTTTAATCACAGTCCCTCTTTAAGAGATGCCCGAGCTCGCATGAGAGCTATCGGCCGTCTCGTGGATCAGGCCATGCTGTCTCACAAGCAAGATATGCGAAGCTCTTTCATCCCCTTCCCTTCCTTGCCATTGCAGCCATTCGTTGCGCGAAGCCCGTGCTCGAGTGAGAGCCATCGGTTGTCTCGTGGATCAGGCCATGCTGTCTCACAAGCAAGCCATGCAGAGCCTTCGCAACATGCATCCCCTGGAGAATTCGCAGAACCTAGTCAGCTGTGCGAAGCACGGGAAGCTCGAGCAGCCCGAGAGACCTGAGAAGCTCGAGTCTCTGCAGAACCCAGAGGGCCTGGAGAATACTCTCTGCAGTGGGAGAAGGAATCTGGGCGTTGCAGGGGATGGCAGCGGGGAAGGGGATTCAGATGGTGCAAGGGACTGCAGTGAGACATGTGAAATTTCTCAAAAATCTCTCGCAAGGGGCTGCAGTGAGATAAGGGATTGTGATGGTGATGGCGATGGTGCGACGACTGGCAGCTGGGTTACAGATGCCGAGCGGCGTGCGATTCTGGATCACGAGGAGGCGGTTGGGAAAGCGCTTGTGAGTGCAGGATTGGGGGGGTAAGGGTTGAGAGGCGGTTGGGAAAGCGCTTGTGAGTGCAGGATTGGGGGGGTAAGGGTTGAGAGGCGGTTGGGAAAGCGCTTGTGAGTGAGTGAGGGATGAAAGCTTGGGAGGGTGAGGGTTGAGAGGCCGAATGGAGACGTTTCAAGACTGTTCATGGCGAGGACAGAGGAGCATTTAGAGGAGAGGTTTGAGATCAAAGGGCCGAGAGAGAGGGTGGAGGGTTGGGTAAGTGAGGGCCGTGTGTATGCGTGAGTGATCAAGGTTGGTACCTCCGACGTTCTGCCGTGGGGTCTGACGTTCTTTCATTTTCCGTGCCTTTTTTAACTGGCCCAATTCTAATGGACTTCTGTTGACTTTTGAGCCGACTCAATAGTCACCTGGAGTCGACTCAAGGATCTGCCGTCCTATCCTTTTCCGTGCCCTTTTTTAATTGGCCAATCCCTAATGGACTTCTGTTCCTATGAGTGAATGCCTTTCCCTTTCCATGCCAGGTGAAAGTGGATGAGAATCTTGTTTTGAGACGTCTCAAAACAATAGTGTTATCACTTGGCCAATCCCTAATGGACGTCTGTTCCTAAGAATGAATACCTTTGCCTTTCCATGGCAGGTGAAAGTGGATGAAGAGTTGCAACAGCTGCACAAGATGCTCAAGGTGAGCCAGTCATGCATGCTTGCACGCATGCTTCATGATAGCCTTTGAGTCGACACTAAAGCAGTTGCAACAGCTGCGCAAGACGCTGAAGGTGAGCCAGTCAGGCATGCAAAACATTTTAAGCACCTCAGAAATCGCCTTTCCATATCAGGTGCTAGCGGATGAAGAGACGCAACAGCTGCTCAAGGTGAGTCGGGCATGCGTGCATGCATGCAACATGACAGCCTCAGATATCACCTTTCCATGCCAGGTGATTCCCTTTCGAAGCCAGGTGAAAGTGGATGAAGAGTTGCATTGTAACAGCTGCACATGATGCTCAAGGTGAGCCAGACTTGCATGCATGCTGCATGACAGCCTTGGAGTCGAATCAGAAGCAGACTCACGACACTCAAGATCCTGACAGTGAGCCATTCATGCGTGGGTGGGTGGGTGCTGTGCTACATGGTTGCCTCCGCAACTGCTGGGGTGCGTGGGTGAGCCATGCATTCCCCTATCCACTTGAAAAGTCATCCTCTCATGCATGACACATGCAATCCGCATTCCCCTCATCCCAACTGCTGGGGTGCGTGGGTGAGCAATGCATTCCCCTATCCACTTGAAAAGTCATCCTCTCATGCATGACACATGCAATCCGCATTCCCCTCATCCCAACTGCTGGGGTGCGTGGGTGAGCCATGCGTTCCCCTATCCACCCTCATCCCAACTGCTGAACCATCGTTGATGTCGCACACCACTTTTTATTACTCAGAGGTGACTCTTGAAAAGGCAATCCTTGAAAAGGCAATCCGCAATCCTCATTCCACATATGCCACCTCGTTCCGCAACCCTCCCTCATCCACTATTCCAACCTCTACCCTCATCTCTCCCCTTCTTCACCCGTCCCCCCCTCCCTTCTCTCGTTCGCTCCTCTTGAGTCAACTCCAAAGTCACTGCATCCACTAGTTCGACCTCTACCCTCATCTCTCCCCGTCTTCTCCCCATCGCCCCTCCTTTCCGTTTTCCACTCCGCCCCCCTCTTACTGCTCTCTCTGCCCTCTAATTACCCTGCAGAGCCTTACGTGCATGTGTAACAAAGCGAGCAGTGCTGTTTCGTCGAAATGGTTAGAGGAAGGTCACGAAAACGTAGGGGGAGGAGGCGGAGGCGGGATTGGTGGTGCTATTGCAGCTGCTGCATTTGGAGGAAGTGGTGCTAACAAACAGGAGTTGCAGCAGAAGTGTTTTGAGCCGACTCAAAACACAGCGGGCGGAGGCGGAATTGGTGGTGATGTTGCAGCTGTTGCATTTGCACAAAGTACTGATAAACAGGTGTTGCAGGAGAAGGGCCAGTCTCTGTTAGTGGAGGATGCAGTAACGAGGATGCAGCAGAAGCAGAGGCAGCAGAGGGAGGAGGTAGGAAAGTTCCAGGAAGGAATGAAGACGATTGAAGGTGACATTACTCTAACATTGACTGGTAACATTACCCATCAGCAGCAGGAGCTGAACTGGCAGCAGAAGCAGGAGCAGCAGGAAGGGATGGCTACAGCAGCGGAAATGAGTCAACTGAGGGAGAGACTTGGGAGGCTGTGTGGAGAGAAGGTGCTGCTGGAGGCCGAGTTGAACAAGCAGAGAATCCGCATGGACGAGAATGAGAAGGTAATACCGCCCCTTCCCTCCCATTACCTTTGTGTCGACTCAAAAGAGAGACTTGGGAGGATGTGCAGAGAAAAGGTGAAGCTGGAGGCCGAGTTGATCCAGCAGAGAATCAGGATGGACGAGAATGAGAAGGTAATACCGCCCCTGCCCGACCCCCGCCCACCTCCCCACCCGCTTCCCACTCCCTCCATCCCCGGTGTTTGTGCTCTCACATTCACTCAACTCGTATTTTTAGGCGCCAAAAAAATTATCTCCACCCATTCCCCCCTCCCTCCATCCCCTGTGCTCGTGCTCTCTCATTCACTCAACTCATATCTCTTTCCTCCATCCCCTGTGCTTGTGCTCGTGCTCTCTCATTCACTCCACGTGCTCTCTCATTCACTCCACGTGCTCTCTATCGGCCTTGCCTGTTCCTCTCGCCTCAATCCACATCCTTCCTGTTTTTGCCTGCTCTGCTGCCCACCCATCTCCAACCATCTCCCACCACCTCTCACCACTGCCTCCCACCACAACCTCCCATCCACCACCCACCAGGCAACAGCCCATCTAAAGCTCTCTAAAGCTCTGTTTTCCACTGTTTGACTCACCGTCCCATCCACCAGGCAACAGCCCATCTAAAGCTGCATTCCTTCCTCCACGCCCTCCAAAACTGCTGCCTCGATTTCACACACACCACCCACCCACCCACCCATCTCATATCAACACATTACTTCCGTCATATTTATCCATCTATTCTCTTCTTCCCTCTGTTTTCCACTGTTTGACTCACCGCCCCATCCACCAGGCAACTGCCCATATAATGCTCCTTTCCTTCCCCCTCGCCCTGCAAAACGAGTGCCTCGATTTCACACCCTACCCCACCATATCCGACCGGGACATCTCCCTCGTCATCCGCGCTCTCTCCATCCTCCACCCCTCCCTCCTCCCCTCCATCGCCAAGCTTGTTTTTGGGCGGGACGGTGCCACATCAGCTTGCAAAGCCATCACTGGATCTTTTCTTCTGCCCGGGGCAGGCGTGCTTCAGTTCGACAGCCTGACTGAGAACCCGAAAGAGCTCCACCTGGCGAGTTGCACAGGGATCACAGATGACTCTCTCTGCCACGTGTCATCCTTCCATTCGCTGCAGCGACTCAACCTCATCCTCTGTACAGGCCTCTCCGGTACCGTTCTAGCCCACCTCTCCAAGTGCCCCTCTCTTAAAGTGCTGTACATATCGCACACGCGCATAAGAGAGGAGGGTTTAAGCCACCTGTCTACAGTAACTACACTACAGGAGCTACAGTTACAGGGATGTAGCATCAGCAGTATCGGCCTGCATCACTTGGGGAGGATCAAATCTCTGGAGATTCTGTCCCTGGGCGGCTGTGTGGGTTGCATGGTTTGTCACGATATCAGCGCCTCATTGTTGCATCTGACTCACCTGCGTTCCCTCAAGGAGCTCTGGCTCTGGGGCTGCGATACTGTCACGTCAGCAGCAGCCACGTCAACAGCAGCCACGTCAGCAGCTGTCACATTAGCAGCTGCAAAAGGTTCAAGCAGCAAGCCCAGAATCACAGGCAGCTCAAGAGTCTCTCATGTCAATGGGCCACCCACCCCGAGCCCTGCACTCTCTCCTAGTGTGGCAGCTGCTTCGCCTGTAGCTGCTACAGCTCCAGCTGCTTCTGCTACAGCCGGTCTGTCCGTATCTCTCTCCCCACGAGCCAGCCACAAAGCTACATCCCCTAACCAACCTGCTGCTGCTCCTTCCTCTCCATCTGCTTCCTCCCTTCCATCTGTGAAGCCTGCATGTGTCAAGCTCACAAACAAGGGACTTTCTCTCCTCTCCTACATAACTACACTCAGACGTCTACACCTCAAGGGATGCCCAGCCGTTACAGATGATGGGTTTGCAGTAATTGCTGGCTTGCGATTGGTGCTCCTCGAAGCCGACGCATGCCATGCCATCTCCGATAAAGGCATAGAGAAGCTGTCTCGTTATAAGCCTCCAGGACAGGGGTATTACTACAGTGACCAATACCTGGCGCGGTCGCTACAGGAGCTACACCTGAGGGGTTGCTTTAGGTTGACAGACTATGCATTGGGTTATGTAGTGAGGTTTACGGCTTTGCAGAAATTGACGCTGGATGATTGCCAAGGGTTTACAACTCATGGGATTAGTGGGTTGAAGAACCTCAAGAACCTCAGCTTTCTTTGCTTGAGGACCTCCCCTAGGGTTAGTGGAGAACAGCTTCGACAATGCTTGAACTCCAGTGTCGTCGTTTCAAATGTGTAGCCATGGCATGCTATTCTCTGTTTTATGATGCTCATATACCGAGAGTGAGAGCCATTACACTAGTGATGAATCCTTCATGCTGTTCTTGTAAAAGACAACAATAATGGTTCACCAATTGTATCGGGAAAGTACATCGGCGCTCAGTATTAGGGGCCTCGATAATATGTACGGTCAGTGACGCAATAGAAACAATCAGAATTAGCGAGTTCGCAACATGTTTGATCAGTCGGGTTCCACGGTTAGTCAGAAACTGTAGGAAAAAAGTGTCAAACATGTGTATTTGTCATGTTTGTATAGACTGTATAGAGTCACCTCTTAGAGGATACAAAACTTAGATATATTTGTGTGTACTCTCACTTTACAATTATTCAATTATTCTGTTATGGTATCACGCGTAGGTAGGATCCCCCCCCCCCCACCTACCGCTTCCGCTCATGCCCCCTAGCGCCCCTCCTGGGCCCCGTCGCGCTCCTCCCAGGCCCCGTCGCGCTCCTCCCAGGCCCCCTAGCGCCCCTCCTGGGCCCCGTCGCGCTCCTCCCAGGCCCCGTAGCGCCCCTCCTGGGCCTCGTCGCGCCCCTCCTGGGCTTCGTAGCGCCCCTGCCAGGCCCCGTCGCGCCCCTCCTGGGCTTCGTAGCGCCCCTGCCAGGCCCCGTCGCGCCCCTCCCAGGCCCCGTCGCGCTCCTCCCAGGCCCACTAGCGCCCCTCCTGGGCCCCGTCGCGCTCCTCCCAGGTCCCGTAGCGCCCCGTCGCGCCCCTCCTGGGCCCCGTAGCGCCCCTCCTGGGCCTCGTCGCGCCCCTCCTGGGCTTCGTAGCGCCCCTCCTGGGCCCTGTAACGCCCTCCCAGGCCCCGTCGCGCCCCTCCCAGGCCCCGTCGCGCTCCTCCCAGGCCCCCTAGCGCCCCTCCTGGGCCCCGTCGTGCTCCTCCCAGGCCTCGTAGCGCCCCTCCTGGGCTCTGTCGCGCCCCTCCTGGGCCCCGTCGCGCTCCTTCCAGGCCCCGTAGCGCCCCTCCTGGGCTCTGTCGCGCCCCTCCTGGGCTCCGTAGCGCCCCTCCTGGGCCCCGTCGCGCCCCTCCTGGGCCCCGTAGCGCCCCTCCTGGGCCCCGTCGCGCCCTCCTTGGGCCCCGTAGCGCCCCTCCTGGGCCCCGTCGCGCCCCTCCCAGGCCCCGTCGCGCCCCTCCCAGGCCCCGTAGCGCCCCTCCTAGGCCTCGTCGCGCCCCTCCTGGGCTTCGTAGCGCCTCTCCTGGGCCCCCCGTCGTGCCCCTCCTGGGCCCCGTAGCGCCCCTCCTGGGCCGCGTCGTACCCGTCGCCGTCGCCCGGCCCCGTCGTGCCCGACCGGCGCCGTCGCGCCCGCCCGACCCCGTCGCCGCCGCCCGGCCCCGTCGCGCTCGCCCGGCCCCGTCGCAGCCGCCCGGCCCCGTCGCACCCGCCCGGCCCCGTCGCACCCTGCCCGGCCCCGTCGCAGCCGCCCGGCCCCGTCGCACCGGCCCGGCCCTGCTGCACTCGCCCGGCCCCGTCGCCCCAGCCCGGCCCCGTCGCGCCCGCTCGGCCCCGTCGCCCCCTCCCGGCCCTGTCGCACCAGCCCGGCCCCGTCGCGCCCGCCCGGCCCCGTCGGGCCAGCCCCGGCCCCGTCCTCCTCACTGGTACGGTTCCCCCCCCCCCCCCCCCACCCCGCCCTGCTCCGTGCCGCCCTGCACCGCACTGCACCGCGCTGCACCGCACTGCACCGCACTGTACCGCACAGTACCGCACTGCACCGCACTGCACCGCACTGTCACGCACTGCACCGCACCCCACCTAGCTGCACTGCCCTGCACAGCACTGGACTGTTCCTGATGGCGGCGGAGCTTCGCTTCGACGCTGAAGGTCAGCCCCTAGAGTTCGAGGCGTGGCTTGCCGACCTCCGCCGCCAACTCACTGGCCAGCGGCAGGATGGTGAACCGCTTTCCGCACACCTTGACGGTACGCTCCCCTGCCCAGACCCTCCTGCTATTCTGCCCGCTGACCCCACACCCACTGAGCGTGAGTCTACTGCTGCCACTGCCCGTGCGCGCTCTGTCTGGCTTTCTCGCGATGCTGTTGCCCAGCTTGCCATTAGCAACGCACTCCCCCCGTCCGAGCGTCCTCGCTTTAGGTCCCTCACTACTGCTCAGGCATACTTAGATGCTGTCATCAAGCGCTATTCCGCCCCTCCGGCTGCCTCGGTGGGTCGCCTGATCCTCCCGCTGCTCTTTCCTGACCTTGCTTCGTTCCCCACTGTCTCTGACCTCGCTGCCCACCTGCGCTCGATAGAGGAGACCTGGCGCGCCGCCTGCACTGACGCACAGCTTAGAGCCCACCAGCCGCCCATTACCTCTACCCTCTACCTGCTTGCCACCCGCCTCCCTGACCGCCTTGCTGTCGCCCGCGACCGCTTTCTTAGTGTTCACCCCGCAGACCTCACCCTCACTGACTTTGTAGACACCCTGACTGTGATAGAGACCCGTCACCGCTCCATCGCCCAGGCGAGCGGTGTCGTGCCGGTCCCTATCTTTCAGGGTTGTGCCCCCGCTCAGTGTATCTTCTCCGACGGCTCTGCCGCAGTGGCTGAGACTGCTGCTGCAGCGCAGGCCCGTTCTGGGAAGGGCCGCCGCCCCAAGGCTGGGCGCGGCGGAGGGGGCGGCGGGGGTGCGGGCGGGGGTAGTGGTGGGGTCGGGTCGCCTGGTGCTGGAGCGGACGAGGGGACCCTGCCCAGTCCAGCTGAGTTGCCGCCCCTGCAGTTGCAGCAACCGCAGCAGCCGCCGCAGTCGCAGCCTTCGCAGCAGCCGCAGCAGCCGTCGCAGACGCGGCAGACGAGTGTTCTCCCGCCAGGGTGGCCCGGCGCTGGCGGTGGACGAGCGCGTGGTGGTGTGCCGCATGGTGGCTCTGCCGGCGGGCGTTGTCAGTACCAGATCCAGACCGGTCCTCGCCGCGGCTTCGTTTGCGGTAAGATCGGTCACTCCACTCCCCGCTGCTTTCGTCGCCTGGACGACCTCTTTCGTCAGCGTTTCGGCCCGTCGCCAGACCTCCCGGACTGGCACAGTTTGCTTAGTCGTCAGATTCAGATCTTTGATATGGACATGGATGCCATTGTTTCTGCTCTGCATGTGATGTATGCTGATGACTCTAGTGTGCTTCCGACTTATTACTCACTGTTGCCTAGTGTAGGTGTGCCTAGCTTAGCCTCCCCTGCTGCGTCAGGCGTAGGATCCTCTGCTTTGTGTAGTCTTGGTGCTTTTGCCGTCGTTCCGTCGCCAGACCCCTCGGCTTCGCTTTCCTTCACCTTGGACTCTGGCGCCTCTCGGTGTTTCTTCCGCGACTCCACCACCCTGACGCCGCTTCCTGTTCCTGCTGCCGTTTCTCTTGCTGACCCCTCCGGCGGTCCGGTAGTCGCCCGCAGTTCCACCACCCTTCCCTGTCCGGCGGTTCCTTCGGGCTCTCTTACAGGTCTGCATATCCCCTCGTTCTCCAGGAACCTAGTTGGTGTCGGCTGCCTCCAGGACCTTGGCGTCACCACTACGTTCCCTGGTCACGAGCGGTATGCTGTCTGTACCGAGGCCGCCACTGGTGCCCCCCTCACCACGTTCCCCCGGGACCCGGTGTCCGGCCTGTTCACTCTGGACACCGTACCCCCCCCGGCTGGAGCGCCCCCTCAGGTGGCTGTGTCTACCCAGGTTGCTGCTGCCTGCTCCTGTCGCTCCCTCACTCACCCGACCCTCCTGTGGCACCACCGCCTAGGTCACCCTGCGCTCCCGCGTCTGCGTCACATGTCCCAGCACGGTCTTGTCCTTGGTCTCCCAGGTTCACTCCCCGCGTTTCCCTCCTCCCCAGCTCCACCTTGCACGCCTTGTGTCGAGGGTCGGCTTCGCCGTGCCCCTCACTCCTCCTCGTTCCCCCCTACCGCCGCGTCGCTGCAGACCCTGCACCTGGACGTTTGGGGCCCCGCCCCCGTCCCTGGGCCGCGTCGCGAGCGCTACTTCCTTGTGCTTGTCGACGACTTCACTCGTTACACCAAAATCTTTCCCCTGGAGCGCAAGGCCGACGTGCCTGGCGCTCTCATCCCCTGGCTTGTCTCTGCGCGTGTCCACCGCGGTCTCCCTGTCTTGCGTCTTCACTCCGACCGTGGTGGCGAGTTTGCCTCAGGTGTCCTTGGTCGCTTTTGTCGTGCGGAGGGCATCACCCAGACGTTCACCCTACCGGACACCCCACAGCAGAATGGGGTCGCTGAGCGACGCATCGGTTTGGTCATGGAGGTGGCTCGCACCTCCATGATCCATGCCGGTGCACCCCATTTTCAGTGGCCGTTCGCTGTGCGCTACGCTTCTCACCAGCTTAACTTGTGGCCGCACCCTCAGCAGCCGCAGGTTTCGCCGACTCGTCTTTGGACTGGGTCTCCTGGTGACGCGTCTGCGTTCCACGTCTGGGGCTGCCTTGCTCACGTCCGTGCCTCCGGCACGGACAAGCTCACTACCCGCACCCTTCCCTGCGTCTTCCTCGGTTTTCCCCTTGACGCGTCCGACTGGCACTTTTACCACCCGCCGTCTCACCGCTTCTTTCACTCTCGTGACGTCACCTTTGACGAGTCCGTCTCCTACTACCGCCGCTTCCCCCACTGTGGTCCCCCGGTTACCCCCCCCTGTTCCTGGTCACCCCTTCCCCGGTAGTCCCTGCCCCTCTTCCTCCTCCTCCCCGTCCCGCCTCCTCTGGTGTCTCCCACGTCACCCCCCTTCCGTCCGTGGACCCGGTTGAGGAGTCTTCAGACTCTGGTGGCCCTTCAGACGCTTGCGCCTAAAGATCATCAGCGGCACTGTGTACAGCTTGGTCTAGTTCCTGTAGCCTCTCACTTGCTAGGACCTTGACTTTGTACTGTCCTTTATATGTATACTCAGACTGGACTTGTGTCCTCTCCCAGTGGCTGGACTAGTAGTGCCGCCCTGCTCTTGTGCTTGCCTTGTCTGTACTCCTTCTGACCGGTCGCTCAGACCCTTGCCTCAGAGGTTGGACTAGTAGTGCCGCCCTGAGCTGCTTGTTTAGGGTATTCCCCTATGCAGTCTAGGGGGTGTGTCAAACATGTGTATTTGTCATGTTTGTATAGACTGTATAGAGTCACCTCTTAGAGGATACAAAACTTAGATATATTTGTGTGTACTCTCACTTTACAATTATTCAATTATTCTGTTAAAAAGTTCCAACATCGAGTGCGACATTGTTCAAACATTAACAAACGCGCACACAACAAAAAAATATTTGACACACAAGGGCAAATCTATCTGGGATCCGCGCTAAGCCAGTGAGGCATCAATATTCTACTCAGGGCTCTCGCTAGGCATTTTCCACTTTCTAGGCGATCAGACGCCCGATCTTTCAGTTTCTGAATAATCAGAGGTTTTAGAGTAGAGTTTCTACGAGATCAGAAGTTTCGGCTTAACATTTCTAAACTTTTACCTAATCATTAGGCCACAATGATATTTCACCACATCATTAAGCCATTTACCTAATCAGAATCACAATCTACATTTATAGTGCCGCGCACATCTACGGCCTCATCATCGTTATTAAGACGCTTCTTCATCTTCTTGCTGACCGCCTTGTCTTTCTTCCTCTTCTGGCTGAGAGGCGGCTCAGCCGGGGGCATCACGACATTTGTTGCCTGCCGCCGCTGCACTGAAGCACGGAAATTAGCCATGACATCTTCCCACATCATCGGGTACTCTAGCAACGAAATGCACATCAAGTCGGTCAGTCGGGCATCGCACAAATTTACACGCAACCAAGACTTAATGATGTTCTGGCGGCTGAAGCCACGCTCGCACTCTACTGTGCTGAGAGGCAGAACAGCAATAGCCACCCACAAGCGGACGAGGTTGGGGTAGGAGGTGCGCCAGTCTTCGGATCTGAGAATGTTCTTCAAGCAGTTGTGGAATGACGTATCCTTGTAATGACCGTGGAGCATGCGCGTGAATCGAGGCAGCTCCCTTTCCGCCTTGCCCCAATCAACTCCTGAACAAGGGAGGGAAATAACCACAAGTCATTAAGTCACAGCCTGACACATCACAAGGTGGGAGGGGGGTGAGGGCTTCCATGTGCATGGTTAATGTAAGGTTGAGTGAAGAAATCCTCACCCGGCAAGGCACACTGCTCGGCGTTGAAGAGGACCTTCAGTGAACCGAACCACTCAGCGCACAGACGGTCGCGCTTTGCAACGGAGTCGGGGTAAGCGTCGGGGAAGAACAGTTTCGACCCACGGAGACTGTTGAGGCTCTCCATCCGCGACTCCAAGTTGCGGATGATGGCCTGCACAAAAAGGGTGACAAGGGAGATGCATGACTCCATGTCTCCCTCACTCTTCTGGCCTGACAGAGCTTTCTCGTGCAGCTTAAAGGTGTGAGCCGTCGGGTTGCCAGCGCCGTCAATGCCCTCCACTGTCACCATCCGCTTGTTCTTCGGGCCATGCTCCTCCAAAAACTCGGTGAGTAGCTTGGAATCCTCGCCGAAGTTGACGCCATACTCTACGTAGCGAGAGCGGAGGATGCTGCATGTGTTCTCTACTAGCTGGGCCACCTTGGTGATGTCGACCTGTGGGAAGGGCATAAGGTAAATTAGTTGAAGGGACAGCAGAGTTTATAAGTTTTAGGAACAAGATATAAAACGCACGCAGGGCAAACACTCACCGCACGGCGCTGGAACTTAAAGCTGCTAACGACATGGTACATGTCATCATCGAACTCATACGACAGCAACACTGCAGCCGGAAAGACTTGCACAAGACGCTGAATGGCATCACCGCGAGACAACCAGCGAATGTCTTTGATACCCTGCATTTCGAGTGTCGTGTCGTGGATGAAACTCTGCAGCTCCTGGAATCTTGAGTGCACGACAATGGAGCGGCCAAGGATGTCGGCTAGGCTTCGGACGACTTTGTCGACGATCTCGAGGTCGGGACAATCGTTGGCAGCGTCCTTAGCCGCGAGCGCCTCTCTGCAAAGAGCACGTAACTAGGATTAGCGATGTTTCTGGATGCCAGGGTACCACCATACAACTGTATGATTCAACAATCTCACCTGTGGGCGATGCAATGACAGGGCACGAGATGCGGGACCCTGGCGCGGAGCTGAGCGACAAGGCCCCGGTTCGCCCCCGTCATGACGCTGGCTCCATCAGTGCTGATGCCACTGATTTTGTTCAGGTCTACGGCAGTGGCTTCAAGGTGGTCCAGCAGCAGCGTCAGTAGAGAGGTCGCATCACACCTCTCAACTGTTAGGTGCCCGAAAAACTCGGTTACCACCTTCGCGTTCTTCAAAAAGGTGAGGTACACAATCATGTGTTTACCCCGCCTCCTATCGGTGCTCTCGTCGAGCTGGATGCCCACGAACGGCGACTGTTGAATGTGCTTCATCTGCTGTGCTCGAAGGTAAACGACGAGTGCTTCTGTGATTTGCTTGAAGCCGTACCTGCAGCAGGAAAAAAATCAATGGTTAGAGAGTTTTTAACATTAGAGTTGACCAAAACGATTGCAGAGCCCAACTTACTCAGATTGGTAAGACCCGGGGGATTTCTCGGGGATGTGGGGAGTGCGGAGGTCATAGAGAAGACGGACCAGAGAAACAAACATGGCAATAGAAGCATCAGACTTGCAAATCCAAAGCACAACAATCATCAACTGATTAAGCCGCGCGTCGGCTCCCTGATTGTCGTTGAAATCGACAATGCTCGGCTGCGCAGCGTTTAGACCATCCAACTGTTTCTGCCGATCCTCCGCAGCCTCGTGCTTCTTGCTTTGGGAGTGCTTCACCATAGTCTGCTTCTGAATGTCGACACCTCCATTGCCGTATTTGCCGTACTGCCACTTCGGAGGAGCATGCGCCATGCACAATCGACACTTCATGCACGGACGTCCGTCGGGGCGTTGGTCGATGAGCAGCCAGGGGAATTTTCGCACCCACTGCTCTTCGGCCTTCGCCTTCAGTTCTGCAAGAAGTGCATCGGGGTCGGGGATGAGACGAGAGTGGCTTCCCGTGCTCGGCGTCGGATCAGAGGCTGAAGCAGACGTTCCCGCCTCTTGGGTCGCAGATGGCGTTGCATCAGCAGCAGGTCGGGAAGTCTCTAGCCTGATGTGAGGAACTCGGGTACGCGCAAATCGAATGGTGCTTTGCGTGTACCTTCCAGCGGGCAGTCTTGAAGGCAGCGCTGGGATCGCGGCTACTGAGAGTGGAGGCGAAGGGATCCCCGCGGAAGTAATGGGAGAGCTAGGAGAGGCAGCAGGAGTGGATGCGAGCAAAGGCTCAGCATCAATGTCCGGGAGTAAGTCAGAGAAAGGCAGAGGCACGGCTGGGGAACTAACAGCTAGCGCGGGCACGGCCTCTGGCGTCTCTCGCCTAGGCGGAGGCTGGCGTAGAAAATCCAGGCCCCTCATTAGGGGTGCTGTAGCAGGAACAGGCTGTGCTATGGCGGCGGCGCCGTCATCAGTGGTGCTGCCAGCCATCTAAAACTCATTGGCGCAGCAAACGAGTGAGATACGCTACGGGGCATGTCTAACCTGGGTGCGGTAACGATTGTGAACCGAGGGCATACTGGCGGACAGGGGAGCTTGTCGAAGAGAAGGGTGAAGAAGAAAGGGAGTTCCCCACCTCTCTTTCAGCATGCATCGAACCGCAAGCCGTTTCAATGGTGTAGATTAGAGTGTTCCCCCTAAGACGAAGGTTCGTGGGGAGGCCAGCTAGGAATGCATGTTGCGACAAGCCAATGGGAGAGTATGCTGCAATGGCTAATAGGACAAGCCAATTGGAGAGGCTCCGCTGCCTTACCTAGCAGGACAAGCCAATAGGAGGGGCTCTGCCCTGTCTAACAGGACAAGCCAATGGGGGAGAGAGATGCTGCCAATGCATGGATGCACTGAGGGCAACTGTGGAGAGTCATTGTGTGTTGGAAGGGGATGGGCCAATGAGACTACACGGCTGACTCAATTGCCCACTGCGGCGCCACACCGTGAGCAACATATGACTCAGCGCTTGTCTCACCGACGTTGTGCTGGCGCCGAAACTGTAAGTAATGATGCCCCACTGGGCGTGCTGTCGCGCGATTTGCTGTACACGCGGGGATTTTGGGGGGGCTGGATGCAACCTCACAGTAATCGGTTTCAGACGAACGTATTCGCTAAGTCTGTAGAATCAGAAGAACAAGAACACACATTCTGAAAATTCAGAAGGACTATAATTCAGTTTCTAGGGCATCAGAAATTCTAGAAATAGGTTTCTAAAAAATCAGAGGAACGCCTAAAAAAGAGTCTGAAAATCAGACAAACAGACGGATTTTGTCTGATGTCGAGAGCCCTGATTCTACTGTGCCGTGCATGCGATAATTTTTTTCGAGCATGACGTGACTTGTAGAGTCATGAATTAGCGGGAATGTTTTTGCAGTAAATTCATTTGTGAGAAAATTTATAACCACAGCCGGCAGAAATCTAAAAGATTTGTTGTACTTAAGTTAATAAAAAAATTTGTGCGGCTATGAGTGTACTTTGCTGCACTTTTAAACATATTCGTTTCCCAAAATAAATTTCCATAGTTTTCATTATATGTTTTTCTTTCAAGCGATTTGGGAATGGCGATAAGTTTAAGGCTTGACTTTTTGGGGGGGCGTAAATGCGGTAGAGACAAAACCGTCATTCTTAAGCTTCACGGAACGCACTACACTCTACCACGAAAGTACGTGTTTTGAAACAAAATCGTATTTTCTTGTTTCTCGAATAACTTGTGTCCAATAAAATCAAATTTGAGTATATTACGTTTTTTCGCTCGAACTGCGCCTGTAGCTGGGGAGAAATTTCGTGCCTGCCACAATGATGACGAAATTGGGCTGGCGCGAGCGGGAAAACGTTCCTAGACGGGCGGGGGTTACTTCTACTGACCATTCGTGGAACTTTTTTCCTACAGTTTCTGACTAACCGTGGAACCCGACTGATGAAACATGTTTCGAACTCGCTAATTCTGATTGTTTCTATTGCGTCACTGACCGTACATATTATCGGGGCCCCTAATACTGAGCGCCGATGTACTTTCCCAATTGTATCTACAGTAATTCTTGACAGGTAAGCTGGGGTTGCTGAAAGGTCCCATGATGCTAATGAGCGACAGCGTGACAACTGGTTACGGAGAGCTACAGCCAGCATCACGCCAAATTTCCTCTCACGCCAACTCGACACTACCATTCGTTGGGCTGCCAATGCCAAGTTTCCCGCTTGCACTTCAGCTTCGCGAAAGCTGCGCATTCCTGCTTGCACTTCACCTTCGCGAAACCTGCCCACTTCGCCAAAAAGACAACTGGTTTGACTTTCGCGAATCCTGCCCACCTCACCAACCCCAGCAAATCCGCAAACCGAATCCTTCCAACGTGGCGAAAGGAATCCGGCCACCCTTCCTCGCAACAGGCCTCGTTCTCACTTCTTGCACTCCAATGTTACGCGGTTCCAACCGTTTTCGTTTTCGTGAACCCGGCCTATTTTTTCTTTCGCCAATATGGCAAATTGCTTGGGGTGCACCTTCCACTCCACTGGTGTGCCCAGTGTTCACATCAAGTCTTGGAAGCTCCAGCATTCCTCTTACCAGCCACGCGCATTTCAAGACTTCAAAAGCACCCCCTTTCCTCTCAAGCCGACCATAACGCAGAGCCGTTTCTGAGTCGGACGTTCTAAAGTGGTTTCCCATCACTCGTCTCCAGGAAAGGTAAAACCCGAGGGAGTGACAGCATTCGGCGCACTGCCACTGACAGCATTGGCCCTCTCTAACAGGCCTCGTCCTCCTAACAGCCTGAGCGTTTAGCTTGCCTGGTCTTTTTTACAGACTGGATCCCGTGGGAAGAACCCACTCTCCGCTTGTCGGAGTAACAAAAGCCGCTCTCAGTCCATCGCAGCCAAACATGTGTCGCTGCATTGAGGGCCCCGCGGCGTGCACTTCCCAAGCTCAGCCTTGGGCTGGCAAGAATTCCGAATCTGGAGCAACTTCAGCCCCTGTTTACACGTCAGGAAACACTTCCGGTTACGTTGCTGGTGACAGCTCTTGTTACAACATTGGTCGCGCTTCTGGGTTCAGCAACACGCACATTCTGAGCCAGGAAGAGATCCTCGGGATCATCCGCTCTCAGCCAGCCGCCCACGAAGAAAAACCTCCCCCTTCTCCCTCTCTGAAAGTGAAAGGATATCAAGGGCCTTCGCATCCCCCCTCCGAAGGTTTCACAGGAATTTTCCTGGAAGCATCAGGTGCTGTACACCATATCTGCGTTAGTAGCGTCAGTGGTAATGGCTCCTGGCCCGACATTGAAACAACGCCGATGACTTGGACATCTCAAGGCGGCACAGCTGCCGAGCCCACATTGTGCACTGGAAGTGACAGCCCACAGGATAAATGGCCAGCAGCATTCCGCAGCACAGGTGCGGATAACTCGGCTTCGGAGAGCTCAGCTTCGGCGAACTCAACGTCGGACAGATCAGCTTCGCCAAATTCAGCTTCGGAGAGCTCAGCCTCTGCAAACTCAGCTCCGGAGAACTCAGCTCCGGAGCGGGCCGATTTGCATTCTAAACATGGCGAGAGAGGGGGACAGTCGCCATGTCCAGCGGCACACATCACCGCCCCTCGTCTCTCGCTCATCATCCCGCCTCCTCCTCCCCAAAATCCACCAACATCTCCCCCGGCAGTTAGCATTCCCTCTCCGCAAACCGTCCACTTATTTCACGAGGCGACTCCCAATGTCCTCCCTGCTTCCGGCCCAGAGCTCCTGCCTCCTCCCTTCCCGAGCCTCCCCCTCTCTCCCCTCCCCGTCCTGCCCCTCTCGCCTCGCCCGTCCCTGGAGCAACGGCTTCGCCTGTTGGTGCTGCAGCAGAGGAGGACTGTCAAGAACCCTGGAGGTGCTCCTGCCAGAGGTGCTTGTAACGAGCGGAGGTTCGAATTTGGCTCCAATACAGTCATGCCACATGTTGAAAGGGAACGCAATACGCACCCGAAACCTTCGCTGATGATGGTGGAGGGTTTATCTTCGCCAACCATTTCGCCAATCATTTCACCAGTCCCTTCGCCACGAACGGCTCTACTATTCGACGGTGCTGATTGGAGAGAGCGGACGGGGAAAGATGCGCTTCCTGCAGGGATTTCGCCACGTGGCATCGACGCTCAGAAGAACTTACACGACGAGACAGCAATTAGGGTTACCAGGGTTACCACATCTCCGACATCCCCAATACTTCCAGTTCCAGATTCTACTATCTCTACCGCCCTTCGCAGACTACGGGATACGCGTTGTAAGATCACTGGAGAACAGCCGGCTCAGCTGTCTAAAGGTGCTGACGTCGCAACGTGTAAGAAAATCCGCATGGTTGAAGAAACCTACGTGGCGGCAGACAATAAACAGGGAAAAGAAGCCAAGGGAATCACACTCAGCCTAAGTGGCGCGCTACTATCGAGGAGAAAACGGAACTGGTACGAAGCGAATGGCAAGGCGACCGCAACAGTGGACATGGAATCAAAGCACCAAGAGCGGGAGGAGGAGGCGGAGAATGGGAAGCGAAACGCAAGAGGGATTCAGGATGAGGGAAAGGAAGGGGAAGGGGATGATATCGAGGGGATTGACCAGGTGAGTATTCTCGAGGGAATTTGGGAGAGTCAGGAATGCAATAATATCGAGGATATTCTCGATAATGGCGTGGATGCGGTATGTTTGAGGAGGACAGGCTCGGCTGAAGCAACTCATATTACGATTGGACGTGGTAGTAACAAGTTAGTCATACCTTGCATTGAACTTGAGTCTCTTGATATGCTATTTCAATAATTATGCATGTATATAGGCCATCGAAATGAGACGTTACACATAATTCGCCATGATGAAAACAAGTGTAGTACATGATAAGACTCGCTTTTATGGACAGCGAGAAATGCACCAGCACTACAAATAAAATAGAACCAAACATAGATAGTGAAATAAATCGTCTGATGTTGTAGTAGACTAAGTATAAAACTACAAACACTAACACTTGGAAAATCCTCAAGTGTTGGTCCAGGATCTTTACTGGAATGGTAGACAAGTAAGACAGCGGAAGTCTTGTAAAATGTAAAGGTCAAGGTTGAATAACCTGAGTACGTGAACTTGTGAGTAATAAAAAGTTAATAATGGAAAGGCCTAACAATAATTTATAGTTATAGGAAAAGTACCTATTCGCTAATGTACCTGTTCATCACTATCGCGCTATGCGCCCTAGATGTTAACGAAGAGGTGCGACTGTTCGCGTGACTGAAACGACTGTCCCCATGACGAGCGCTATTTGCTGACGTCATCCTATGGACTTATGTTCTACAGTAGGATTCGACACTAACTACACCTGATCGACTTACAGAAATGCGAAGTATCAATTATATCACAAAAGATAGCAGCAAACATAGAAGAGCACTATTGAGCTACCACTTGAAATAAGGCAGGACATATGAAGGGTTTGCACCTATCTCTTCCAACAATTCTCTCAGCTTCCCCATATCCACCTCTCCCTCTACCACATCTCCGTGTCTCCCCGCCACCTTTCCTCCTCTCCCTCCCCCTTCCCCTTCCCCTTCCCCTTCGCCTTCCCCTCCCCCAGTTGCAGGTGCCACCCCCAGTTGCTCTGCATGTATCCCCCCGCCACAAACACGCAGTCAATGCCAAAAGATGCCGCCCCTAGAATGTCGTGGTGGAGCGAGTCGCCGACCATAATCGTGCTGTCAGGAGGGATCCCGGTCAGCTGCTGGGCTGCCCGGAAAGAAATCTGAGTGGGGTGATGGAGATCCGGAAAGAATAACGTAGATGTGTTCGAATGGAATAAAGAAGTGCAGATCTCGAGAAAACAAGGTTGCTAGTGTGGCAAGGTTGCTAGTGTGACAAGGTTGCTAGTGCAACAAGGTTGCTAGTGTGGCAAGCTTGCTAGTGTGACAAGGTTGCTAGTGTGACAAGGTTGCTAGTGTGACAAGGTTGCTAGTGTGAGAAGGTTGCTAGTGTGAGAAGGTTGCTAGTGTGACAAGGTTGCTAGTGTGACAAGGTTGCTAGTGCAACAAGGTTGCTAGTGTGGCAAGTTTGCTAGTGTGACAAGGTTGCTAGTGTGACAAGGTTGCTAGTGTGACAAGGTTGCTAGTGTGAGAAGGTTGCTAGTGTGACAAGGTTGCTAGTGTGACAAGGTTGCTAGTGTGACAAGGTTGCTAGTGTGACAAGGTTGCTAGTGTGACAAGGTTGCTAGTGTGAGAAGGTTGCTAGTGTGAGAAGGTTGCTAGTGTGACAAGGTTGCTAGTGTGACAAGGTTGCTAGTGTGACAAGTTTGCTAGTGTGACAAGGTTGCTAGTGTGACAAGGTTGCTAGTGTGACAAGGTTGCTACGGATGTCCTCTCCCCAACCCGTTCACCCCATCATCAGAATCACCCTGCCCCTCCTCCTCTCGCCCTCCACTCCACAAACCCAGAACATCAGGTTTGTGTGATATGATTTTGAGTCCACTCAAAACGAATCTCACATCACACTGCCGGAACATCACGTCTTGAGAGGAGCCTCCATATCCGACTCACAACAACAACTCACCGGGTCTGGCTTGCCCATGCACTTGACCACTCCCCCCATCTCCTCATACTGCCGTGCCAGTGTCCCAGGCATGACCCTTAAAGCCCTCTCTTCCACCGTGACTATATCAGGGTTGGCCACCACCATCGGGATCATCCTGCCCCTCCGCCGCCCCTCCTCTGCCGCCAGTCTCATCAGCTCCGCCAGCTCATCCAGCGAGGCCGGGCGGGCAGGTTTGTCCTCTTCTGTGTGCACCTGTGAGGTGCTTGTTCCCCCAGTGGTGTTCGGTCCCTGTGCGAGCCCCACTGCCTCTGTGCCGTGCGCGAGAATAAAATCGGCTTCCTCTGGTGCCTCCACAACTTGCAGACCCAAACCCTGGACGAGGAAGATGGGAGGTACAGGAGCAGAGCAGGGGGGGGGAGGAAAGGGTGAGTACTGCAGTGGCCACTGTGCAAGCCCCACTGCCTCTGTGCCCGGGGCACGGATGGAATCGGTTTCCTCTGGTGCCGCCACAACTTGCAGACCCAAACCCTGGAGGTGGGAGAGCAGGGTAGAGGGAAGAAGGGGAGGCAACAGGAATGAATGCTCCCTGGGCGAGCCCCACTGCCCCTGTGCCATGGGCGAGCGAGAATTAAGTCTGCTCCTTGTGGTGAAACCAAATCCTGCACCTAGGCAGGGGAGTCTAGTTTTGAGGTTCCTCAAAACTGGACTCCTATCACGCGGTTTTGAGGCGCCTCAAAATTAAGTCTGCTCCTTCTGGTATCCCCAAACCCTGCGCCTGGGCAGTTTTGAGACGTCTCAAAACTAAACTACTTAACCACAGATTAATTCAGCTCCTTCGGGTGTCCCCAAACCCTGTGCCTAGGCAGGGAGGAGAGTGGAACAGCCTTGTAAGCACCTGCCGGACGGCGGCCTAACTTACCTCTAGTGACACCTCTAGTGACACCTCTAGCGACACCTCTAGTGACACCTCTAGTGACACCTCTAGTGACACCTCCAGTGAAACCTCTAGCGACACCTCTAGTGACACCTCTAGCGACACCTCTAGTGACACCTCCAGTAACACCTCTAGTGACACCTCAACGACACCTCCAGTGACACCTCTAGTGACACCTCCAGTAACACCTCTAGTGACACCTCTAGTGACACCTCTAGTGACACCTCTAGTGACACCTCCAGTAGCCCAACAGCCTTGCACCCCTGACCGCCCAGGTGAAGGGAATAGATGCAACCCCATGATAAGATGATGCGGTAACGCTGTAACCATTTATTGCCCCACCTACCTATCTGGCAGGCCAGGTGAAATGAAGCAAGTCTGATCCCTGCTTAATACCAGTGACTGGAGCCAAGTATTGCAGTCACGGTTGCCCCTACCACCTTAACCCTATGGTAACCCGATTGAAGTCCCTGTAGTAACCCTATGGTAACCCTACCTCCAGGGAGACAGCGCCCCTAGCAGCCCACGTGAAGTGGAGGCACTTTGACCCGAGAGTCTCGAAAAAGGGGCCCAGGGAGCGACTGGAGGGTGGTAGGGGGGAAGATGGGAGGGGGATGAGGGAGGGAGGGAGGGGAGATGGGAGGGGGAGATGAAGTTTCTACTAGCACTTCTTACTCACTCTATCAAGTGCCCTGTGCATGGTCTCTCCAGCGCTCCCCATGATCTCTCCAGCGCTCCCCATGATCTCTCCAGCGCTCCCTTTTACCCTTGGGATCTGATCCTCCCGCCTCTCCCATCGCATTCTTCTTCCTCTCTCAAATGCTCACTCACCCCTACCAACAGCTACCCTCTCTCTCACTCACTCCATCAAATGCTGACGTGTCATCTCCCCACTCGTCACGATCCCACGGAACAGGAACGGGTGAAAGCGCAGCAGCGGGGGAAGGCACGTGAAACAGAAATGAGGCACCAGTTGGGGGGTGTTTTAAGATGTCCAAGCTCCAAACCCAAAGCCCAACCTCAAAACGAGCCCACTCACCCCAACAGCTACTCACTCACTCCATCAAGTGCCGGTGCGTGATCTCCCCATGCGGGATGACTTTTGAGTCGACTCAAAAGTCATCTCCCCATGCGGGATCTTCACCATCCCACTGAACAGAGACGTCCCACCAGACTTCATTAGCTTACTGCCTTCGTCTGGGACAAAGTTTCTCTCTCACTCTATCAAATCCCGGTGGGTGATCTCCCCGCTTGTCACAATCCCACAGAACAGAGACGTGCTCTCTCTCACTCCCCAATTGCGGAGAGTTACGTTCCTCTCTCTCTCTCTCTCACTCTATCAAATGCCGGTGCGTGATCTCCCCGCTTGTCACAATTCCACAGAAGAGCGACGGGTCGAAGCCCAGCGAGGGAAGCTTCTTAGAAGCCACGTCCACTCTGCGAGAGGAGTTGCTGAGAAGCACCACCTTGGCACCTGATGCTGCCAGCTGGCGCACTGCGATTGGCCCGGAGAAGGATAGCGATAGGAACAGGGATAACAATAGGGATGGGTATATGGAAGTATTGGTGGATGAGATGGCAGAAGGCACAAGGAAGTGATAGGTTTTTGTGAATTCTAAAAAATGCCTAGCGCAAGGAAGTTTGGGAGGGGCATAAGAGGGTCGGGCAGGAGTGGGTTAGCAAATAAGTACCAAGCAGAAGTACTTTGAGAGCTAACGAGGCGAAGAGGTGTGGCACAACATTATCAGGGTATTTTTGAGAATTCTCAAAAATAGTTTTGAGGCGCCTCAAAATACCCGGCAACATTATCCGGGTATTTTTGAGAATTCTCAAAAACACCCTGCAACATTATCAGGGGTTACTAACATGCAAGTAGGGAATGCACAACCCGACATCAAGGCAGCATATGGAAGGTCCCCACAGCCCGCAGCTCCCAGCCCCCAGCCCCCAGCCCGCAGCCCGCAGCCCCCAGCCCACAGCCCGCAGCCCCCAGCCCACAGCCCGCAGCCCCCAGCCCCCAGCCCACAGCCCGCAGCCCGCAGCCCGCAGCCCGCAGCCCACAGCCCCCAGCCCGCAGCCCGCAGCCCGCAGCCCGCAGCCCGCAGCCCACAGCCCACAGCCCACAGCCCGCAGCCCACAGCCCGCAGCCCGCAGCCCACAGCCCACAGCCCACAGCCCACAGCCCACAGCCCGCAGCCCACAGCCCGCAGCCCGCAGCCCACAGCCCACAGCCCACAGCCCACAGCCCACAGCCCACAGCCCACAGCCCGCAGCCCGCAGCCCACAGCCCACAGCCCACAGCCCACAGCCCACAGCCCACAGCCCGCAGCCCACAGCCCGCAGCCCCACTCACACGCTTCAATGGCTTCGGGATACGCCTTCTTGCCATCGTGCAGCACGCCAAACTGGTCCAGAATCCACGCCTTGGGAAACAGGCGGCAGCGGCACGGGTGGGGAGGAGCAGAATGGGATGAGGAGGTGGGCGAGAGTGGAGTAAAAACAGGAATTAATAACTTGCAGAGGATGAAGGCCTCCCTGCTTGCGGATACGCCTTCATCCCCGCACCGCACTGCCCTCACCTCACCTCGTACTTGCCTGCCCCGACAAGCTCCTTCAGCCTTCAAAAAAAAAAAAAAAAAAAAAAAAAAAAACGAGTTCTGAGATGTCTGAAACTCTTGTAAGCTTCCCTGCTCTCCCCCCCCCGCACTCCCTCGCTACCCTCACCTCTACCGTCATCCCTCCCAGCGCTCCCCCCCCCCGCACTCCCTCGCTGCCCTCACCTCGTACTTGCCTGTCTCGACAAGCTCCTTCAGCCCGCTTATTTGAACGGGCCCTTTCAACAAGGGTAAATTACCCTCGAGATTCCCTCCAGAAGTGATTGTCGTGGGAGCAGCAGAAGCCATGGCTGTGATTCTGCGGGTAACCGAGGAATTACCCCGGTTATTGGTTCTCCTGGTAAATGAGAGATTTGGCCTGGCCTGTGCGGCGGGCAAACGGGACGAAAGCACGAGCTGCGAGGCAGCGTGTAACGGGGATGGAGTGCGGAGCAAAATGGCGCTTCGACTAGGGAGCCCCGACGGGGAGAACATCGCTTGCAGCCGCGCCGCCGCGAAATGCGGGGCGGAGGAACGGAAGACTCGCTTCGGCAAGAATCGGACGGCGGGGAACGCAGAGGAGTTGAACGGACGGGAATCGCCTGAGGGAAGGCGCAAGTGTTGCTCGAGTAAGAAAGGACACAAATTAAGGGCGAATAAGGGTGTATAAGAAGTTGCTTCGGTTAGTAATTATACAGCCACCTGTCGATTCCTAATAAGACGTATGAAGGGAGAAAGAGACATGTAGGGGCGTATTTTGTCAACGACTTCAATCCAGGTTTGTGGCAGGGATAACCGTTCGGGCGCATTTGCACTGAACGCGATTTGGAATCCCAGTGCGCTGGGGAACAGCACTTGGCACGGGGGCATCAGAAGTTCAAAAAGTGCTGGTTTCGCGAACAATCACTTGTTTCGTTCATCATAACCGAGGCTCGCGAAAAGTCCCTTACTGATTAGCTCGTCGCGTTGGGTGAGGGAATCTCGATATGTTTTGGTAACTTTCGTGTGGTCGCGTGCATCTCGACACTTCAAGCTCTGTTCGGCAAACCCGGGGTTCGCCAGTTTGAGTCAGGGATCACAGCTGTGTCCGTTAAGTTGGCATGTAACAAAGCCAGGAGGAATCCTTCCTCAGCCTGTTTCCTGGACAATATCAATGATTTTTTGCGCGGCAATCCAATGCGATTATTGAACAGACACGCCATATTCGCCAAAGGCGGAAAACGCCTATCCCAGCCAATCCTCCGTTCCGCCCCTCGGTCATTCACGGCCCATACGCGCCGCGGCGGCGACTGAGTTACACGAGCCAGTGTAGGAATGATCGTGAACGCGGCAACTGAGACGCGGCTTGTTCGGCACGGGAATCAATGGCGGTAACTCTTAGAGCGGTGCGCGTAGGATCACTACTGTTCACGTCGCTTCGGGAAAGCTCCTCTTATACGCATTCTCGGAGTTCGGTCCGAAGCCGAACCTACTGCCGTGCAGGCTCGGAACCTGCAGCCCCTCAATCAGCAAGCCTCGCATCCGAACCTGTTCCGAGCCAGTTGACCAATGAGCGGATAAAATCCGCTTCGGCATGTGCTAGACCAGATAATTCGGCTCGGGACGCTTCACCGAGGCTGGGTGCCGAACCTGGGAGGTCAGGTTCCGGCCATGGTTCGGCACCTGGTAACCACGTGGCTGGGTGGGATGCTCCAACGATCCAAGTGGTGTTTGAAAACGAAGACGTGGTCGCCGTCAACAAACCTCCGGGAATCATGGTAGGCCAAATCATATTAGGTTGGTTTTGAGACGTCTCAAAACCAACCTTATATCGGTAGGCCAAATCATGCAATCCGAATCTTTTCAGGCGCCTCGAAAGGAATCATGGTAGGCCGAATCATGCATTCCTAATCTTTCCCCCTTGCTTTTGAGTCAGACTCAAAAGCAACCTCCGGGAATCATGGTAGGCCGAATCATGCAATCCGAATCTTTCCCCCTTGTAAACAACCCCGAACCCCTTCCGAGCAATCTTTCCTCGAATAACTCCCAGCCTCTTTCATCCTCCATGTGAAGCGCCTTGGGAGGAGCGAGTGTACCGATCCTTGTGGTAACCACCCTGCTCCTGACCCCCCCCCCCCTCCTCCCCCCCCCTCCCCTCCCCTAAACAACTCTCTTACTCCCTCTATTTCTCCCTCTCCCTCTCCCAGGTGCACGCGTCTCGTGAAGCGCCCCGGGAGGAGCGAACGCGACGATTCTTTGTGAAGGACATGGTGGAACAGCAGCTGGGGCTAGGTACGGCAGCTGGGGCTAGGTACGGTTGACAGGTAAGGGGAGGAGGAGGAGGAGACGCCTTGAAACGCAGGGGAGCGAACTCAGGGGCTCAGCAGCGGCAGTGCTGGTGTTACCTTACCCACCCACCCATCTCAACACCCCCAAACCCCTCCCCCCCTTCCCTTCCTTGCCCTCCCTCCCACAACAGACCCTCCCCTCTTCCCAGCCCGTGAATTAGGCCGACCGGCCGTTTTGAGACGCCTCAAAACGAAAGTACTATCACACCCTCCCACAACGGACCCTCCCCACTTCCTCGCCCATCAAATAGGCCGACTGGCCTTTTGAGGCGCCTCAAAAGTCGTCTCTTTATCCCCGACCTTCCTACGCTGCTGCTACTCTTCCATGACAACTCGTCCCCGCCCATCACATAGGCCGACTGGCCAGTGGCGCGCTTGTGTTTCAACCCTCACACTCATCAACCTAACCCGATCTCCCTCACTTCCCCTTTCCCTGCCCTTCCCTAGCAGGCTCTCCCCTCGTCCCCGCGCATCGCATAGGCCGACCGGCCAGTGGCGTGCTGGTGTTCAGCAGCACAGCAGAGGTGGCATTGGTGTCTCCCCGCCCCCCTATCCCCTTCCAACAAGCAGGCTCTCCCCTTGTCTCAGCCAATCGCATTGTCCGATCAGCTAGTGGGGTAGTGACGTTCGGCTGGACGGCAGAGCCAGTGTTGATGCCTCCTTCCCTCACTTTCTCCCCAACTCCCCTCAACACCGTTTCACTCCCGTCAATCGCAGACCGCCCTCTCGTCCCCACGCATCGCATAGACCGACCAGCCAGTGGCTTGCTGGTGTTCCGCCGCACGGCAGAGGCGGTATTGATGTCTCCTCCCTCCCCTCCCCCAACCCACTCTTGTTCAACCGGCCTCTCGGCAGGCTCTCCCCTCTTACCCACGTATCGTATCGACCGGCCAGCCAGTGGCGTGCTGGTGCTTGGCCGCACAGCAGAAGCAGCATTGATGCCTCCGTTCCTCCCACCCCCACCCCCCTCCCTTCCCTGCCCTGCCCTTCCCTGCCCTGCCCTGCCCTTCCCTGCCCTTCCCTTCCCCGCCCTTCCGCCCCTACCCCTCTCCAATGCTCATGCAGACCGCCCTCTCTTCCCCGCGCATCGCATAGACAGGCCAGCCAGTGGCGTGCTGGTGTTCGGCCGCACAGCTGACGCGTGCACGGGACTGCGAGAGGCCATGGCACACCCTCTGGCTGTTAAGGAGTGAGTCGCACGTGCTGAGTTGCACGTGCTGAGTTGCACATGCTGAGTCGCACATGCTGAGTTGCACATGCTGAGTTGCACATGCTGAGTTGCACATGCTGAGTTGCACATGCTGAGTTGCACATGCTGAGTTGCACATGCTGAGTTGCACATGCTGAGTTGCACATGCTGAGTTGCACATGCTGAGTTGCACATGCTGAGTTGCACATGCTGAGTTGCACATGCTGAGTTGCACATGCTGAGTTGCACATGCTGAGTTGCACATGCTGAGTTGCACATGCTGAGTTGCACATGCTGAGTTGCACATGCTGAGTTGCACATGCTGAGTCGCACATGCTGAGTTGCACATGCTGAGTCGCACATGCTGAGTTGCACATGCTGAGTTCGCACATGCTGAGTTGCACATGCTGAGTTGCACATGCTGAGTTGCACATGCTGAGTTGCACATGCTGAGTTGCACATGCTGAGTTGCACATGCTGAGTTGCACATGCTGAGTTGCACATGCTGAGTTGCACATGCTGAGTTGCACATGCTGAGTTGCACATGCTGAGTTGCACATGCTGAGTTGCACATGCTGAGTTGCACATGCTGAGTTGCACATGCTGAGTTGCACATGCTGAGTTGCACATGCTGAGTTGCACATGCTGAGTTGCACATGCTGAGTTGCACATGCTGAGTTGCACATGCTGAGTTGCACATGCTGAGTTGCACATGCTGAGTTGCACATGCTGAGTTGCACATGCTGAGTTGCACATGCTGAGTTGCACAGCTGAGTGCACATGCTGGACTGAGTCGCACATGCTGAGTTGCACATGCTGAGTCGCACATGCTGAGTTGCACATGCTGAGTCGCACATGCTGAGTTGCACATGCTGAGTTTGCACATGCTGAGTTGCACATGCTGAGTTGCACATGCTGAGTTGCACATGCTGAGTTGCACATGCTGAGTTGCACATGCTGAGTTGCACATGCTGAGTTGCACATGCTGAGTTGCACATGCTGAGTTGCACATGCTGAGTTGCACATGCTGAGTTGCACATGCTGAGTTGCACATGCTGAGTCGCACATGCTGAGTTGCACATGCTGAGTTGCACATGCTGAGTCGCACATGCTGAGTTGCACATGCTGAGTGCACATGCTGAGTTGCACATGCTGAGTCGCACATGCTGAGTTGCACATGCTGAGTCGCACATGCTGAGTTGCACATGCTGAGTTGCACATGCTGAGTTGCACATGCTGAGTTGCACATGCTGAGTTGCACATGCTGAGTTGCACATGCTGAGTCGCACATGCTGAGTTGCACATGCTGAGTTGCACATGCTGAGTTGCACATGCTGAGTTGCACATGCTGAGTCGCACATGCTGAGTTGCACATGCTGAGTTGCACATGCTGAGTTGCACATGCTGAGTTGCACATGCTGAGTCGCACATGCTGAGTTGCACATCTGAGTTGCACATGCTGAGTTGCACATGCTGAGTTGCACATGCTGAGTTGCACATGCTGAGTTGCACATGCTGAGTTGCACATGCTGAGTTGCACATGCTGGTTGCACATGCTGAGTTGCACATGCTGAGTCGCACATGCTGAGTCGCACATGCTGAGTTGCACATGCTGAGTTGCACATGCTGAGTCGCACATGCTGAGTTGCACATGCTGAGTTGCACATGCTGAGTTGCACATGCTGAGTTGCACATGCTGAGTTGCACATGCTGAGTCGCACATGCTGAGTTGCACATGCTGAGTTGCACATGCTGAGTTGCACATGCTGAGTTGCACATGCTGAGTTGCACATGCTGAGTTGCACATGCTGAGTTGCACATGCTGAGTTGCACATGCTGAGTCGCACATGCTGAGTTGCACATGCTGAGTTGCACATGCTGAGTTGCACATGCTGAGTTGCACATGCTGAGTTGCACATGCTGAGTTGCACATGCTGAGTTGCACATGCTGAGTTGCACATGCTGAGTTGCACATGCTGAGTTGCACATGCTGAGTTGCACATGCTGAGTTGCACATGCTGAGTTGCACATGCTGAGTTGCACATGCTGAGTCGCACATGCTGAGTTGCACATGCTGAGTTGCACATGCTGAGTTGCACATGCTGAGTTGCACATGCTGAGTGCACATGCTGAGTTGCACATGCTGAGTTGCACATGCTGAGTTGCACATGCTGAGTTGCACATGCTGAGTGCAATGGAGTGCACATGCTGAGTTGCACATGCTGAGTTGCACATGTGGGCACATGCTGAGTTGCACATGCTGAGTTGCACATGCTGAGTTGCACATGCTGAGTTGCACATGCTGAGTTGCACATGCTGAGTTGCACATGCTGAGTTGCACATGCTGAGTTGCACATGCTGAGTTGCACATGCTGAGTTGCACATGCTGAGTCGCACATGCTGAGTTGCACATGCTGAGTTGCACATGCTGAGTTGCACATGCTGAGTTGCACATGCTGAGTTGCACATGCTGAGTGCACATGCTGAGTTGCACATGCTGAGTTGCACATGCTGAGTTGCACATGCTGAGTTGCACATGCTGAGTTGCACATGCTGAGTTGCACATGCTGAGTTGCACATGCTGAGTTTGCACATGCTGAGTTGCACATGCTGAGTTGCACATGCTGAGTTGCACATGCTGAGTTGCACATGCTGAGTGCACATGCTGAGTTGCACATGCTGAGTTGCACATGCTGAGTTGCACATGCTGAGTTGCACATGCTGAGTTGCACATGCTGAGTTGCACATGCTGAGTTGCACATGCTGAGTTGCACATGCTGAGTTGCACATGCTGAGTTGCACATGCTGAGTTGCACATGCTGAGTTGCACATGCTGAGTGCTGCTGGTGCACATGCTGAGTTGCACATGCTGAGTTGCACATGCTGAGTTGCACATGCTGAGTTGCACATGCTGAGTTGCACATGCTGAGTTGCACATGCTGAGTTGCACATGCTGAGTCGCACATGCTGAGTTGCACATGCTGAGTTGCACATGCTGAGTCGCACATGCTGAGTCGCACATGCTGAGTTGCACATGCTGAGTCGCACATGCTGAGTTGCACATGCTGAGTCGCACATGCTGAGTGCATGCTGATCGCACATGCTGAGTTGCACATGCTGAGTTGCACATGCTGAGTTGCACATGCTGAGTTGCACATGCTGAGTTGCACATGCTGAGTTGCACATGCTGAGTTGCACATGCTGAGTTGCACATGCTGAGTTGCACATGCTGAGTTGCACAGCATGCTGAGTTGCACATGCTGAGTTGCACATGCTGAGTCGCACATGCTGAGTTGCACATGCTGAGTTGCACATGCTGAGTCGCACATGCTGAGTTGCACATGCTGAGTCGCACATGCTGAGTTGCACATGCTGAGTCGCACATGCTGAGTTGCACATGCTGAGTTGCACATGCTGAGTTGCACATGCTGAGTTGCACATGCTGAGTTGCACATGCTGAGTTGCACATGCTGAGTCGCACATGCTGAGTCGCACATGCTGAGTTGCACATGCTGAGTCGCACATGCTGAGTTGCACATGCTGAGTCGCACATGCTGAGTTGCACATGCTGAGTCGCACATGCTGAGTTGCACATGCTGAGTCGCACATGCTGAGTCGCACATGCTGAGTTGCACATCTAAGTGGGCAAATTCGTTGGGGACCCCCAGCGTTTTGCGTAAATTCGTAAGCGTAAATTCGCAAACGCGAATTTACCTGAAATTCGCGAAACGCTGGGGGAATTTTTTCAGGGCAGCCCGGACAAGAAAACACAAAATTTTCCACTCGATTCGCGGCGACTTGGCGAAGCCATCCGTGGCCTCGCCAATTCGCGATTCTAACGTTTGAAGCTCCAAACATGCTCCCAACCCCTCCCACACTCCCAACCGCATCAAACCCCACCGCATCCAGAGAACCCAACCCATCCACCACCCAACTTACGCAACCATATCACGCACGCATCTCACACGCTACTCTACCAGACGTAGAGTAGATCTAGCTAATCACTCCGCGTCGCATAGACATTGGCTTATCTCATGAGTATGGTTCATCATGTTGCTGTAGGTTGCTGCAGGGCTGTTGTTGCGAAGGATACCCCCCAGACTCTAGAACATGTTATTGCCATAAACCTTGAGAAGCAATATTATTTTGTGCAAAAATTTTCTTGCTTAAAAAGAGATGCCATGAAACACCCCACAGCCCCCCTACCTGGGAACTTTTTTTTTGGGCCTGCCCGGGCATTTTTTTCCTGCCCGGGCGGAACGAATTTCCCAACGAATTCAAAACAAGGCCCTGGCGTTCAGGCGAATTTACGCCAGCGTAAATTCGTTAGCGAATTTACGCGAAACGCGAATTTTCCCACATAGTTGCACCTGCTGAGTTGCACATGCTGAGTTGCACATGCTGAGTTGCACATGCTGAGTTGCACATGCTGAGTTGCACATGCTGAGTTGCACATGCTGAGTTGCACATGCTGAGTTGCACATGCTGAGTTGCACATGCTGAGTTGCACATGCTGAGTTGCACATGCTGAGTTGCACATGCTGAGTTGCACATGCTGAGTCGCACATGCTGAGTTGCACATGCTGAGTTGCACATGCTGAGTTGCACATGCTGAGTCGTACGTGGGGAGTCGCAAGTGCTGAGTTGCACGGGCTTAAGTCCCTTTTTGTTTTCTTTTTCTTTTTCCGAGCGGGCTGCATGCTGCTTGTTTTGATGTTGCACCTACTCCTCCTTCCACTCCCTCCCCCCCTTCCCTCCGCCTTCCCTTCTTCCAATGGGCCCACTTCCCAGGTACATTGTCCTCGTTAGAGGCTCCCCCCCTAATGCATTCACATCCGATAAGCCGTTGAAAGATGACAAGGTAGGGTGCAGTGAGGCGTGCATGGGTGGCAAACTAAGGTACCGATTTATGTCTTCTGTTATTTCGTTTTTCCCGCAATAGCCGGATGCATGTCACGCATTCCAATTCTTTTATTCCCAAACTGCCAGTCCGGCCAACCGGCATGCTCCGAATTGTACCCACCATTTGCGACACCAACTCGTCACTCCTCTTTTCCGAATGCCTGATCCCCAGGGCGCTGTGAAACCGGCAAGTTCCGAATTCAGAAAGCTCCTGGAGATTCCGCAGCACCGCTGCGCGCTGCTCTCAGCACGCATAACCACGGGCCGCAGGCACCAGATTCGACGGCACCTCAACCATTTCGCTTTCCAGGTGCGCGAGAGTTCATTCCCCTTCCTTTTAAGCATGAAGAAAATATACACTGCAACCATGTAATGAGGGCACTGCTTAGAAGCTCAGAAGCACCATTGCTCTCAGTGCATTTAGCAACGGGCCGCAGGCACCAGATCAGGCGGCAGCTCAGCCACCACGCTCTCCAGGTGAATTGATAGTTTCTTTCCAACTCAAGCATGAAGAATCTATATGCTGCATCCACTTGCAGCTACACTGGATGCCTTTAAAAGCTGTTCTAGCTACACTGCATACGCATCCCCCTTTCCCCCTCTGCTTTTGAGTCGACTCAAAAGTACACTGGATGCCTTTGAAAGCTGTTCCAGCTACAGTGCACACGCATCCCCCTTTCCCCCTCCCCCCCCCCCTTCCCCTCCCCGTCCGGCCATAGGACTCTGTCCACAGAGGTGACTTTTGAGTCGACTCAAAAGTCACACGCATCCCCCTTTCCCTCCCCCCCCCCTCCTTCCCCTCCCCGCCTGGCCATCGGACTCTGTCCACAGCAAGGGCCGTACCAACGCCTATTTCCGCCAGAACCACCACCTGCCCGCCCCATGTGTGGCGTGGCTGTCCTTCCCCTCCTTCATGCGTGATTCTTCTCGAATTGTCCTTTGTATTAGATAGCTAGGGGTACTGCGTCATCCTTCTCTCCACTCCCACCCTCCAATCCCCCTCAGGTCATAGGCGACTCTGTGCACGGCAAAGGCCGCACCAACGCCTATTTCCGCGAAAATCACCGCCTGCCTCCCGCCCGCCTCTTCCTACACGCTGCCCGCCTGCTGCTGCCCCTGCGAGCCCTCCAAGTCGGGCAAGGCGGGAGGCCCGGATTGGGGCGCATGCATCTGGGTGCTGCTGCACTCCAAGCCGAGTCCCCTGCCTGGCTCGCACCAGAAGCACCAGCTTCCCATCTACCACTCGCATCTGAAGCCGAGTCTCCCAGCATCCACACATTCGAAGGAGGATCTACTTCAAGGGATGGTAGGGGAAAGGATGAGGGGTTTCTTGAGGTTGTTGCTCCGCTGCCCAATGACCTTGTGAATGTTCTGCTCTCTCTTGACCTAGACCTTGCAACGATAATGAATCTACATTTGCTCAAACTGACTCCTAATATTCCCTCATAGTATTGCTTACCAACAGTGTAGGGAGCACATATGGTACATCTGTTGGTAAAAAAATCGACCTTATTATCTGATTATGAAGATATGGTTGTGTAGCCACTCGATATCAATCCAATGCAAGGGTATTTACATAACGTAGCTGTGGAGGGAATAGAACCTGCTGCTGCTCCATAGACAGTCGTGAGGACCTCTTTAAAGGGGACACCGAGCTTCCACCCACAGTACCATTTCTCCCTGTGAGTGCCTTCCCCCCTATTGCTGACGGGGGGGAGGCTGCTGACGTGGCACCTGCTGCTGCAGGGGCTGACATGGCGCGCACACGTGTCGACCGTCTAAGCTGACTGGAAGCACCACTGCCGACACCACTGGCACCACTAGCACCACCATCAACACCACCAGCAGTGGCACCGGCAGCACCAGCAGCAAACATTGAGGGGGAGGAGGAAGAGAAGGCAGCAGCGGCTGCAAGCTGCCGGGCTAGAGCCCTGGCTCCAGAGAGGAGGGCGGATCTGCAGGGAATAGGGGAGAGAGAAAGGAGAGGGAGAGGCCCGGTTGAAGGAGACGGGGGATGAAGCCTGACTTAAAGGACCAGCAGCAGCCGCAGCTGCTGCAAGCTGCCAAGCAACAGCCCTGGCTCCTGAGAGGAGGGCGGATCTGGACAGAAGGGAGCGGGACAAAGGGAGGAGGAAGAAGAGCGAATCAGAAAGGGGGGAGGGACAAGGAGGGCGGACCTGAAGGGAGGGAGAACCAGGAAGAGAGGGGGCGGCAGGGGGTGAGAGAGGACAGACGAGGGAGAGAGGACAGACGAGGGAGAGAGACGGGCGGCAGGGGGTGAGAGAGGACAGACGAGGAGAGAGTCGACCAGTGGAACAAGCTGACGAGCGAGATCCTTCGTGCCTCAGGGGAGGGCAGAAATGGAGAATTCTTTTGAGTCGACTCAAAGGGAGGGCAGAAATGGAGAATCGCGTTGGCTTTTGAGTCGATGTGGCTATCCAGTCAACTCGAGTTATGAGGCGCCTCAAAACTAGACTCAAAAGTCACCTCCGTGCCTCAGAGGAGGGCAGAAATGGAGAATTGGGTTGGCTTTTGAGTCGATGTGGCTATCCACTCAACTCAAAAGTCAATCTTCGTGCCTCAGAGGAGGGCGGACATGGAGAAGTGGAGAGGGAGCAGGAGAGAAAACGGAGGAGGGGGGTGGGGGGGTATGAGCAGCTGATGCTGCATACCTGATGCTGTTTTGCTTGGTGGGTGCAGCATGCATGCACCCATACTGTGTACTATATGCAGTCTCAAACCGTACCTGATGCTGTGTTGCTTGGTGGGTGCAGCATGCATGCACCCATACTGTGTACTATATGCAGTCTCAAACCGTACCTGATGCTGTGTTGCTTGGTGGGTGCAGCATGCATGCACCCATACTGTGTACTATATGCAGTCTCAAACCGTACCTGATGCTGTGTTCCCATGTGGTCAGTTGGGCATGCAGGCTCTTTTCATTTGGGATGCGCGGGTCCAGAGAGCTCAGCAGGGCGTCAAACTGATGACAGGCGGGGAAAGCGATTGGGGGGGGGGAGGAGGATGTGGAGGATAGGGAGGATGTGGACAGATATGTGCATGGGATGCGCGGGTCCAGAGAGCTCAGCAGGGCGCCAAACTGTTGGAGGGAGGGCAAGGGGATTTGTTAGTGGGGGGGTGAGTCCAGCTGAGCACGTGACTCCAGAAATGTGCATGTTTGAGCATTCCTCAAGGATGTGCACATGCGTGCATGGGATGTGTGGAATCCCAGGGGTGCATGGGATGATCGGAATCCCAGGGGGGCATGGGTTGTGCGTGTGGAGAAAGGGATGTGCAGGTCCAGAGAGCTCAGCAAGGCGTCAAATTGTTCGAGGGAGGGCAACGGGGTAAGGTGGGGGAGGAAACTGCATCAAACAGCTGCAGTGCTGCTCGGTGCAGTGGGGTGCCTTTACTACAATCACACCTCGTTAGCAGAGCTGTAGTATCCCCACATCTGTGAGGAGTCTGTGCGGTGCCTTTACTACAATCACACCTCGTTAGCAGAGCTGTAGTATCCCCACATCTGTGAGGAGTCTGTGCGGTGCCTTTACTACAATCACACCTCGTTAGCAGAGCTGTAGTATCACCACATCTCCTCCCCCCCTCCCCCTCCACAACACCCTCGCCTCCCTTCCAAACCACCAGTACCGACTGCTGTGCAGGGTAGCGTGATGCAGCCAGTGAGGTCCAGTACGGTACAGTGTGGTGCAGTTTTACCTCGCTCTCACCTCGTCAGCAGAGCTGTAGTATCCCCATCCCCCCCCTCCCACCCCCTCCACAAACACCCTCGCCTCCCTCGCAAACCACCAGTACCGCCTGCCGTCCCGGTCGCACCCCAGAGCTGTACTCCGCATTGCCGCTTTCTCCGCTTCCCTATCCAGCTCCCTAAACTGGTCGGAAAGGGATGGAGAAAGGAGGGCGGGGGGGGCGCGGAGCCAGTGGGTTTCGGGATTTTCTTGCCAGTCGCACCCCAAAAGTCCGATCTGGATTGACGCTTTCTCTGCTCCCCCCTACACTGGTCGTGAATGATACGAGGGGGAAGGAACGGAGGGGACGAGAGAAGTTGTTCTTAAGGCGGCTAAAAAACGGAGGAGCAGTCCACAGTGCCAACTGGTGTTCAAAGGGATGGGTGGGGGCAAGGAAGAGGAGACTTTTGAGCCGACTCAAAGGTTCAATTTGCAGTGCTGCTTTCTCTGCCGCACTATCCAGTTCCTCAAATGGTGCCGATTAAAAAGGTATGGGTGGGGAGAGGAGTTCGGGAGTTTTCTTGCCAGTCAAAACCCAGAGGAGTCACTCGCCCTGCTGTGTTACGCAGCTGTACACTGGTGTTATCTGTTTTTGAGAATTCTCAAAAACAAAACACATGTTACGCAGCTGTACACTGATGTTACACCACGGACCTTCTTGTACAGTTGCTGCTTGGTGGGCCGCATATATGTTACGCAGTAACATGCTGTGTGTAACATGCTGTGTGTTATATGTTACGCAGTAACATGCTGTGCTTAACATGCTGTGTGTAACATGCTGTGCTTAACATGCTGTGCGTAACATGCTGTGCTTAACATGCTGTGTTTAACATGCTGTGCTTAACATGCTGCGCTTAACATGCTGTGTGTAACATGCTGTGTTTAACATGCTGTGCTTAACATGCTGTGTTTAACATGCTGTGCTTAACATGCTGTGTTTAACATGCTGTGCTTAACATGCTGTGTTTGACATGCTGTGTGTAACATGCTGTGTTTAACATGCTGCGCTACGCACTGCTGTTACACCACATACCTTCTTCCTTTGCTGCTGCTTCTCGGCTAACTCCTCTTCCTCCCCGCACCTTCACCTCGTGTGATATTAGTGAAGTTTTGAGACGTCTCAAAACTAATGTTACACAGCTCTGCTCTACACTGCTTGTACACCACGCACTCCATGTCCCCTCGCACCAACTCTCGTCTTCTGCAGTCCTTTCTTGAGGCGCCTAAAAAATACACCACCTACCTAGTGACTTTAAGTCAACTCAAAAGTCACTGCATGTCCTATCGCACCAGCTACCTACCTTGCAGTTGCTGTTTCTCAGCCGCCTCCTCTTCCTCCTCTCGCCTCCACCTCGTGTGATAATAGTAAAGTTTTGCATCTCAGAACAGGTATTCCGCAGCTCTGCTCTACGCCGACTGCTCAAAACTAGCTTACGCCATGTACTGCATGTCCTATCGCACCACCCACCTTCTTCTGAAGTTGCTGTTTCTCAGCCGCCTCCTCTTCCTCCTCTTGCCTCCACCTCCCCTCCTTCTCCTCCCACTCCCTCCTCTCCCTCTCCCCCTTCTCACCCTTCCCTTTCCCTCTCGCACTCCGGCCCACTATCCCTCCCTCCACACCCTCCTTCCCTCCTCCCTCCTCTTCTTTACCACCCCCCTCCACCCCCCCGGTTGCCTCACCAGTGAAGCCCCTCCCTAATGACTGCCTTCGGTGTTTGCCAGGTGTACTTCTGCTACTGGCCGGCCAGGAAAGCCCCCGCTTCCTACCCTGGCGTGAAGCTAATGAGGCGGCAGAGGGTGATTCTGCATCTAGGGCTGTAGCGGCTGTGGCAGCAGCACCAACAGCAGTGGGAGTACAAACAGGAGCCGCAGACGCAGCAGCAGCATAAGCAGAAGATGTAGCAGCACCAGAATAAGCAGAAGCAGCATCAGCACCAGCATCAGCAGAAGTAGCATCAGCACCAGCACCAGCATCAGCAGCAGCAAGTCCAAGCATGGCAAGAGGGGTGGCGGAGGGAGCATCACTAGCAGGACTGCTTCTCACTGATGGCAGGCTGGAGGGCGGCAGGAAGGGCGGCACGGAGGGCGGCAGGGAGGGCGGCAGGGAGGGCGGCAGGGAGGGCTGCTGCAGGGATTGCAGGGACTGAACTCTGGGCGGCACACCAGCATTGTCACTGCCGCTCACAGGGGCGTTCAAACTGGTAGTATCGACGCACACAGCAGCATCAACGCCCGCACTAGCATCAACTGTAACACTCGAATTGACACCAACAGGTACTGCACTGCTACTAGGTAACCTCTCGAGGAGGTTGCTACGAGACCGCTGCTGCCTCACTCCCCATTCCCGCCTCCTCTCCCTCTCCTCCCTCCACCTCCTCTCCTCCTCTTCCCTCCTCACCCTCTCCTCCCGTTCCCTCCTCTCCCTCTCCCTCTCCTCTCTCTCCCTCATTCTCACTCTCTCACGCAATGCTGCTTTCTCCCTGCACGCCCTCTCCTCCTCCCCCAAAACTTTCTTCTGCCCTGCCACCTCGTCCATATCCACAAGTTTTCTTTCAATGGCTGCCCGGAGAATGTCCCCCTCGAGTGCGGCGTCCACCAGCTCCCGAAGCAAGAGCAGCTTCGCTTCGGCACCAAGCCTGGAATAGTGGCTCGGAAGAATGTCAATTGGAAGAGGAGAGTACCCTGGAGAGTCACTAAGGTGTATGTGTATACCACTAGAAGCAACAGCTGATATCCCCCCACTGCCATGGCCAGAACCACTACAGCCAGCACTCGTAGCACCATCCGCATCAGCACCAGTATCAGCATCAAGAGCAGCAGCAGCAGCAGTAGCACCACCACCACCACCACCATCACCAGCACCAGCACCAGCACCAGCACCACCACCAGCACCAGCAGCAGCACCAGCACCACCACCATCACCAGCACCATCACCAGCACCAGCACCAGCACCAGCACCAACACCAGCACCAGCAGTATTAGCAGCACCAGCACCAGCAGTATTAGCAGCACCAGCACCAGCAGTATTAGCAGCACCAGCACCAGCAGTATTAGCAGCACCAGTACTGCCCCCGCGGCCCATGCACTTCGCCACGCTCAGGAGCTTTCCACCGTTGGATGCATGGGCCTCCGCAAGCTCTACACCGTTGGATCCATGTGCCGGAGATGGATGCGCACGAGTGAGCATCAAGCTGTGCTGCTCCAGTCTGGCTCGCGCTGAAGGGGTGCGGATCCAAGCAGACAGGTCCTCAAGCCAAGTGTGTGGGGATACCTGGAGAAGAAGGGGGGGGGGCGGGGGGGGGAAGCAGGAAACCAGCTGGAGACCGTTTTGAGGATCAGTCTGGCTGTGCTGCTCCAGTCTGGCTCATGCTGAAGGGGTGCGGGCCCAAGCAGACAGGTCCTCAAGCCAAGTGTGGGGGGCTACCTGGAGGGAAGGGGGGGGGGGGGGGGGGGTAGGAAACGTAACAAACCAGCTGATGACCGTTGAGCATCAATCTGTGCCTCTCCAGTCTGGCTCGCACAGAAGGGGTGCGGGCCCATGCAGGCAGGTCCTCAAGCCAAGTATGGGGGGAAGTGAGGAGAGAGGAGGAGCTTTGGGAGCCATTTAACCCATCGTTTGAGAAAACCTCAAATACACGCTCAACTCACATGCCCAACCACAACACGTGTCAATTACTGCCACAAGATGACTTCTTAGATGCCTCAAAGTTCGTCTCAATCATAATATATGCCGAATACTAAACCCTCAACCTGAACCCTGAATACTGTTGTAAGTACAGCTCCCTCCCATGCCTAACAATACACACCTCGCGTTTCCCCTGCCGTTGCATTGCAAACTCCTCTCGGATGCATTTCTGGCTCAAAGCAGCCCGCAGCAGTGCAGTGTGCACCTCACCCAACAGCGGCGGTAACACAACCTCTCTCCGCCTCCCTCCTCCCTGCCTCCCCCCTCTCTCACTCCCTCCTCCTCTGCCTCTCCCCCTACTTCCGCCCCCTCTTCTCTCCCTCTCGCCTCTCTCACTCCCACCACCTTCCCTTCCTCCTCCATCCCGCCTCCCCCTCAAGCCCCTCCCCTTCCCCCACCCTGTGGCCAGAAATCCCTCCTCCAAACTCTCCTCTCTTTGCTCCCCCTCCTCCTGCCTCATTTCTTGCTCTTCCCCCTGCTCTTCCCCCTGCTCTTCCCCCTGCTCTCCCCCCTGCTCTTCCCCCTGCTCTTCCCCCTGCTTCTCCCCCTGCCCCCCCCCCTGCTCCGCTCCCTGCTTCTCCCCCTGCTCTTCCTCACCCTCCCCTTCTATCTCCTGCTGCGCTCCCCTGGCCTGTACTTTCTCCTCCTCCTGCCCCCCCTGCGCCCCCCCCTTCCCCCTCCCCTCTCCCACATCACCCTCACAAACAGCAATGGAGTGCTCAATTGGCTTCTGACCCGTCTCTCCTCCCCCATCCTCGTCACAAACTGCAGGGGAAAGGCGGCGTTCCATTGGCCTCTGACCCGTCTCTCCCCCCCCATCCCCATGTTGGGTTATGCAACGGGAGAGCTCGAGTGGAGTATGCACCATCTCCCCCCCCCACCATCCCCATCGCAAACAGCAGGGGAAAGGCGGTGTTCTACTGGCTTCTGAGCCATCTCTCCCCCCCCATCCCCGTCTTGGAACGCCAGGGAGAGCTCCTTAGGAATCTGCGCCACCCCTTCCCCCCCATTCCCGTCCCCATCACGAAACGCCAGGGATGGTTCCCGTGGCTTCTGACCCGTCCCTCCCCCCCCATCCCCATCCCCATCTTGGAACGCAAGGGAGAGCTCGAGCGAGGAGAGGGAGAAGGGCGAGAGGCGGAGGGCGTGGGAGAAGCGGCAGCACACGTCCCACACAGCGATCAGATCCCCTATGCTGATTTCGGGGAGGAGGAAGTCGAAGCACGGTTTGGGTAGAGGTGGAGGAGGGGGAGGTGGGGGCGGAGGGGGAGGAGGGGGAGGACCCCGGGGTGCTGTTGCTTTTTTGACGGATGATTTGCCTGGAGTTTTCCGTTGAGCCTTGCTTGGCGGGTTGGCTGCTGAAACTCCCATCCGTTTGCCAGGCAGTTTTTCTGCTGGTGCTTTGTCAGCAGCTACCCCAGCAGGTGCCTTGCCGCCAGGAGATTTCCCAGGTGCTTTACCAGCAGCTCTACCAGCTACCCTGCCACCAGATTTCCCTGATCGCTGGCCTGCACAGATAACACCTTCCTTCCCTCTGCTCGCTGCTTTGCCTGTGCCACCGCCTTTGGCAGTCCCTCTCGCTTTCCCTGTCCCGTTACCTGCTGGTCTTCCCGCCACGATCGTGCCCTCTGTCTCACCTAAAGGTGTGCCAGGCAATTTACCACTAGAACACTTCTCCAGCCCTAGTAGGTTCCCTAACGAAGTAGGCCTATGCCCTGGCATGTCCCCCTCCTCCCCTAAGTCACCCACCCTCCCTTGCTCCTCCCCCCCTTCCAGCTCCTTCTTATGTGGCCCATTCTCTTCACTTACCTCCCCTTCCAACTCCTTCCATTCTGCTCCTTGGCCACCCAATTCCTCCCCTTCTCCCCCCTCTCTCTGCGCCTCCTCCCCACCCACCTCCTCTCGTGGTCTCTTCCTGCCAGAAGAAGCTGCATTAGAGCCACCTGCACCAGAACCGCCTGCCCCAGAAGCACCTGCACCAGAACCATCCACGGTATAGGCCCCAACCACCAAGCCACCTGCAGCAGAAGCACCTGCACCAGAAGCACCTGCACCAGAAGCACCTGCACCAGAAGCACCTGCACCAGAAGCACCTGCACCAGAAGCACCTGCACCAGAAGCACCTGCACCAGAAGCACCTGCACCAGAAGCACCTGCACCAGAAGCACCTGCACCAGAAGCACCTGCAGCAGAAGCACCAGATCCAACCGCATCACCCAGGACCGCTGCAATCCCTCTCTTCTTTCCCCCCTGTCCCTTTCCCTTGACCTTGACCTTGACCTTCGTCACCCCCCCACCTGATGCACCCCCCCCTGCATCCTCATGCTTTTTCGGTGCCTTGGGGACCCGTACACCCTTGGGCTTGCCCTTTCTACCATCCTCTTCCACCAAGCTTCCGCCTTTCGCCCTCCCTCCTTCCTTTTCTTTGCCTCCTGCCTTCGTTCTGCCTCCTGCCTTTTCTTTGCCTCCTAGCCTTGCTTTGCCTCCTGCCTTCGTTCTGCCTCCTGCCTTCGTTCTGCCTCCTGCCTTTTCTTTGGCCACTGTACAATCTCCCCCCCCTTTCCCCCCCTCACTCCCTTTCCCCTCGCTGCCTTCGCTGCCCGCGATCCCAGACGAGCAATGATGCTCCAAGTGAGGAAAGGCACCAACACAAGCTGACTTCTTCACTTTCTCTTCACCACCCCCCTCCTCAGCACCCGTTGTTCCAGTACTAAGTCTACCCCCCACCACCTCCACCCCTTCCCTCGATTCTTGGAACAACCCATTACCCTCCTCGTTTAAAAAACCCCCTTTCAGCGTCCCCTCCTTATAAGCCCCTTCGGTACAAGCCGCCACATGTACCCCTAGTGTTAAGGAAGCATCGGAGTCAAATCGTCTCTCATCACCGGTCCCCGATGCACCAAGTGGCACGTTTCTATTGGTCGGCTTGCTCTCCTGGAGATCCCAAGGTATATCTGGCTGTGTCAGGCTCAGCTTTTGAGGCCATGCCTGCTGATGGTCCTGATGGTGCTGATGGTGCTGATGGTGCTGATGGTGCTGATGGTGCTGATGGTCCTGATGGTGCTGCTGCTGCTTCTGATGGTGGCGGTGCTGCTGCTGCTTCTGCTTCTGCTGCTGCTGCTGCTGATGTTGTTGCAGCAGCTGTTGTTTCTGCTGCTGCTGCGGCTGCAGTTGCTGCTGCTGCAGTGGCAGTGGCAGCTCCTGTAGCTGCAGACGCACACTGCCCTCAACAGATGCCCATAGATGCGTTCCTGATTCTTCCCTAGATACAGCCTCCTTCACTGGCTCCGAATCCACTACCGCTCTTACACGCCCTGCTTCTTTAGCCAATCTCGATAGAAGCACATGTTCAGGCTTTATAGCGAGTCCAGAACCAGGTTCTGTCACAGGCTCAGTAGCAGGTTCACCAGCAGGCTCGGTTGCAGGTTCGGAAAGTGGTTCGGGGACGGGTTTCTTCGGCCGTCTGGTTGGCTTTTTCCTGGGCAGGAAGAAATATTCCTCTCCTGCCATGTCATCGGCCTGAGAGGTAGGGATATCCGGCAAGGGGATGAAAAGGAGAGTTATTAGTCGACCCAAAAGGAAGAAGTACTCCTCCTCTCCTGCCATGTTATCGGCAAGAGACGACGAAAGGAGAGTCAGCAAGGGGATGAGAAGGAGGAGTCTTGAATCGGCTCAAAAGATATAAATATTATTTGAGAATCACAAGGCGATGAAAAAGAGAGGATGGGAAGAAGCAAAAGAAAGATAACCAGGAAGAGGGAGAGGCAAGCCCTCGAAGGGCCCGCCCTAGGGGCTCCTGATGAGTGCATGTCCCTTGCGAACTGCTTTGTCATCTTGTAACACGCGGGAGAGCTCCCTCCCGTAGGTTAGCCAGCGGGGGAGGGGGGGTAGGTTGCATGCTTGTACTCACCCCACATGCCTAGCTAGCTATGTACATGGGATGGGATGCCCATGAATACCAAGGACTGCTTGAGGAAAGGCTGACGCACCACAAAGCTGTGGAGGCAACCCCTGCAGGTGTCGCCTCAAAAGCAACGATAAACGAACTGACAGCAGACCTAGCTCTCACACGCACCAGTCGCTTTTTTTTCCTCAGCTTGCGGCTCCTCTTGTCTGCTTCTGCTTCAGCTGTGGAGGCAACCCCTGCAGGTGACGCCCCAACGGCCACTTCAGTCGCTGTGTCTCTTGCTGATGCGGCTGCCACCTCAGCTGTTGCTGCCGCTGCGGTGTCCATTGCTGCAGGTGTAGCAATGGAGATACACCCCTCATCAGCCACTTCCGCTGCTGTATCACCTCTTGACTCGCCTGCCATGTCCGCCTCTGCATCAGCTGCAGTAGCAACCCCTGCAGGAGTCGCCTCAACGGCCAGTTCAGCTGCTGTATCAATTGCTGACCCGGCTGCCACATCAGCTGTTGCTTCAGCTGACGTGTCAAGGATTGCAGGTGTCGTCTCGACAACCATTTCAACTGCTGTGTCAGCTCTTGCCTCTGCTGCTATGTCAGCTGTTGCTTCAGCAGTGTCAGTCACAGCAGGTGTCGCCCCGACAGCCACTACGGCTGCTGTCTCAATTGCTGATTTGATCGCCACGTCAGCAGTCACTTCGGCTGCTGCATCAGCTCCTGATTCTGCTGCCATGTCAGCTGCTGCTTCCGCTGCGGTGTCAGTTGCTGCAAGTGCTGCCGCAAGCGCAACTAAGGCTGCTGTATCAACTCGTGGTTCAGCCGCCACACCATCTGTTGCTTCGGCTGCAGTGTCAATCCCTGCAGCAGGTGCCATGTCAACAACCACAATGGCTGTTGTATTAGCTCTTGATTTGGCTGCCACATCAGCTGTTGCTTCAGCTGATGTATCAAATGCTGTTGCAGCAGCAGCAGCAGCAGCAGCAGCAGCAGCGGAGGCGGCAGCGGTGGCATCAGCAGTGGCAGCGGCAGCAGCAGGAGCAGCAACTACCGTGGAAGTACTGCCAAGAGAGCCCACTGAAGCGCCAGCGGCGGCAGCAGCAAAAACAACACCAGGGCCAGCAACAACGTCTTCAATACCGCTGTCATTGGCGGCCTGATTCTTACAACCAGCCAGTGGCGCGCTGACAGCTGTCACCGCAGGGCATTGGGAGCCGTCGAAATGCGCAGGTTGTTTGGCTGATTCGTGGAAACGTCCTCGTTCCTGGTGGCTCATGGCCTAAGGATGAGCCGAACGGGACGAAAGGGGCGAAAGGGGCGGAAGGGGCGGAAGGGGCGGAAGGGGCGGAAGGGGCGGAAGGGGCGGAAGGGATGGGTGGGAATTCGGAACGAAGCAATGTCAAGACGAGACCTGAGAGCGCAGGGAGGAAACAAACAGAGCTTGGCGGCTGTGGCCGGTTAGGAAACGGAGGTGGGCTGTTATGCGGTAGCGAACAGCAAGTGCGGGGGGTAACACCAAGGCTTCAACGGCGCTACCCTAATTGACAGAGGAAAGGTTCTAGAGCGTCGGAGATCCCGTAACCGTTGCGAAAGTAACGGAGCAGTGGTGGGAGAACTAGCAAAGATTTCCCGAAACAAGCGCAGGACCAGCCGGATGCGGGGAACGCAACGGGGGGGGACAATGACGCGCGGTGCGCGATCGACAGAAGAGAACTTGTGCGAACGAGGTGACACATAGCAATCTGGCACAAATCACGCTGGCGAGGCTGACTGTAGGAGGTTCTAGCTTGTCATAGCCAGCTAGGAGGAAATTCGGCACGAGGGCTTGAATTTCCGACGGGAAACCGCGGAACTGCTGCTTACGAGTAGCACGGGACGAATTGGCGGGTGCTCGGGGAACGAGAAACGTGAGAAACGCTAATCTGGCTGGAAACGCGGGATGAAGGGTGGAGAGCCTAGGAATGGGGCAAGAGCACCTACGAGCTTCAGTCAGGGTGGACGGACGGTTCCAGCTGCTGACGGAACGGAAAATCCTGTCAGGTTGGGTCCTGAAACGCAATCCGTTACCAAAACGACCAAGGAATTGCAAGACTGGCCCGATCTGCCTACAACTCGGCTCAGCCCGACGAAACGACCAGCTATCGATCAGCGGACAGAAAGACACGGCGCTCAGGCGAAGGTCGAGGCCCGGAGCAAACCCTACATCCGAGACTACGAAATGCGAGACGGGAAAGTGAGCCATCTGTGGTTCGAGAGGCGAGGTCATGCAGACAGCCAGGAGGGAGTCGGGAGGGAATCGGGTCGGGTCGGGAGCGGGATGAGCTGTGGACGGAAAAGGCAGCGGATGGGTGTATAGGCGGGAGGGGGGGGAGGGAGAGAATTTATATGGCGAAGCGAGGCGACGAGGCGAGGCAGGCGAGACAAGCGAGGGAGACTAGCGACAAAAAGCCCAGGGAAACGCGCTGGTTGGGCCTTGAGAGTGCCGTGCCGAGATGATTGGCGGAAACTGCTCTTAGCGAGGATTGAATAACTGGGCCCGTATACACGCGACGCGGACCTAGTATAACTGCTCTCAGCTTAGCACCCAATGCTTTTCATGATTTTGAGAAATGCACTTGCCCTAGGGAATTCAACATTGTACGTTACAGCGTGTTATGTTCATGAAAGAACTAGCATGCGTGTTAATTTTGGCGTCCATCCTGCCTGAAGCATGATAAGGACAGCCCTGCAAAATGGTGGTCAGCCACGGCCACGGCCACGACCCCTGCCCCTTCCTCGGCCCCTGCCTCTTCCCAGAGCCCCCCCCCGACCTGCAAGAACCAAACACAACAAAAGTTTAAGTCGGCACGAACAAATTCGCTGAGCAGCAAAACATCCGTAAAGGAGTTGGAAAAAAAACAGCTAAGAGGGAACACTAAAGAGTTAACTTTCAGCCCATACCTGCTGGTTGTTTCTTTGCCTTTCGTCGGGGTGCGTCATCCACCAATAGCGTGTCGAGATTCAAGCTGTCGGGCAGGATGAAATACCGAATTGTGTGTCCCCGTACACTTAAATGGTCCAACGCTACTGGATTTTTTCCCTTGACTGTAAGCTTGACTGTTTTAAGGTGGGTGTTCATGCTGATGTCCACTCCTGAAGGGGTTGGCCCGCAAAATACGCAGACGGGGAATGGGGGGGGGGGGGGGGGGGGGGGGGGAGGCGGACGATGGGAAAAACAACGAAGGAAGCATCAGACAAGATACAAGGTGCATGATAGAAAGATGTATTTTTTATCCTCTGCAACTACGTACAATTGTCAATCGTCAAGGTGCCAGCATCTTAGACCGACGGGCTTTCACGGAGTAAGGCAGATCCGCCAAAAGGAAAGAGGGAAAATTCGCGCATAGCCCGAGTAGGAAGAGGCGGGAAAAAGGGGGAGTTTGAGACGAAACATCCTTTTATTACAAGAGAAGCAATGAGCCGGTTGGTATGGGAGAAGCGCGTCACTGATAAGGTTGACGATGAATGGAGAAACAACGGGATAAAAGAGCAAAATGCGATTCAAGCGCCGTACCAAGAATAGTTCCATGTACAATCGTGCCGTTCTTCAGCTCTATCGACACCGTCTCGTTGTTCAGCTTCATAAGAAACCTGCAAGTTCATGCCATGAACAAATTGCCAGTGTTTAAGAAGATGAGAGCTAGAAATCTTCTGGCTCAATCATACAACGCAGAGGAGCGAAGTGATTGGGTGGTTCCTACCTGACCAGCTTCATCTTTCAACGATTTTTCGGTCGCCAAATCAACACTGAAGAGTTGATGACAAGAGACGGCAAACGAGCGACGCTGGGTAAGGCTGATACGGAGATTAAAAGTACACGAGATTAGCGTGGAGTCTTCACGCGCAGCGATGGCGGTCTAATTGCACTATGTTGAACCCTAAACTTGGTCTCTAGTTAAGCATCAGACGAGGAGATATGGACAGCATTGGTGTAGTCCGCGATATAGTCGGAGTCGATGACATGGATTCCTTTTACCCATAATCGTACAAGCGTCTTATGTGATAAATTATGTGAAGTAAGGTGGTTAAATTGACAAGAAATGATTTTATGAAATGCCTCGGATGAGGCAAGCTGAAGGCGTGGAGCCTAGGGTTGCGCAACCCAACTGAGTTGCGCAACCCGGTTTGTTACGCGTTTCGCAAACATTTCGATGTTTTTTCGCCAAAACCGCAACCGGTTGCGCTATTCTGGCTCCCTGGTATCCACGCCCTGACTGTAGAAACTCGTGCCCGTAATTGACAGAATTCATGACGGGGGTTTCGCGATTGCGAAATGAGCATCCTTGGGGAAAACCACGTGTTACCTCGAGCTGCTAGCGAAAGTCTTGCTGGCTTCAATGTGAGCGAGCTGGCGACGCAAGACTTCGCGAGCTGGCTTGACGCGGCGGTGGTGAGTGCTCTTCTCCTCAAAGAACTAGGTCAGGTAACAAAACCACTTTCGCTCGTACCGGAGTTCTTCGTTCACCTCCATCCACCGCACACGAGTCACGAGAATATGGTCGTTCAGTTTCGCATCGCATCCTCCCAATCCAGCCTTCCCCTCGCGACACGACATACAGCATACAGAATGCTGATGCAGTCATAATTTCGCGCCAACTGTTCCAGCTTGCGATTTCCGTCGTGTCGCCGCAAGCCTATGGCCCTAAAATTCTAGGTTTCCACGGAAGTCCAGGATGGCAGAAGTGAGGAGGTGCTCTCGCCTCGCCGCTCTGGGTTCTGTCTGTATGCCTTTCTCCAGCCATCCCCGATTCTCTACGCACGCCTTGATCAAAGCATGGCGTGAATCGTGATGGCCTGGTGATTACACCATGCTGGCTTGTTTGTTCCTTCTTCGGAACTCAGGTCTCCTATTTCTTTTGTGAGGAGGCTCCAAAGTCCGCCATACTGATCCCCACCCGAGCAGCTCGTCCCATTCGTGCTTCCTGGCTTGCCTGATGTAAACGGCCAACTGCTACAAGTAGCTAACCCACTGCGTAGTTTGAATTTAGGTCAACTGAAGGCTATGGCTGCGACTAGCTCCAGAAAGATGACGTCTGTCAACGCGGATCCTAAATGCTTCTCGCATCACTCCTCTGCCGATTTTTACGACGAGCTTCGCAACAAGCTTCGTTCGGGGATACGTGACGACGACCACACATTACCGCAACCCACTCATGATGAATGCTAAGCTGTGTGTAAGGGGGTGTCCAAAGTGAATTTCGACATTCGACGACATCCGTTGGTGGATGTCGAGGGATGTCGACCATCGATTCCTTCCGATCCATGGTCAGCATCCCTCGACATTCCCCAACGGATGTCGTCGGATGTCGAAATTCACTTTGGACACCCCATAATGAGTCGATTTTTGAGTCGACTCATTACACACGAATGCCTTGTCCCGCCAAACTTGCTCCTATGACTGGTCACCGGACCGAAGGCTCCCCTCCAACCCAGCCTTTTCCCTACACGCGGCTCCCAGCTTCGGCGCCGGACCGGAGCCAACAAGCGACGTCTTGACTCTTGACGCGCACTCTGCTTTTGAGTCGACTCAAGAGCATTCGGTACCCTTCCGTCGAAAGCAGCTGCTACAAGATTAGCTTCAGCTGCTTGCGAAGAAACCGATCAGCTTTCGAAGAGACCGCCGATTGCAACACCACCAACAACTGAGCCGCAGATTCATCGCCGAGCAGCAGCCTGAGGACGACTCATTATCGCCAGGGACCTTCTCTCATGACGGAGATTCATTACCGCCATGATGCTCCCTAGAAGCAGATCATGCCCTTTTCCGGCCAGCGACCTTCCCTCAGCACTCTCCGCACTCTCCGCACTCTCCGCACTCTCCGCACTCTCCGCACTCTCCGCACTCTCCTGATTGCCGCGACTTCGTCACCGGCCCCCGTCCCTTCCCATCCCCATGTCTCCGAACAGCCGAGGCAGCAGCCCGAGCAGCCGGGTGTGCGTCTGTCATGCTACCAGCAGCAGTGCTCCTCGCGAATCAGCGGCGGGTCAGGCCTCTCCCGAATCTCCCGAATCTCCCGAATCTCCCGAAGCTTCCCGTAATCCCCCCCGCGATGGTCGTTTCTGCGACAAATCGGGCCACAACCCGCGTCTCCCGCTGCACGGCCGAATCGCCGCCGGATCTCGCGGCGAAACTCGTCTCGCCGGCGAGGTGCCGCTTCACGCGCTGCCGTTTCCGTCGCTGCCGGCCGCCGGCGACGCAGCGATCGCGGCCGACGAAGACGGCGGTTACTTACGGCGTAGCCGAAGCACGCGCGCGAGTTACGGTTGCGGCAACGACAACAGGCGCTCGTTTCATGTCGCGGACGTTAACGTCAACGTTAACGTTGTCGATGACACTGACAGCAGTCCCTCTGACGGATTGTCGCATAAGTCATGGCACAGCGCGCCGCTGACGAGCGTTATTTCGCCTTCAAGCACAACCGTTACAAGCACATCCACCGCCGACGCAATAGTGGGCGCCTCACCCTCCTCATCCTCCTGCTACGCCCCGAGCCATATCAGCCGCTCGATCAAATCCGTCACGTCAGACCTCTCGATCAACGGCTGTGATCCATCCTCCGACGAAACCCCTGCCGCTTCTCCAGCTGCCGCTTTTCCCCCAAGCGCCACTCCTTCCGCCGGTGTGGCCCCCTTCCCCCCAACGATCTCCCCAAACTTCCCCCGATCTTTCCCCGCCCCCTCGCGCGCAGCCTCCCTCCCCCTGTCTTCCGCCACTCCCCCATACTCCCCCGCAGAGAATTTCCCCAGACGCTCGCGAACCGGTAACTTGTCGCTAGCGCCTTGCGAGTTACCACCCGAGCCTTGCTCTGGAGCAGCGCGAAGCAGGTTACCACCAGAGCCTCGCCGAATTTCGCGGTGTATCTCGGACGAGAGTTACCTGCGCGCATTGCCAAGCCTGAGGAAGGGGGAAGGAGGGGAGGAGGGGGGCTTTCCATGGGTTAGCGGAGTGAAATCAAGCCGGGGGTGCGGGGTGATGCCCATATGCGCAATCAACCCCATGAGCGGATGCAATCCTACTGGTTGCAGAGGGTGCGGAATGGGAGCTGCGCCAGGGGGGTGGGGGGAAGGGGAGGCGCGCGCGGAGGATCCCACCCCCCATGGGCGCCGGAGACAGATCACAAAGTCAAGCCAGGTCATCAGCAAAGTCAACGCAAGTCAACAGCAGTCTCCGCTCCATCTTCGGCCCAATGCCAGGCCAGAGCTAGCCGGATCGCAGAGCTGGGACGAGGCCAGCTGGCGGGAGGCTGCAGCACATGCTCCTGTCACGTCAGCAGAGCCCTTGGGCCATTGCAATCCTGGTTTCGTGAGGCGAATTGCCAAGTGGAGGCAAGGCGAGAGGGTGTCGAAGGATGGAGGGGAGGACAGGGGAGAGTGGACAGGAGAAGGGGAGAGTGGATCGAGAGTACCTGTTGCACTTGCTCTCCGGCAATCAGCACCTGTAGCAGCACCACTAGACTCTACAGGTGTCTCTGCTGGCCCACCTGAGGGGGAAATACACTCCTTACCAGCAGGGGCGATCCCAGTGTTATCCCCAGGGAAAAAGGGCTGTCTGCTGCAGTCCCATCCGCACAACCTCCCACAACCCCCCTCCGACAGCCCATCTTACTATCGAGTAGCGCACACCCGAAGTGTCTCCTCTGATCAGGTGACTCAGCCAGGACCAGGATTTGCTGACTCCCAGGAGCGACAGCACGAGTTGCCGTTGTTACAGCGTCCCCGGCAGAGGGCCTCCTTGGTTTTCCCCAAGTCCGTGTTGCGGCATACTCGAAGCCGCAGCGCGATGATGGCGTTTGAGTTACCGCCCCCACCACTTGGTAATACCGGTACTTGCCTAGCGGGATCAGAGGGGCTTATACAATCGCCTGGTTCGTTGTTTTCTCTCGCGCCGGGCCTTCCACCTCTTTCCCCATGCCATATGGGCCGTAGGCTGAGTACTAACTTGTCACGAACAGAGGCACCTCCTTCGACGGCTGCAGGGGCTGTGTCCTCTCACCTAATGCAGAGCAACTTATCACACAAGCCGGTGGCTGAATGATGCACATCTGATTGCCTACACTGGTATGTATGTATGGTCATTTATGATTGATACTGTCAAACATGTGTAGTTATCATGTTTGTATAGACTGTATAGGGTCACCTTCTAGAGAGTACAACATTTAGGTATATGTTTGTGTACTCTCTCTCTCTCTCACATTATTCAATTCTAATTCTGATATGGTATCACGCGTAGGTAGGATCCCCCCCCACCTCCCGCTTCCGCTCATGCCCCCTAGCGCCCCTCCTGGGCCCCGTCGCGCCCCTCCCAGGCCCCGTCGCGCTCCTCCCAGGCCCCCTAGCGCCCCTCCTGGGCCCCGTCGCGCTCCTTCCAGGCCCCGTAGCGCCCCGTCGCGCCCCTCCTGGGCCCCGTAGCGCCCCTCCTGGGCCCCGTCGCGCCCCTCCTGGGCTTCGTAGCGCCCCTCCTGGGCCCTGTAACGCCCCTCCCAGGCCCCGTCGCGCTCCTCCCAGGCCCCCTAGCGCCCCTCCTGGGCCCCGTCGCGCTCCTCCCAGGCCCCGTAGCGCCCCGTAGCGCCCCTCCTGGGCCTCGTCGCGCCCCTCCTGGGCTTCGTAGCGCCCCTCCTGGGCTCCGTAGCGCCCCTACTGGGACCCGTCGCGCCCTCCCTGGGCCCTGTACCGCCCCTCCTGGGCCCCGTCGTGCCCCTCCCAGGCCCGTAGTGCCCCTCCTGGGCCCGTAGCGCCCCTCCTGGGCCCCCATTGCGCCCCTCCCTGGGCCCCGTATCCACCCTCCTGGGCCCCGTCGCGACCGTCCCTAGGCCCGTCGCGCCCCTTCCTGGGCCTCGTCGCGCCCCTCCTGGGCCCCCCCCCCCCATTGCGCCCCTCCTGGGCCCCGCCGCGCCCCTCCTAGGCCCCCATTGCGCCCCTCCTGGCCCCGTAGCGCCCCTCCTGGGCCTGTTGCGCCCCTCCTGGGCCCTGCCGCGCTCCTCCCTGGGCCCCGTATCCACCCTCCTGGGCCCCGTCGCCCCTGCTCGGCCCCGTCGCCCCTGCTCGGCCCCGTCGCCCCAGCTCGGCCCTGTCGCGGCCTCTCGGCCCCGTGGCGCCCGCCCGGCCCCTGTCGCAGCTGCCCGGCCCCTGTCGCACCTGCCCGGCCCCGTCGCGCCCGCCCGGCCCCGTCGCCCCCGCCCGGCCCTGCTGTGTCCTGCCCGGCCCCGTCGCTGCCGCCCGGCCTTGTCGCTGCCGCCCGGCCTCGTAGCTGCCGCCCGGCCTTGTCGCTGCCGCCCGGCCCCGTCGCAGCCGCCCGGCCCCGTCGCAGCCGCCCGGCCCCGTCGCAGCCGCCCGGCCTCGTCGCTGCCGCCCGGCCCCGTCGCAGCCGCCCGGCCCCTCGTCGCGCCTGCCCGGCCCCGTCGCGCCTGCCCGGCCTCGACGTGCCTGCCCGGCCCCGTCGCGCCTGCCCGGCCCCGTCGCGCCTGCCCTGTCCCGTCGCGCCTGCCCCGGCCCTCCATACTTCCTGGTACTGTCCCCCGTTCCCCGCACCACTTTGCACCCTCCTGCACTTTCCTGCCCCGCCTTGCACCGCATTGCACCTCACTGAACCGCACTGACCGCACTGCACCGCACTGGACCGCACTGCACCGCACTGCATCGCACTGCACCGCACTGGACCGCACTGCACCGCACTGCACCGCCCTGCACCGCACTGCACAGCACTACACCGCACTCCACTGTCCTCCACTGCCCCTCATGGCTGCTGAGCTTCGTTTTGATGCTGAGGGTCAGCCTCTGGAGTTCGAGGCGTGGTTGGCTGACCTTCGCCGCCACCTCACTGGTCAGCGGCAGGACGGCCACCCGGTTTCTGCACACCTAGACGGTATGCTCCCCTGCCCTGACCCCCCTGCTGTGCTGCCCGCTGATCCCACGCCCGCTGAGCGCGAGTCCACTGCCGCCGCTGCCCTTGCCCGCTCTGTCTGGCTTTCCCGCGATGCCCTTGCTCAGCTCGCCATTAGCAATGCCCTCCCCCCCCTTGAGCGCCCTCGCTTTAGAACCATTACTACCGCCCAGGCCTACCTCGATGCTGTCATCAAGCGCTATTCTACCCCTCCTGCTGCCTCAGTGGGTCGCCTGATCCTCCCCCTGCTCTTTCCTGACCTGGCGTCCTTCCCCACTGTCTCTGACCTCGCTGCCCACCTGCGCTCGATAGATGAGGCCTGGCGCGCTGCCTGCACTGATGCACAGCTTAGAGTCCACCAGCCTCCCATGACCTCTACCCTCTACCTCCTTGCCACCCGCCTCCCTGACCGCCTTGCCGCCGCCCGCGACCAGTTCCTTAGCATCCACCCTGCTGCTCTCACCCTCACCGACTTTGTTGACACCCTGACTGCCATAGAGACTCGTCACCGCTCCATAGCCCAGGCGAGCGGTACAGTACCGGTCCCTATCTTTCAGGGTTGTGCCCCTGCTCAGTGTACCTTCTCCGACGGCTCTGTCGCTGTGGCTGAGACTGCTGCTGCAGTGCAGTCCCGCTCGGGGAAGGGCCGCCGCCCCAAGGTTGGGAGCGGCGGAGGTGGCGGGGGTGCGGGTGGGGGTAGTGGTGGAGGCGGGTCGTCCGGTGCCGGTGCGGACGTGGGGACCCTGCCCGGTCCAGCTGCCCCGCTGCCTCCACCGTTGCAGCAGCCGCAGCAGCAGCAGCCTCCGCAGCAGCCGCAGCAGCCGCCGCAGACGAGGCCGGCGAGTGCTCTCCCGCCTGGGTGGCCTGGAGCTGGTGGTGGTCGTGCGCGTGGTGGTGCACCGGGTGGTGGTTCTGGAGGCGGGCCCTGTCAGTACCAGATCCAGACCGGTCCTCGCCGCGGCTTCGTTTGCGGTAAGATCGGTCATTCCACTCCTCGCTGTTTTCGTCGTCTGGACGACCTGTTCCGCCAGCGCTTTGGCCCGGCGCCCGACCTCCCGGACTGGCACAGCTTGCTTAGGCGTAGCATTCGGATTTTTGACTTGGACATGGATGCCATTGTAGCAGCCTTGCATGTGATGTATGCCGATGACTCTAGTGTGCTTCCCTCTTATTACCCCGTGTTGCCTAGTGTAGCTGTGCCTAGCGTAGACTCCCCTGCTGCGTCAGGCGTAGGATCTCCTGCTTTGCTTAGCCTCGGTGCTTCCACCGCTTCACTGTCGCCCCGCGCGACTGCTGCGCTTTCCTTCACCTTGGACTCTGGCGCCTCCCGGTGTTTCTTCCGCGACTCCACGACGCTGACGCCGCTGCCTGTTCCTGCTGCAGTTACTCTTGCTGACCCCTCCGGTGGTCCCGTCGTTGCCCGCAGTTCCACCTCCCTTCCCTGTCCGGCGGTTCCTTCAGGTTCGCTCACCGGTCTGCATATCCCCTCGTTCTCCAGGAACCTAGTTGGTGTCGGCTGCCTCCAGGACCTTGGCGTCACCACTACGTTCCCTGGTCACGAGCGGTATGGTGTCTGTACCGAGGCCGCCATTGGTGCCCCCCTTACCACTTTCCCCCGGGACCCGGTGTCCGGCCTGTTCACACTTGACACCGCGACGTCCCCGGCTGGGTCTTCCCCCCAGGTAGCTGCGTCCACCCAGGTTGCTGCTGCGTGCTCCTGTCGGTCCCTCACTCATCCGACTCTCCTTTGGCACCACCGCCTTGGTCACCCTGCACTCCCGCGTCTGCGTCACATGTCCCAGCACGGTCTCGTCCTTGGTCTCCCCGGTTCGTTCCCTGAGTTTCCCTCAACCCCCGCCCCACCGTGCACGCCTTGTGTCGAGGGCCGGCTCCGCCGTGCCCCTCACTCCTCCTCTTTTCCCCCTACCACCGCACCCCTGCAGACTCTGCACATGGACGTCTGGGGCCCAGCCCCGGTCCATGGGCCGCGTCGCGAGCGCTTCTTCCTAGTGCTTGTCGACGACTTCACACGTTACACCACCGTCTTTCCCCTGGAGCGGAAGGCCGACGTGCCTGACGTTCTCATCCCCTGGCTTGTCTCTGCTCGTCTCCACCGCGGTCTCCCTGCCTTGCGCCTCCACTCCGACCGGGGTGGCGAGTTTGCCTCAGGTGTCCTTGGTCGCTTCTGTCGTGCGGAGGGCATCACCCAGACGTTTACCCTGCCGGACTCCCCGCAGCAGAATGGGGTCGCTGAGCGACGCATCGGTTTGGTCATGGAGGTGGCTCGCACCTCCATGATCCACGCCGGTGCACCCCATTTTCTGTGGCCGTTCGCTGTGCGCTACGCCGCTCACCAGCTTAACCTGTGGCCGCACCCCCAGCGGCCGCCGGTTTCGCCGACCCTTCTGTGGACCGGGTCCCCTGGTGACGCGTCTGCGTTCCACGTCTGGGGCTGCCTTGCTCACGTTCGTGCCTCTGGCACGGACAAGCTCACTGCCCGCACCCTCCCCTGCGTCTTCCTCGGTTTCCCCCTTGACGCGTCCGACTGGCACTTCTACCACCCGCCGTCTCACCGCTTCTTTCACTCTCGCGACGTCACCTTTGACGAGTCCGTCTCCTTCTACCGCCGCTTCCCCCACCGTGGTCCCCCGGTTACTCCCCCCCTGTTCCTGGTTCCTCCCTCCCTGGTGGCCCCTGCCCCTCCCCCCCCCCGCCCCCCCGTCCGGCCCCCTCTGGTGTGTCTCACGTCACCCCCCTCCCGTCGGTCGTTCCGGTCGACGAGTCTTCTGACTCTGGTAGTCCTTTGGCGCAGTCCTCGCCGTCTGTCCCTCCCCCGGTGTCTCCTCCTCCACCGCCTCCGCAGCCGCCGTCGCCGCAGCTGCTGCAGCCGTCGTCTCCGCCGCCGCCGCCGTCGATGCCGTCGCTGCAGCCGCCGCCGCCGCCGCCGCCGTCGTCGCTGCCGCTGTTTGTGGACTCTGGGGGTGCTGGAGTTGAGGTGGGTACTAGTCCCGGGGCTCCTGTCGTGGCTTGTCCCGGCGGTCCTGGGGGTGGTACCGGTGCTGGCGGTGTTTCGGGCTCTGGGGGTGTCCCTTCTGGGGGTGCCGGTGTGGAGGGTTCGGGAGGTAGCCGTCGCGCAGCTTGTGGCCCTGGCGTTGGTGTTGTGTCGCCGCCGCAGCAGTCCCCGCCGGTGTCCGCCCTCCGTCTGCTCGGCCTTCCGTCCCCTGACCCTGCGCCTGTTCCTCTCCGGCCGTCTCCCCCTCTTCCCGTCTACGGCCCCGTGTTCCCTCCGCCGGACTCGTTCCCGGCTCGTTTTCCCCCTCGTTCCCCACCCGTGTCCCCTCCTCTGTCTCCTGACCCGACGCCGCCCTCTCACGTCTGGTCTCGCCGCCCCTCCCGTGCTCGTCCTGTCTCCCCCGTCCCGCGCACTCACCCTATGTTGCTCCGCTCCCACGCGTCTCGTCCTCCCCTCCTCCCGTCTCCTCCTCCGTCCTCTCTTGTCGTTGCGTCTCCTCCTCTGTCTGACTACTTTCGTGCCGCTCGTCCTCTTGTTCCTCGGGTCCTTGCCTCTCTCGTTACCGACCCGTCTGTTCCAGTGTCGAGTCTTGACGCCCTTGTCGCTGCGGTCGCTGACTTCGCCTCTACCCGCCGCCTTGACTACGCCTCCGCTCTGGTCTCTGACCCTGCCTGTCCTCCGTCTGTCGGGGGTGCTCCTGCCCTCGGCAGTGACGTCCTGGAGGACCGCCAGTTTGAGCTTGCTTTCCTGTCCGAGGCTGCTCCCCATCTCTGTTCCATGCTGCTAGTCCCTGAGGGTGACCCAGACGCTTTTGACATCCCGACCCCTCGTACTTACGCTGAGGCGGTTTCGGGACCGTGGGCCTCTCAGTGGATAGCTGCCATGGAGCAGGAGATGGCATCTTGGAGATCCACCGGCACCTTCGTCGACGCAGTTCCCCCACCTGGGGTGAACGTGGTCGATGGCCGTTGGCTCTTCAAGGTGAAGCTTCACTCCCTCGACTTCTCCACTGCCTTTCTTCAGGGCAGCCTTCACGAGCAGGTCTACCTGCGTCGTCCTCAGGGCTTTACTGGCACCTTCCCCCCTGGGACCCAGTGGCTTCTGCGGCGCCCAGTCTACGGCCTGCGCCAGGCGCCTCGTGAGTGGCACGACACGCTGCGTGCTACTCTTGCTGACCTGCAGTTCTTTCCGTCCTCTGCAGACCCCTCGCTCTTCGTTCGTGCTGGCTCGACTCCGTTCTACATCCTCGTCTACGTAGACGACCTGGTCTTTGCCACAGCTGACAGGGACGCACTGGCCTCCGTGAAGGCAGAGCTGCTGAAGAGACACACCTGCACTGACCTTGGAGAGCTGCGCCGTTACCTTGGCTTGCAGATCTCCAGGGACAGAGCCGCGCGCACCATCACCCTGACTCAGTCACACTTGGTGCGCCAGGTCCTTCAGAGGTTCGGCCTTCAGTTCTCCTCCGCACAGCCCACCCCTCTTCCTCTGGACCACAGACTCTCCGCTCCAGTTCCTGAGGAGTCGGTAGATCCCAGTGGTCCTTACGCTGAGCTAGTGGGTTGCCTCATGTACCTGATGACTTGCACTCGCCCAGATCTCGCATACCCTCTCAGCATCCTGGCCCGTTTTGTGGCCACAGGCAGACACCGACCTCAGCACTGGTCTGCCGCTAAGAGGGTTTTGCGTTATCTTGCAAGTACATCGGGCATGGGGTTAGTGCTAGGCGGACGCAGGCCAGTGGTCCTTACTGGACACACAGACGCTTCGTGGGCAGACGACGCCGAGACACTCAGGTCTACCCAGGGCTACTGTTTTAGCCTTGGCTCAGGTGCTGTCTCGTGGAGAGCTACCCGCTCCTCGTCTGTTGCCCAGTCCAGCTGTGAGGCTGAGATCTACGCCGGTGCCATGGCGGCACAGGAGCTCCGCTGGCTGACCTTCTTGCTCACTGACTTAGGTGAGCGGCCTAGCTCTGCCCCGGTCCTGTACGCTGACAACAGGGTCATGATTCTCCTGTGTCAGGAGCCTCGACTCGAGGGCAGAGCGAAGCACATCCAGCTGCGGTACTTCCTCCTGCGCGAGCTACAGCAGCGTCGCCAGGCTCGCGTAGTACACTTGGCCTCCGGTGCCAACACAGCTGATATCTTTACGAAGGCGCTTGCGCCTAAAGATCATCAGCGGCACTGTTTACAGCTTGGTCTGGTTCCTGTAGTCTCTCACTTACTCGGGCCTTGACTTTGTACTGTTGTCTATATATATGTATGTATACACTCAGACTGGACTTGTGTCCTCTCACAGTGGTTGGACTAGTAGTGCCGCCCTGTACTCGTTCTTGCCTTGTCTGTACTCCTTCTGACTGGTCTTTTAGACCCTTGTCTCAGAGGCTGGACTAGTAGTGCCACCCTGAGCTGCTTGTCTAGAACATTCCCCTATGCAGTCCAGGGGGTGTGTCAAACATGTGTAGTTATCATGTTTGTATAGACTGTATAGGGTCACCTTCTAGAGAGTACAACATTTAGGTATATGTTTGTGTACTCTCTCTCTCTCACATTATTCAATTCTAATTCTGATAGATACATGTGCATTATGGTATGGTGTCGTTTGGATACATGAAGCCTACTAATACCGTGTAAGTACCATGTACGTTACATGTGAACATTCGGATTACAAGAAATCACGGTTTGTGATGGGGAACTATAGGTACTTAGTCATAATCTCTCTTCAAATGGTGCAAGCGTAATAGCTTGCTTACACCCTGAGCGATTGAAAACAGCGTATCAGCGAATGAAGTGTCTATATTAACGAGGCAAGTACTGCACTGAGATGTGATGCCTTGTTTGCAGATGCGCGTGGATGGTTGGTCCGTAATCCAACATCTCCGCCCCACGTAGACGTGCCCCACTGATCTCCCAATCCAAACGTCCCTTCAGGCGTGTTCGGCTGAGCTGGCAGATGCGCCGGGTGACCTCGGCAGCGGCGCGTTTCACGAGGGAGCTTGCGCGTAACACCACTTCGGATGACGTGGTCTTAGCCACATCTTCTGCGCATCCAACGCACAATCGCAACGAGTGGGGTGAAATGGGCGAGTCGCGCACATGTTATTGTTGTCGATATGGTTGGGGTTTTGGCGCCTTGATCATGAGCAGCGATTGGCCAGGGCAGAGTGGAAGGAAAATATTAATGACACGTGAGGGGGCGAGCGAATTGAAGGGGGCCACCACAATTTCTGGGATGGAATGAACCTCCACCACGCACCGCACACTCACTCCCCAACTGGACAAACGTCAGAACCAATCAGCGTTGAATGGATAACACTCGCGCGCCTCGCTTCGAAGTGGTTCGCGAGAAATTCAAGGACAGGGAACACAGGTGGTCTTGTTTTTTACTGGCTAACGAAACTGTCGCGAACGCCGTCAGCTATTCGGCAACGAGGTGCGGCGCCTTTCGGGCACATGATCTTCTCACCAACTGCCGCCGAGAGGCGCCACCTAACCAAACACAGCGCATCTGCTGCGCTTCCTCGCATCCACCATACCGCTTCCGCGCAACCGCTGGGCCTCCGCGCATCCCCTGCGCTTCCAGTCTTGTCAGTCGCTGCTAGTGCGCGCTCACCTCACTCGATATCGATCGAGTCTCTCCCATACCAACTACTGCCCTACACAGGCTACTAGTACTGCTGGAATTGGTGTGACCGCCGTCTCCTTCACTCTCCGAACGTCAGTATCAGTTTTTCCTCACTACCTTTCTCGTGGATCTCACGTTTGCAAGGCGCGAAACTATACGCGGTAGCAACTAGTATTCCTACTGGTGCTTATCAATTATTGCAAATTGTGTTAGTTTCCTAAGTTGCCCTTCGACGTCTTTAATTATGACAGCCGCACTTCCATCATGGGCGGGAGTGCTGCAATCGAACGCGTCGGCCCCGACGGGTGTGCTTTGCGCAAGAAACTCTAACAATTCCGCCAACCCTCATGATTCGACAAACCCTAACAGTCACGATTACCGTAGACCTCAGCTCGAAATCACCTCTCCGCCACACCCGCCGTCCCCCCCCCCAATAGTATCCCGCGCAATCACTTCTCTTTCACCGCAATGTCGCCTCAAGCCGCACTACGGACGCCGAGCTCCTTCGAAGACCACCGCCGTGCCGCCCCGCCGCCGAAACGGGCCGGTGTCATTCCCCTCCCCGCCCAACCACCGGCGAGTGTTGCGCGCGCCGCAACCGTCAGCCGTTGACCGATCCACCGCCGCGGCAGGCGCCACGCTTCGCGCCGCAACTCACGGCGTGACTCACGGCGCAGCTCACGGCGCAGCTCACGGCGCGAATCACGGCGCAGCTTCCGGCGCCACGCACCACGCCCTGCTTCACGAAAGCGCGTTCAGCTCCGAAGCGCTCGCGCTCAGCCTCACCTTGCGAAGCTTCCCGTCCGCAGCTTCCTTGCCGTCCTCCTCGCCATCCTCGCCGGGAGCATCCCCGATACAGTCCGCCTCGTTATTAACACCAAGAGCCGCTGCTGAAGTCCACGGCTCGCACGGTCATCATCATCATCACAGGGATGGTGCCGGGGAGCGGCCGGCAATTCTGCCGCCGGCGGCGGCGACGAGTATCGCCGTGGCGGTGCCGGCAGACGAGGGGCTCGATGCCGATTCGAGTGGCGATTCGGCGTTTCGTTGGGACGGCGTTAAGGTGCTGCCTTTCGCCGCGTCTGTCGGCGTGGGCCTCGCGACGTGGGCTTTAATTCCAGGTGGGCAACGCGGACTTGCGGGTTTTGCTGTCTTCTCGACTTAATTGCCTCTAGACATGACTTATCGAAGCGCTCCGCACCCTCCCCCATCGCCCCCCCTTCCCCCGCCCCCCTTCCCCCGCCCCACCTCTTCCAAGCCTGATCGTCTCTCCTCCCTCTCCCTCCCCCACCTTCCTCCCCCCCCCCCCACCCCCCCCTCGCCCCCCCTCAATCGCATGTCACAGTGCCCGAGGGATTGACAGACCAAGCGTGGCAGCTGCTGGCGGTGTTCCTAACCACTATAACGGGACTGATTCTCGGGTGAGTAACGCGGCGGCTTATAACGGGAGCGGGCCAGCACTGTGCCAAAGCGTTCTCTAGCCTTATCTGCGCACTCCTCGACACTTCCCCCCGCCCCCCTCTTTCCCCCATCCCTCCCCTCCTTCCCCCCTTCTATTCCCGCATCCCGCACCCACTTCCCCGGGCCTCGCCCCCACTTCCCCCCCCCCCCTCCCCCTTCCCCGTTGTCTCCCTTCTCAATTAACCCCCTCCTCCTTCCCTATGGTTCTCCCCCCACTCCTCCCCCCCCCTCCCCCCCACCTGTTCGCTTGCAGGCCGCTTCCCGTGGGCGCGTGGGCCTTCGTTTGCCTCTCCTTCGCAATACTCACAGGCACCCTCCCTTTCTCTGACGCCATTAGGTGAGGCGGTCTTGAAACTCGTTATACGGCGCCTCGGAAGTAGGTGCGGGAGGGCAGAGGCTTGTATTTGGGAGGGCAGGGCGCCGCATTGGCACTTCCTCCTCCACATCCTCGCATTGGCTATTCTTCCAGTTCTCCCCCCACGAGCGCCATGGCCTACGAGGTCATCCAGCTCATCGTCAGCTCCTTCTTCGCCCAGTCCAGTCAAGAAACACACTGGCTCTCGCCCCTTTCTCCCTCCTCTGCGCCCTTCCCCTCCCTCCTCCCACCCTCTAATCAGCGCCATGACCAACGAGGTCATCTGGCTCATCGTCATCTCCTTCTTCTTCGCGCGCGGGTTCGTCACCACGGGGCTGGGCGACCGCATCGCCACGCTCTTTGTCCAGTGGTTCGGCAGCAGCACGCTCGGACTCAGCTACGGCCTTGCAGGTACGGTAGGGTGTTATGTGGTGTGAATCGGCTCTCTCCCGATCATCGGCTCTCTCTCGAGGCGAGCCGCACACCCACCCCCCCCTCCCCCCCCCCCTCTCCCCCCCCTCTCCCCCCCTCTCCCCCCCACAAACACCAGCCAGCGAGGCCATCCTGGCTCCAGCCATGCCGAGCACGACAGCCCGAGCCGGCGGCGTCTTCCTGCCGATCATCGACTCGCTCTCGAAGCGCTTCGACAGCCGCCCCAACGACCCCAGCAGCAGCAAGCTCGGCGCATACCTCATAATGACGCAACTCCAGTGTACAGCGCACAGCAGCGCCATGTTCCTCACAGGCGCGGGACAGAATCTGCTGTGCCTGAAGCTCGCTCAAGAGATGGGAGTCGCGATCCCGAACGCGTTCGGGACGTGGATGCAAATGGCGGTGGCTCCTGGGGTGGTGGGGTTGATGGTTACCCCCCTGGTGATGTTCCGACTGTTTCCGCCAGAGGTTAAGGAGACCCCGGAGGCGCCGGCGCTTGCGGCGAAGAGGCTAAAGGAGATGGGGGGGGTGAGCGGCAAAGAGATGATCATGATCGGGACCATGGGGCTGGCGATCACGATGTGGATCATGGGGTGAGTTGGTAGAGGGTCTTTTTGTCTCCCCTCCCGTCTCTCTCCCTCTTTTAGCTACCTCTTTCTTGCACTCTCCTTGCGTGATTCTCATCTCTCGTCTTACCTCCTCTTCCTTCCCCCGTTTCCCCCGTCTCCCCCCTTCCCTCCCCAGCGAGTCGCTGGGCATTCCCAGTGTGGTGACCGCAATGTCAGCCCTCTCCCTGCTCCTCCTCTCTGGCGTGGTCTCGTGGTCCGACTGCCTGTCAGAGCGCACCGCGTGGGACACCCTCATGTGGTTCGCTGCGCTCATCGCCATGAGCAACCAGCTCACCCACATGGGTGTGGTCGGGTGGATGGCTGATGGGGTAGCAGGGGGCCTGGGGATGGTTCCTGGGGGGATCCTGGCTGGGGATATGGCCACGGGGGGGATGTTGGGTGAGGAGATGGGGGGAGTGGTGGGGCTCTTGGGTGGAGACGTGGGGGAAATGGTGGGGGCAACTGCAGCAGCGGCAGCAGGAACAGTAGCAGCAGTGGGAGGGGCAGCAGGAGCAGTATTGGAACCAGTTACTAGTGCTGTCACCATCCCCGTTGAAGCAGCAACAGCAGCAGCAGGGGAGCTCACATGGGTGTCAAGTTTCTTTCAGCTACAAGTGCTATACTTCCTCTCACACTACCTCTTTGCGAGCCAGACCGCCCACGTGGGGGCCTTGTATGCGGCGTTTCTCGCCATGCAATTGGCTGCGGGTGTTCCCGGGGAGGTCGGCGCATTTGCACTGGCTATTAATACGAATTTGTTTGGAGCGATCACGCATTACAGCAGCGGCCAAGCGGCTCTTTATTATGGAGGTAAGCAGTGGTACATGATTCCGAAGTATTGAGAGTGTTTATATTGTTGTGGTGGTGATCTTCCTCGGGTGCGCTGATCTTACCCTTTCCTTGTGCCGGTTCTTGTGTTGCAGCTGGTTATGTTAAACTTCCAGACCTATTCAAGGTTGGGGGCATTTCAGCAATTATCAACCTGGTCCTTTGGACGACAGTATGCTCTATTCTATGGAAGTTTCAAGGGGTATTTTAGGCCTGAAGAACACACTTTTTGCGCAATCGGTAGAATAGCTGATGTGTTGTTTTTGGGTTGCGGAGCAACCTATTGCGATCGATTGTAAGGATTTTTTTTTTCAAGTTTATGATTTGGAAAAAAACTACCAAATCTTCAAAAAAAAAAGAATTTCCCAAAAACTTTTAGTTTCCCTAATTGATTTGAATCTAAAATGTTTGTCGTTATTGTTAACGTAGAAACGAATGATTTACTAGAGGTGGAAACCTAGAACAAATACTAGTTGGTTGTACTCACTAGAAGCATACCTCAGTCTAGCCTATAACTTCTACATAGATAATATGTATAAGTTGACACACCCCCTAGGCTAGACAAGGGGTGAAACTAAACAAGAAGCAAACAGCTCAGGGCGGCACTACTAGTCCAACCACTGAGGCAGGGGTCTGGAGACCAGTCAGCAAGAATACAACCAAAACTGAAGCAAGCCAGGGTGGCACTACTAGTCCAGCCACTGGAGGTAAGGCCACAAGGCCAGTCTGACAAGCATATATAATAGAGAGTACACAATCAGGATCCTAACAGGGGAGCAGCTATAGGAACAAGACCAAGCTGTACACAGTGCCGTTGATGATCTTTAGGCGCAAGCGCCTTAGTAAAGATATCAGCTGTGTTGGCACCTGAGGCCAAGTGAACTACGCGGGCCTGGCGGCGCTGCTGTAGCTCGCGCAGGAGGAAGTACCGCAGCTGGATATGCTTCGCTCTGCCCTCAAGCCGAGGCTCCTGACAAAGGAGTATCATGGCCCTGTTGTCAGCGTACAGGACCGGGGCAGAGCTAGGCCGCTCACCTAAGTCTGTGAGCAAGAAGGTCAGCCAGCGGAGCTCCTGTGCCGCCATGGCACCAGCGTAGATCTCAGCCTCACAGCTAGACTGAGCCACAGACGACGAGCGAGTGGATCTCCAAGAGATAGCACCCGAACCAAGGCTGAAACAGTAGCCCTGCGACGACCTGAGCGTCTCAGCGTCGTCTGCCCAAGAAGCGTCTGTGTGCCCAGTAAGGACCACTGGCCTGCGTCCTCCTAGCACTAACCCCATGCCTGATGTACTAGCAAGATAACGCAAAACCCTCTTAGCGGCAGACCAGTGCTGAGGTCGGTGTCTGCCTGTAGCCACAAAGCGAGCCAGGATGCTGAGAGGGTATGCGAGATCTGGGCGAGTGCAAGTCATCAGGTACATGAGGCAACCCACCAGCTCTGCGTAGGGGCCACTGGGCTCTACTGGCTCCTCAGGAACGGGAGCAGAGAGCCCATGGTCTACGGGTAGAGGTGTGGGCTGTGCGGAGGAGAACTGAAGACCGAACCTCTGAAGGACCTGACGCACCAAGTGTGACTGGGTCAGAGTGATGGTGCGTGCTGCTCTGTCCCTAGAGATCTGCAGGCCAAGATAGCGACGCAGCTCTCCAAGGTCAGTGCAGGTGTGTCTCTTCAGCAGCTCAGCCTTCACAGAGGCCAGTGCGTCCCTGTCAGGAGTAGCGAAGACCAGGTCGTCTACGTAGACAAGGATGTAGAACGGAGTCTGGCCGGAACGCACAAACAGTGAAGGGTCAGCAGAGGACGGAAAGAACTGCAGGTCTGCAAGCGTGGCACGTAGCGTGTCGTGCCACTCGCGGGGAGCCTGACGCAGGCCGTAGACCGGGCGCCTGAGAAGCCACTGGGTCCCAGGAGGGAAGGTACCAGTGAAGCCCTGTGGTCGGCGCAGGTAGACCTGCTCGTGTAGGCTGCCCTGAAGAAAGGCAGTAGAGAAGTCGAGAGAGTGAAGCTCGTAGTCACGCTGTGCTGCTACGTGTAGCAGCGCCCGAAGAGTGGTCATCTTCGGGGTCGGGGCGAAGGTCTGGAAGAAGTCAACCCCCTCGCGCTGACTGAAACCTCTGGCCACGTAGCGCGCCTTGAAGACAGGCGGCTCTCCAGGGGGGCGCTTCACCTTGAAGAGCCACCGACCATCGACTACGTTCACCCCAGGCGGGGGAACTGCGTCGACGTAAGTGCCGGTGGATCTCCAAGATGCCATCTCCTGCTCCATGGCAGCTATCCACTGAGAGGCCCAAGGTCCCGAGGTGGCCTCAGCGTAGGTGCGAGGGGTCGGGATGTCGAAGGCGTCTGGGTCACCCTCAGGGACTAACAGCATGGAGCAGAGATGGGGAGCAGCCTCGGAAAGGAAAGCCAGCTCGTACTGCCTGTCCTCTAGGACGTCACTGCCAAGGGCAGGAGCACCCCCGACGGACAGAGGACGGGCAGGGTCAGAGACCAGAGCGGTAGCGTAGTCAAGGCGGCGGGTAGAAGCGAAGTCAGCGACAGCAGCGACAAGCGCGTCAAGGCGCGAGACAGGAACAGCAGGGTCGGTAACAAGAGAGGCAAGGACCCGAGGGACAAGGGGACGAGCAGCACGGAGGTAGTCAGAGAACGGAGGAGGTGCAACAGCAAGGGACGAGGGAGGAGGGGACGGGAGGAGGGGAGGACGAGACGAGTGGGAACGGAGCAACATAGGGTGGGTGGGCAGGACAGGAGAGACGGGACGAGCACGGGAGGGACGGCGAGCCCAAACGTGAGACGGAGGGGTAGGGTCAGGGGACAGCGGAGGAGACACAGGAGGGGAACGAGGAGGAAGACGGGCCGGAGACGAGTCTGGCGGCGGGAACACAGGACCGTAGACAGGGAGGTCAGGAGGCGGTGGGGGAGACACCGGCGCGCGGTCCGGGGAGGGAAGGCCGAGCAGGCGGAGAGCGGAAACCGGCGGCGACGGCTGCTGTGGCGGCGACGACGGCTGGGCCGGAACTCTCGGACCAGCAGAGGCAGAACGACCGTCGGCAGAACACTCAACAGCAGCACCCCCAGAACCAACACCCCAAGAGCGAGAACCCCCTCCAACACCAGCGGCACCCCCAGAAGCCGCAGGACGAACACCCTCCTCCACACCAGCACCCCCAGGGGCCGAGAGCAGCGGCGGCAGTGGCGGCGACAGCGGCGACGGCTGCGGCGGCGACGGCGACGGCGGCGGCAGCGGGGTCGGCGACTGCGACAGTGGGGGCGGAGGCACTGGGGAAGGGGGACGCGGCAAGGACGGACCGGGGGTACCACCAGAGTCAGCAGACTCCTCAACGGGGACAACCGACGGGAGGGGAGTGACGTGGGAGACACCAGACGGGGCAGGACGAGGCGGGAGAGGGGCAGGGGCTACCGGGGGAGAGGGAGCAAGGAAAAGGGGGGGGGCAACTGGGAGACCTCGGTGAGGGAAGCGGCGGTAGAAGGAGACGGACTCGTCAAAGGTGACGTCACGAGAGTGGAGGAAGCGGTGAGACGGCGGGTGGTAGAAAAGCCAGTCAGACGAGTCCAGGGGGAAGCCGAGGAAGACACAGGGGACAGTGCGGGCAGTGAGCTTGTCCGTGCCAGAGGCACGAACGTGAGCAAGGCAGCCCCAGACGTGGAACGCAGACGCGTCACCGGGGGACCCGGTCCAAAGGAGGGTCGGCGAAACCTGCGGCCGCTGGGAGCGTGGCCACAGGTTAAGCTGGTGAGCCGCGTAGCGAACAGCGAACGGCCACAGAAAATGGGGGGCATCGGCATGGATCATGGAGGTACGGGCGACCTCCATGACCAAGCCGATGCGGCGCTCAGCAACCCCATTCTGCTGTGGCGAGTCCGGCAACGTGTACGACTGGGTGATGCCCTCCGCACGACAGAACTGTCCAAGCCGACCAGAGGCGAACTCGCCGCCACGGTCGGAGTGGAGACACAACACGGGGAGACCGCGGTGGAGACGCGCAGCTACAACCCACGGGAGAAGAACGTCGGGCACGTCGGCCTTCCGCTCCAGGGGAAACACCGTGGTGTAGCGCGTGTAGTCGTCAACGAGCACAAGGAAGTAGCGCTCACCGCGCGGTCCGGGGACGGGGGCAGGGCCCCAAACGTCCAAGTGCAGGGTCTGAAGGGGGGCAGTAGCAGGACGCAGCGAGGAGGAGTGAGGAGCACGGCGGAGCCGACCCTCGACGCAAGGCGTGCACGGTGGCGCAGTCGAGGGAGGAAGGGCAGGGAGCGACGCGGGGAGACCTAAGACAAGACCGTGCTGGGACATGTGACGCAGACGCGGGAGAGCAGGGTGACCTAAGCGGTGGTGCCAGAGAAGGGAGGGGTGAGTGAGGGACCGACACGAGCAAGCTGCAGCGACCTGGGAGGACGCACCAACCGGGGGGGAAGCGGTGTGTAGGGTAAACAGACCGGACACCGGGTCCCGGGGGAACGTCGCAAGGGGGGAACCGGAGACAGCCTCAGAACAGACAGCGAACCGCTCGTGCCCGGGGAACGTGGTGGTGACGCCGAGGTCCTGGAGACAGCCGACACCAACCAGGTTCCTGGAGAACGAGGGAACGTGGAGGCCAGTAAGGGAGCCCGAGGGAACTGCCGGACAGGGAAGGGACGTAGAACTGCGCGCGACGACCGGACCCGCAGAGGGGTCAGCGAGAGAGACAACAGCAGGTGCAGCAAGCGGCGTGAGCGTGGAACGGTCGCGGAAGAAGCAGGCAGAAGCACCAGAGTCAAGAGTGAAGGACAGCGACGCAGTGGCGGAGGCCGCGGACGGAGCCGGTGCAGCGACTAGACTAGGCAACCTAGGCAGTCCTACGCCTGTCGCAGCAGGGGAAGCTAAGCTACACAAGGGTGAAACACCTAAACTAGAGTACACATGGTAGTAAGATCCATCAACACTAGAAGCGTCAGCATACAAAGCATGCAAAGCAGCACCTATCTGATCCATGTCTAACTCAAAGATCGGCACGCCCTGGCGGAGCAGGCTGTGCCAGTCAGGGAGGTCCGGGGCCGGGCCAAAGCGACGACGAAAAAGATCGTCGAGGCGGCGGAAACAGTGGGCGGTCGGGTGCGGGCGGCGGCACAGAGTGCCGCGGAGAGGCCCGGTCTGAAGCTGGTACTGGCAGGTCACAGCATTGGAGCCGCTGGTAGACGCCAAGCTGCGCGGGCCGCCACCACGGCCACCGCCTCCGGAGGTGCCAGGCCAACCAGGCGGGAGACGAGCCCACGGCTGCGGCGGGTGCTGCTGGGACGGCGGCTGCGGCTGGGGCTGGTCCTGCTGCTGCTGGGACTGCTGCTCCTGC